TCTTCGATCTGCCAAATGCGAACAAAACAAACATGCCATTCTGTTATATTATTATGGCAATTCACATAGATTCTTTTATCGGATCGCTTTGTATTTGAGGGTCCGAAATTCCGAGGTGGGGTGATCATGGCGGTTATTATTACTTCACGATAATACGTAAAGCAATCGAAATGAATAAATATTAGAAATAATAAACCTGTTTTAATATTTAAATGAGGGCATTTACCGTTTAGACTAAACAAAAAAATGTTGTCTGTGATAGCTTTGACATTAGTGACATAACAGCTGTCACATTTGGCATTTTATAGGAACCACCGCTCTTTTATTGTTTGATAACAAATAATGCACAAATATAGCTTTCATAAATAAATAAGTCCATAAAATTTTATTTTTATTTATAATGACTGAATCGGTCATAAAACCCTTGCAAAATGGGCGTTCATTTGATGAAACGGATCGAATGCCGAAAAAAATAACGATAACTAACCTAGATGTTTTCATGTATGTCGTTGCTATTGTGGGACATTTTACTGATCTAGGGGTAGATATCAATATAGCTGTAAGATATTTCTTGGCAAGCAACATGGCAGAGTTCGGATGGACGCTGGCGTTCATCCTGGTACCTGCTTTCGTCAACACCGCTGTATCAATAAGAATGTAAGTTTGTTTGGAAACTATTTTTTATTACTTTATTATGAGCAAAAATTATCTATAGGTATGCAAAAATTATCTACTCAACCTATGGCTTACACTAGCCCATTAATTTATGATCCTCCTAGGATTATCAATCATCCTTTTAGCATTATATATCTAACTAATTTAATTTTATTTAACTTTCCCCGTATTGCCTTCTACTTACTTTTATTCCTTTCTTCTCACTTATCCTTCCTTTTTGCATTCCAAAAATACCAACTGAGGATAATAATTAACTTGCACCCAATTATAGGAGTGGGGACAAATTATAGATAGCTACAATTCAATATTTAATGGGCAACCCTTTGAAGAAACAGATATAACTATAAAATCTATCTGCAGATCTCACATTATTAGTGGTTGATTAGCTGATCAGTGACATAAGAAATAGATAAAAATTGCTATGTATTGCCCTTTTAGGGTGATTTGTTACTGTACCAGGGATTTCCTTCCTAGGGTACACCTGGTTCCCCAGCAACTGGTACCCGAGACGGCATGCGGTTTTTGGTCGGTTCGAGCCTGACATAACCACCGGTGGGTGGTATTCGAGAGGTTTTCCGCACAGAAAATAAAAGAAAAGGGTGGTTGGTTACTGCTCTCCCTATTTTCGTAATGTATTGATTTTTGTTTCATAGTTTGTTATTGTGATATGTTTGTACTTTGCAGGTATTCGCAGGATAAGCAGCAGGATTCCTTGTCAAATGAGTTCACAAAACGTAAGTGGCTCAGGATCTTCATATTGGTGTTACAAATGGCTCCTATATTGCGGTTTGCTGATGCGCTTATGTAAGATTTTATTTGCAAAATTATTTATTTTGACAGAGTTTTTCTAACATAACTCTTTTATCATATAGCTTAAATGCACGTGGATAAAGAAGGTAGCTGTAAAATAGTAGAAAAAGAGTAAAGGAAGATAGTCGAAAAATAATAAAACTACCCTTTTCCACAGCAATAGATTTACTCCCTATTACGTAATTTTATTTAGAATACTATATTTTTTTAAGACTTCTATGCTAGAAATATATATTGTGTTATAGAAAAGTTCCCTTTACAAACATTTATGATATGGAAACAAGGAATAACCGGGCTCAGAACAACAATTTGTGGATCACATAAAGTGTTGTGCCATGTGGGGATCAAACCCACAATACTCAGCTCAGTAGGTAGCGCATTGGTGAGGGGACTGCTTAAACCACTAAGCTATCCATGCAGTCTACTTATAACAAACATGATGTCATGACGATGGAGCCAAGTGCTGACAAAGAATTCCTTTCATTTTGTGGAATTCTGGTTAATTCAAAGCTGTGTCATCAGGGCCCTGTTTATTATCAGTGAAAATTATTCTATCTGAAAGAAAATGTGTCTGAGCCTACTGTATTTTTAATAGCTTATTATGCTTTAATAATTTTTAACATTGCGGAAACTATCATGTAGTAACATTATAATCTGCAGTTACGCAGTCAAATCCCGACGCGCTGAGCGCAAGAAAGATCTGGCGGCACAGCAAATGTACTACAAGTTGATGCTGAAAGAGGACTCAGATGCGGCCCTACTCAGAATATTCGAGTGTTTCCTAGAAGCAGCTCCTCAACAGGTGCTTCAGACTAGTTTGCTGTTGAGAGTGAATCAAGAGTTTGCTGGTAAGTTACATTTTTTTAGTAAAGTATAAACAATACTAGCCAACCTGCACAATTCCGTATACGTCTTTCAAAAGGTTTCTTTTTTGTAACATTTTTCCTCCTCCTCTCCCTCCTAGTGTTCGTAGCGTGATGTTATACAGCCTATAGCCTTCCTCGACAAATGGGCTATCCAGCACTAAAATAATTTTTCGATTCGAACCAGTAGTTCCTGAGATTAGCATGTTCAACCACACAAATTCTCCAGTCTTATAATATTTGTATATTATATGACTCTCCCGGAGCGCCAGGCCCGGCAACGGGCCAGGTACCGCAGAGGACTCAGGCACCGGAGGTCGCAGAATGACCTCCGTCCTCCATAAGCGCCGTCCGGGGTGGTGGCGAGACGCGCTTCGAAGCGCGCGCCCCCCTTTCGGGACCACAAAGGGGTGCCCACACAGGAGGGAGTCATTTACGCAAGTAGATGGCCCGAGGTACGTCGGAGTATCAGGGTTTTCCTTCCTAGGGTACACCTGGTTCCCCAGCAACTGGTACCCAAGACGGCGTGCGGTTTTTGGTCGGTTCGAGTCCGTAATAACCACCGGTAGGTGGAATCCGAGAGGATTTCCGCACAAAAAAAAAACAAAGTATATTATATGATAATAAAAATCCTGTAACTAGTTATATAAATTCTATTATATTGATAATTTATCATGTCAATGAGACATCATAATCTACATACCATTGTCCACAGTTCATCAGGTTCTGTCAATAGCATCATCAATAATAGGCATGGGCTGGTGCTTGGCAGCATACCAGCGAGCTGTGCGCTTTGCACAACAAGACAAGGACAACATGAGCTGGGTCGGAACTGCCTTGCAGACTATGTTTCATTTTCTTGTTACATGTAAGTAGAACAAAGTTTCAATTACATTTAAATGCGTTAAAGTTTGCAAACGTAGTGTAGGGCGCACTGCACGCTGAATGGACTTCTTGAGGTAAAATGGCTGGATGCGGACTGCCCAAGACTGGGATAGTTGGCGTTCCTTAGGCGACGCCTTCGTTCACCAGTGGACGACGATAGGCTGATGATGATCAAAGATTTGCATGTTAAAACTAATCTGGACTAAGAGCGCGCATATGAGACTAATTTATACATGACAACTGAGGTGTGCAAGCTGATTGGGGGAATTTTTCGGCAGGGAGCACTATAGTTTTCAAGGCGCGTAACCGACGTGTGACGGCTACACTGACTAACAGGAATTTGAATGTTGCTACCCAGTAAATAGAATCTACATTCACCATGCAACACACGTTGACCAAGAAACATTTTAATCATTTATCATTTATGAACCAAATATTAGACCAGGCCACGTGCTGACTTTACCCTAACTTCTGACCTGTTCGCGGGGATACAACAGTACTTGTTTATATTGAGCTTAATGGACTAATTACTCAAAATGCTTAGGTTGACTGAGAAATACCTATATTTTAAAAATATTAATTTTGCTATCTTCGATTAATCAATATTTTATTAATGTACACCTTTTTTATTTTCAGTGAGCCGCATAATATCAATATCCATCATCGCTTTTCTCTTTCCGCATTGGACGATTCTAGCCTGCGGAATTCATATCCTCATCACCGCTACACTTCTCCAGATTTTCGACCGTTCCCCGTTCTGTTCGCACACCTGTCTCGGCAGCATTTCTTTCTCTATCGCACTCGGGGGCGTTTACCTCTTCACATACATCATTCCAGTTGAAGGCAAAACGAGATATAGGTACGCAATCTACTATACGATTTGTTTCATGCAAAACATTGCATGTGGAGTAGTGTGGTACCTTTATGGAAGAAATGAGGTATATTTCTACCCACTATTGATTTTTACTGTGGTCCCGTATGTGGTAGGAATTATTATTATGGTGATCTATTATAGGTTCTTTCACCCCAAAGTCAGTAAAAAGGAGTTCGCTGTTTCGTTCAGGAGTGGGAATGAGATGAGCTAGTATATTTATGTATGTATATTAGAAACGAGAAGTTTATTTTTTATTTTAATATTTTTACCTTGCAGTATCTGCAATTTTAAAGGATTATTAAAACAATAACTTGTTCTAAACCAACTTACGCATATAAAATTATTTTACATTTGTTTGAAGTGAATTAATTATGAAGGTAGAATGAAAAATTTCATTCGAAAATCTTTATTTTCGTACAGAAAATAATTGCTTGAATAATTCGTAGGTGTTTCCGAACGGCGTGTTATATTATCATTTTTTATGAATAATAAATGATGTTTATTATGAAATCATCACACATCAACAGCCTTTAATGGTCCACGCTGGCCAGACGAGTTGGTATAGGGTTTGTGTCACGGGATGAATACACGGGTGGTGACACTCTGTATTCTTAATCCGTCACCACACAGGAATGGTGTAAAAATGCATTAACCAACTAAAACTTATTTGATGATTCTTTTAAGACTGTTTTGATACGTAACTGCCCACAATTTCGGCGATTTGTAAACTCTCCAAACGTAGTTGAACATTTAGAAATTCTAATAAGTATCATCAGGCTAAAAATATTTAAGTAAAGACTTCCCTTTTATGGGAAGATCTGGTTTTTTACCACGACGCATAATATAATAACATTAATTAATTATGGACCAAATATAACTCCTTGTGGAATTCCTCACAAATAACTACATTTGTTAAAAGGGAATTTGGATTAACGAAGTCAAATACCTTATCAAATCTATTGTGTATATTATATACATATGTGTATATATACCAGTATATTATGTATAGTTGTTTATGTTCTACGTAATTGATTGTTTACTTGTATAATTATAATTTATTCCTAAATATTGTAAACTATATGTAAATGGCGCCATATCTCCTAATTATGATTAAAATTAGACTTCGATAGTTACGTTTTTTGCGAATATAGCGATTTATTGCTATCTTCTATAGATTACATATTCTGATAATAATAATAATAGTTTCCTCACATACCCAGCAAACGGTAACTAAGGAGTTACCGTAAACACATAACCTACGTGTTTGTAAACTTATATCATAAAACATGTAAACTTTAATGTTACCATTAGTCTTATAAAACACTGAACAAAACATATTTATGCAAGCCAGCAATTCAATTTATTTTTGTATATGTATACATAGTATTTATAAACATCTTATATGCCCTTACATGATTGGGTATACATATATTTTTTATGATGTAATACATTATTTTATTAAATTCATTAACAGCCTTTAACAGTCCACTGCTGGACATATGCCTCTCCTTAGAAAGGAGGTTTTGGCCTACTATTTTATTAAGTTAGTTAACAATTATGTGACTCATATCAATATCTGGTGCTCTATTCCAACAATCCTACATATTAGAATCGTGTAAAGTCGATTTGCCAAGTATTTTGAATCAACTATATTCCCGTTAAGAAAATAGTGACGTATCTCATGCAGCGGGGAAGCCCCGATTCCTGACCAATCAGGTTCGAAGCTTTCGTACGCAACGATAATTTCTTGAAACCTAATTGGTCAGGGCTTGAACAATGCTTCACTAGTTTCTAGTTTGGAATCTTCTTGCCTCACTAGTTTGGAATTAGTGTAAAGTTGCCAGAGTAAAAAAAAAAATTCGGTATAAGACTGTGTAGTATTAAGCAGAGAATATATTTTAATTATGAATATTAGAATAATCTTTTCTGTATGTTGGTGTTAAATTAATAATATTTCCTTTTTTAATAATACTCAAATTGTCAAAATTCTGTACTTACCAGTGAATCTCTAGCGATATTCGCCAAATGACTGTAGTTTCGTATTACATTTAATAAATTATCTTTTCGGAGGAACATGTCTTTCATTTTTGGTGTCCTGCCTTAAAAGCCTTCAATAAAAAGAAAGTCTAATGAATAATTAGAAATGTTAGGTATTTTAAGAATAGTTTGTTTTAGGAATTGAATCTGTTACAAAATAATGATTGATGAATTGATCAAATAAAATTGTGTTTAAAATGCTTATAATAAAGTTCCTATTGGCGTTAAACCTAAAATTTATTACTATACTCACCACCTCTGCTTAATTATTTTTGTTACGAATTATTTTATATTTAAATATAATAAAATTAAAACAAATATATTTTATTGTTTTTATTCAAGTTATTACCAAATAAACGGCGCGCGTTCTCTCAATATTCTCAAACCATACCTATTCCATTCACTTTGATTAATCCAAAGTTCTATAGCAGACTCCAAACAAGACATCACAGCAGCTCCCTTCCAGACTGTGCTGGCTGGATCTATGTCCTTTGGAGATGTAACTATTTCCAATTGCTCAGTCTTATATGTGTAAGGAATCTGTAAAGCTAAGCGGTTCTGAAGCCATAAATTGAGTCCATGGATCTTCACGCCACCTCCAACTATGAGTATATTACTGTACATTTTACGTTTTAATTCTTCATTGGGACAACGGTCTATACTTTGAAGAATAGCTGCATCTAATGCTAAAACTTGACCTGGAGCCAAAGCGACTACATCTCCTGGACCACCCTCTAAAGTATCCACTACAATGTCTTCGTCTTGATTAGCTGAAGGCTGAGGTTCACTAGCTGCTTCAAACTGCTGAGATTCATTTGCTGTTGGATCAGCAGTTTCTCGTTTCCTGCCTGTCTCCCTTAGAAATTCTGCATCAAATGGATCTTCAGGGTCACTCGGCTGACGGTTTTGGATTTTTGTAGATTTAGAACCAGTTATTTTGAGTAAGTCTGTATAAAACATTGATAAAGGTGATATGATGCATTCATCACCCACTTGTAATGTGTATTTGTTCACAACATCACCAGGATGATCAACAAGAAAGCTTTTCTCTTGTGGACCACAAACATCAAGGTTTACATGGCAAAAGTTTTCATATAAATTCCTCATTAGGATCACATCTCTGGGGATATTTTCATTCCAATTCTTGTATGGAAATGCACTTTTATGAAACATCCATGACAATGCTTGGCAAACATCTCCAGCTCCATAATCCATTCTCAGCCTAGTTGTCTTATGGGAAATTCCATCTTCCACACATGATATTGCTGTTTTCTGATCACCTATATCTACTACACATGCAGAACCTATCCCAGCACCAAATGTGGCTCCGACGCTCTCTTGAACTAAAAAACAGTGACCGAAACCCAAATCCTTCAATAATAAAGACATTAAATACTTCAAATGACTTCGAGAATACAAATCTGGGATCAGTAACACACATCTGTACTTAATTAGCTCTATTAAAGGTATTCCTAGTTTATACTCAATGATAGAACTCCAAATTGTATAAAGATCATTCAAAACTGATGAAATTGAACCACCAACTTCAGTATGAATGTTGAAATCACCCCTTCGGTAAGGGAAATGTATATTATATGGCAATTCTGGATCAATATCTAGGACTAGATCGCCTATAACGATGTCACATTCAACCTGAGGCCACGGTTCCCCGTCGTTCACGATTTCAGGTAAAGAGCGACGATTAAATGCAGCAATTTGTTGAGGGGGAGTAGCGTACCTCCTCGCACCATTTGACTGAACACAAGTTTGCAGTGTATGAGATATTTGCAGGCGGCATTCTTCTAATTCCTCGATCAATTCTTTCGTTTTCGGTACACTGGGGGGTATAAAGGAATCGCGATAGATTTTTCCTCCATGACGACGTTTTCTGGCTATGCAATGTAGCTGTTTTACTGGTAATAAGTCCGAAGCTCTTCCTATACGTATGTATAACGACCCAGGATGGATAACAATAATCCTATTGGACGGAAACTGTTGGAAATGTTCCGGTCCCGGTTCATACGCTGGCATACTCATCTGTAAGTATTTATAGTGCTTTACATGAAACTAGTATTCAGTATACTTATTAAATTAATATTACATGAGGTAAAAAGTAAACCTTACGATCGAGTACGATCCTTAAATTTATTTATCGATGAATTTTTTTCAAATTGTAAACATAACCTTTACATTTAAATGACACAAGATAATGGTTATCGAACGAGCCCAAATATATTAATGTATTTCGTTCAGAAACGTTGAAACAAAAGAATTTGAAAAATAAATATGCATAATGTTAGGCAACTGGATTTCGTATTCAAACTAAGATATTTTCTAATATTTTAACGACGTAAATATTATTAATATAATAGTTCTGTCATTTTATAACTAAATCTCAATTTTCGATGAAATTGTGTTACCGGTTTTCAATTTCATTTTTTATTTTAAAGAGAAATAAATTAATAAATATGATTGAAAGCCTATGGCCTATAACCAAATCCTATCATTTTGTATCGACGAAATCTAAGAAGAAAGTGTTTTAGAAAATAACTCATCGCATGCATTACAACCTAATATTATAATAGCAGCAATAATTTTATGTATTCGAACAAAATGAACGAACTAGGTTAAATGATAAATTTGTCTAAATGTCATCTGTCAAATTGTCATATAATGTCACCCCATTGTCGTGTCACTGTACAGGAGAAAATAAACATTTTCATTTTCAATCCGAAAACTATTTAAAATTGACCGTGAAAATGGTGTCAAGAAGCTTAACAGAGGTGTTTGTGTTGATGCGGAACAATGCTATCCACAGCCGGCACATATTCGCTGAACAGGCAAATACTTTTACATATTATTGATTTATAGTTTTTCATCTATATTTGAATATTAAATGATGTAATTTTAACTAAGTAGCGAGTAACCAATTAAGTTGGTTTTGTATTTTTTCTATGTTGATCAACATAACATTTTTTGGGATCTTGGGATGTCAGATTAATTTCGCTATCAAAAGTCGCTCTTTATTTCTTTTCTGCTGGTTTTAAAATGTTATAAACACTTTTTCGTATTAGATTTATACAGAAATGCACGCATTTTGGCATTAATTCTCAAGCGTATTTTATTAAAACATAAAAACAATCTTAATAATACTTAAATAGTTTATTTAAAATGAAACTTTGTGAAACTAAATTTGAATTATATTTTAGCGTTCTCATATGGGACAGGTATGGCATCTAAACGAATATTTACAGCAAGATGATATAAATTTAATTATCTGTTTTTACTTTACTATTAACTAGCAGACCCGTGCCCACTTCGTTGGGCATAATGTTAATAATCCTTTTTTAGTACAGAGTGTTATGTTTTATTTTCTAACTGCCAAAAGGAGGGTTATACGCAGGTATAGTTTGTATTTGCATGCTAATACAAAATTCGAAAGTAACTCTGTCCGAAAGAAAAAACATTTTCTGCGGGATTGCGATAAACGTATTCCATGAGGACCAAGTCGCGGGCAAAGTTAGTTTGAATATGGTAATTTTAATTGTTCAAAACTTCTCTGTAAACTATATTGGATGTAATGTTATCATTTGGTAGCAAAATATATTGTCTATCAGGAGTTCCAACCCGAGATAAGCCAACATATAACTGCCCATGGGAAAAACACGGCTTTCTCAGGTCAATGCCCACCAGAGAGAATGTCTGACCTTGGTACTTGTTAATAGTGAGGGCAAAAGAGATCTTCACTGGAAACTGTAGCCTTTTAAACGGTATGGGTAAATCAGTGGGAATCATGGGTATCCGCGGAATTTAAGCCAGTTGTCCCTGTGAGAATGGTCGCCACGATTATATTGTCCCGTAACTCTTTTGTAAGCAGCCTTGTCCCATTACACATGTTGGGGGGGGGGGGGGGGGGGGGGTTCAAAGAATTTAAAAATTCTTAGGGATAGTGCACTGTATCCTCAATATTACACACCGTATCAATAGACTTATAGTGACCTGACCGGGAATTTTCTCTAAAATGAGTTTATTTATTTCAGTCACTGTATCGTTTCTGGCTGACACTATTGCCCTAGAACAAAGCCAATGATAATCTCTCTCCAATAAATATTCAAGACCGGGATATATTACGTCAATAAGATGTTCCAACCTGTGCAATATGTGTCCTAATGTCTCGTCAAGTTTAATGTAATTGCTGTTGGTGTTAGGAGAGACAATTTTTCCTTCGCCAAGATTGAGTAGTTGACGCGGAAAGTCGTCATCGTCGTTGTCGCTCAAATGGGCTCTCATGTTTGTTCGTAAATTGAGAGATACAACCGAACTCCATAAGTGAGATGATTTTAAGCATGCACTGATGACATCGGCGCGTGTTCCTTTTGTTACTACAGGCAGTGTGTTTGCCGAAAATCACCCGCGAAAACAAAAGTAACGCCACCCATTACAGCATCAGAGTTTCTGAGGTCTTTGAGCGTTCGGTTTACTGCTTCAACATGAGCTCTATGACTCATGGTACATTCGTCCCATATAATTAAAGATGTTTCTTGTAAAAGTTTCCCGAGTGGCCCATTTTTACGTATGGAACAAACTGACTGTTGCTCTAGTGAGACTGTCAGAGGTAGCTTAAAGGTGGAGTGCTACTTTTTGTAACTTAAATATAAAAGTTAGACATATGCTGTCGTTGTATATATTATATATATTAACGTTTGTATATATTAACTTTTTTGTTGGCATTTTCAAGCTCCACATCTTTTTTCTAGAACTCAACAATATATCTTTCATAGTTAAGGCAGCGTTCGTTAGAAACGCTTTCATTCGACCGTTTTATCTTCGATTCACTTTGCAAAACGGACTACCACGTAAAAGCCTTTTTATTTTTCGGTTTTTTTATATAACCTATGACACTCAGTAATAATGTGGCTTTCTATTGGTGAAAGAATTTTTAAAATCGGTTCAGTAGATCCCGAGATTACCCCTTACAATTTAACAAATATACAAACACACAAACTTTACTTCTTTATAATATTAGTATAGATTGAGCAATTTTGCTCAAGTAACACTTTTTAAACTTTGTTGTAATCATCATGTTTTTTATTTTCATGCTATCCACATATCTTTTTCACCTTTTCAAATTCAAACCTTAGAAATATTTATAGTTAATACCTGAGTATGGTTTTACAAAAATTTCATTTATAAGTCATAAATTCGTAATTTACTGCAAATTTTTCAATTTACTGCACTAACACTAGCTTATGGTGATACTAGGTATAAATTACTAGGTTTGGTCATTTGATTCAAGCAGCAGTTGCATTATTACTATGGGGCGATAGACAACTGTCTCATATTATCGGGCATGTTTTGGTGTAACTACACTAAAACATGCCCGATAATATGACTGAAGAATTGTGTAAAAAAAAAAACTGTGACCATGGCACTTGTGATGTAGTGGTTGCAGTTTCTAGTGTATCAACATTAAGCTTGACTAGGAGTTTTAACAAGAATACTAGTAATGTGTAATTAACAACATTTTTTAAAATATTGCTTGTATTAAAATAGCAGCAAGTATGACACTGACAAATCTTAAAGCTGTGCTATATTAGGTGAAATAGGACTGGCCTGTTGGTCTAGTGGTTAGTAACCCTAACTGCTATGCCACAGGTTGTGGGTTTGATTCCCACCTAGGACAAATAATTTTGTGATAAGAATGGTCATTGGTTCTGAGTCCGGACATACCTTATCTATAATATGTGTGTTTTTAGAAATACATAAGTATGTTTATCAGCGGTCTGTTTACCATAGTACAGGCTCTGCCTAGTTTGGGATCAGACGGCCGTGGGTGGAATGTGTGAAAATATTATTATTTATTTTATTTATTTAAATTTACTGTCATCATCAATAATATGTATTTGAGAGGTTCTTAAAGAATTACTCAACTGCAAAAAGTTAATAGCATAAATATTTCATATGTTAAGACTTAATTTATTTCTCTAAGTTCTGTATACCTATCACCAGTTCAAAATGAATCCAGCCCATCCAAAGGCTGCCTGGAAGAAATTGCACTAAGCGATAAGGCCGCCCTTCGTACATTACATCTGTTACTTTATAATGTCTGTAAAACCCTGGTGTACAAACAAAGTATTTATCTATCTATCTTTCCAACAGAGTAATGATTCGGAGCGGGTACGGCTGATGAGAAGCAACTCTCATGACATGGAAGCTGGTATGGAACTACGGTCAGATTCACATGCACCCCCACCCTGGACAGACACTCTCGAGGAAGCACATTATGTCATCACAAGGTTGGTAGCTCATATTTAACTCTCCACAGCCCTGCATTGAAGTCTATGAAGAGTATTTGAAATGTGGAACGTGTACTAATCACTGGAGATCCTGGAATGATTTTGATAACTAGATTAATTCTCTCCTGTCTCTTTCTGTGAAGCTGTAATGCTCCAGAGAGAGACTGCTGAACGGGATCGGGAAAGAGCCAATCCCGAGCGAAGAAAACCGCCGCCGAAGGGACAGTGGGCCACCAGAGAGTGCGGACCTCTGGTGGCAGATTAATTGGTGCTGTGGGGGATAGGGTGGCGGCCTGATTGCACTTAACATGTGATCCGGCCGTCTGATAGGCAGGAAGAAGCTACTGACTTCCCCTGAGATAGGGCCTAGTTAGGTGCGGCGTCGATCTGGGCGGGTTCTAAATCACATTTCCCGGGTTCTCCCTAGAGCAGGGCGCCTGAAGCTGGCCGTCGGGGTAGTTTTTAGTTTAAACACCACATACTCCTGGCTCCTATGTCCCCAAGGAACCGGAGAATTTTCCACCCCATCACCAAAAAAAGAAAAAAAATCTATCTTAAGTTAAACCTCCACATTTACGACTATCACTATAGATAAACCTCTAAATTTAGTTGATCCCCGTTACCGTTCTACCTCAAGAGTGAAGACTCAATTAAGAGGTTTATCTGTGGAAACACGCCAGTAAAACAATGTGACTAAACTAAAAAAGGACTCTGATTACCCCAACAAATCCTCGATCCTGTTATACGTTTGCATCTCAAACTTACCCAATATGTGCCTCTGAGCATGCTTGCCCAGGTGGCTATCGTGACCAGATCACGACATGTGTTGCCATTATAATCGGATATGTAAGAACAGCAGGCTGTAAAATTTCAAAAACACGTTTGCCAACAGCTCGCTAAGAATTATCTGCTCCCTGTGCATCAATAACTGTGTACAAATACATCTTATGACGTGCGTTGTGTTCGTTTGAAGTAATTATCTCAGAAAAAGTGACGCAAGCACTTAACTGATAGTACAATAGAAACAGGAAGTGTTCAACAATTAGATTGTTAGAGCATTATACATCATGCACTTTTGGTGCATTGGCGGACTTAATGCCTAAGGCATTCTCTACCAGTCCACCTTTGGATGATGCAGAGAGAACAGGCAGTAGGTGCATTTTGGTTAAAGTTTGTGCAATTATCTAGATGTTTAGACATTATCAAGAAATTAGGGAAAATTAAATCAGAAGAGGAAATAAATATGCATACGTAATACATAAGTGTAATACATACTTAATTCTTAAGAAAGTTGGGTTTAAAAAAGGACTGCGTGAAGACAATTGGGCCTCAATTTTGCTATTTTATGTTCAGGCCAAGCCACTGTCATACCACTGACACGCTATTGAGATGCTATCGAGTGGCCATTGGCATCGGTATAAATATCGGTAGTCTACACTAACTCAGTGTCTTTACAGTAGCGATGGAATGGCAGTGGCTCATCAGTGGTGATATCAAAAAGATTGCCATATTTGGAAAAATAAATAAATAATTTCCTCAAAAAACGTAATATATTTTCAAATTATAAGGACGCGTGTCAATGGTAACAGTGGCTTGGCGTGAACATGAAATAGCAGAATTGAGGCCCTGGTGTCTGTCTTAAATGTTGGGATGAGACTGAAGACGGTTTACTCGCTAAACCACTGAGTATGCAGAGTAGAAGTGTAGGGTGTGCAAAAATGATGCATAAGGCATCTATAACGGTTCTAGGCGCTGCCTTACTCTGCCACTAAGACAGATCGTTAGAGCTGGGTCAGTCAGCGTGTGTAATTTACGTTAATAACAAAAGTAGTGTGATGTGCTCCGCGCTTGTACATGAGACGCAGCGTCAGATGTGTGCCTCAATATAAATTTATGACAAGCCTTAATTAGGTCAGTCTTAAATTGATTTTAAATGTTGTTTGTTTGTTTTGACGACCGAATGGCGTAGTGGTTTGTGTAACGGACTGCTATTCCAAAGGTCGCGGGTTCGATTCCCGCTCAAGTCAAACATTTGTGTAGGGTAAAAGCCGGATAGTTGCCCCACTTTTCAAAAAAGCTTTATTTTTTTTAAATATTTACTTGCTGAAAATTATACGATATGTATTTCATAACATAGGTCTTTTATCTTCTATTATAGCCTATTTTTGTTAACATAATTAACATTGCTTTTATTTAAATCCTGTTTTATTTGGCCTCTGAAAAAACGGATAGTTGCCCACTGTGGCGGATAGTAGCCTAGCGTGGAAAATCCTTCGAGGGATACTTGCCTCGTACGAGGATAGTCACCTCGATATATATTGGTTTTTTTCCGGATAAAAATAAATTTATATCAATTTAATTAATCTTTATCATTTATTTATCAGTCTTCATAATTTAATGAGTTCTTTTATTAAGTACACATTAAAATGTTAATTAACATTATTAAATATTATTCAAATTTAAGGTTATTATTAATCTTCTCTTCCTTAAAGCTTTTCCCTTATTATGTTTCATAAACTCTGCGTTATCAGATTCAGTTTCACTGCTATATCAATATATTTTTTGGTGTTTTTATTTTTTTGCGGTTTTCCTTTTTTTTTCTCAATGCTTTTCTTGTTACCAGCTAGTTTGTTTTTTACTGTCTAACATTTTTCTTTTTCTCTGTGATAATTTTATTTGTTTTTTTTTTATTTTTTCGGCTTTATCCTTCTTCTGGACTATTTTATCGTCAGAGTTTAAAATTTCTGCCGATTGTTTAGCTCTTTTAGTCATGCTAAGTGGTATTACAAGTGCTAAGCATCTTCTGTCCAGCTGATGTGGCGTGGCACCACGCCTGGTTTTCGCTTGTACTTGCGAGGCATTTTGCTTTCCTAAAATAAATATATAAAACAGTTAACTATTTATTTTGTTTAAAACAAGTTATAAGTCACAGTAAATTGGAAAAAACAACAAAAGAAAAAAAAACTGTGCTTGCTCGATGAAGAATTTACAGTCACTCTAGGGGCAACTATCCGCAAAAGTAAGTAGGGCGACTATCCTTTTTGATGCGGATACTTGCCCTTTATATTTAAAAAATAAAAAAAAACTATTGGGTAATAAAACATAATAAACATTGTAATTTAGACTCTAATGCATACAAAGAAACAAAAAGTTGACTGAAAGCACCATCAATAATAAAAATATTCAACTAAAATTACTTACCAAAATAAGATCAACGCCCGTCAGCGTTTTACAGCGGAAGATTTTTGCTCACACGGACAAAACACGTTCGCCTACTCCGATTGCTTACATGGCACGGAGGCCTGTGGGGGGTCACTTCTTATTGTAGTAAAGCGCTAACATAACTAATACTCCCATCATAGTGTATTCAAAACCGGGGCAACTATCCGTCTGAGGCAACTATCCGGCTTTTACCCTACATGAACATTTAATGTTTGATATGGTCTGGGTGTTTCTATGTATAATAAGTATGTATTTACAGAAAAAAAAGTATATATGTATTTATATCAGTTGTCTAGTACCCATAATACAAGCTCTGTTTAGTTTGGGACTAGATCGCGTTGTGTGAATGTGGTACAATATTATTTATTTTATTTATTTATTTACAACATACTTCACGTATTCGTCAGTTTAGCATTTAACAGGGAATAAACCGTTTTTCTTAGAATCAAATTCTTTTACGGTAAGTTTTTTTTATGCCATGAGAGGCAAACGGTTACCCGTTGGTGACCAATGCTGCCAAGGACACCTGTTATAGTCACAGAATGCGTATTGCACCGTGAGTCATCCCCCCCTCCCCCCCCAGTATCTGGGAGAGGGGGCTTTGGGCTCTGGTAACTTCACTCACTGTATGAAAAGCGAGGAAAGAACTTCTTAACACCGGTTTTCTGTGAGTCATGTTGCCGAGCTGGCCCATTTGCACCGAAGCATGGCTCCCTCAGCCCCCAGGTCTACATGAATTTGATGTCGTATGATTACTTGTAAAAGCATGTAGAAAGCTTAAGGCGTGACAACATACCTGCTTGGAGTAAAAGTCAGCTATAGAGATAGGCAATGACCTTCTAATATACGTTTTACATTTTTTGTATCTACTCAACAATACATGTGTTCCATAAATATACATATTTACATAACTTCATAATCCTTCCACAGATTAAAAACAAAGATCTCGGAGCTCCAAACTCGCCACGAGAAGCAGATTCGGCGGCCAGCTCTTGACGACACCACAGAACAGCAACACATACAGCGGCTGACGACAGAGATAGGTCGACACTTCACGCACGCGCACACCCATCTTACGGTTATTAAAGCTCAGATAAGACATGGTAAGACCTTTACACAAATTTATATACTTATATAAAAGTTTATTATTCTGTGGAGTAACGGGTGTCATGTCCCTTCAACACAAAGGGAGGATCCTCCGACCAGGCGATGTGATCATGCCTGACGGGTCGCGGCCCACGGGTTGATGTTGGGCGGTTGTATATACGCTAATTGGCGAGAGAATTGTTAATAGCGCGATACAGGATTAGCAGTTTAGTTCGGTGTGTTCGGTGTGATGGCGATGTAATATGCTTGTTCGTTTTCACCGTATGTGGAAGTCGCCACAATTCATTTTCGAGCATGTTTTTTATTATATCAGGAAACTCAGCATATATGTTATGGTATTTTTCATAAAAATAATAATTAGAAAGGACCACCTACCCAATATTGAGTAGTAGGCATTGATTGGGTTAAGCAATTCTTACGTTGGTGACCGTCTGATAGCCCACTATGCCATAAAAAAATGGAGTTTGCTATTGCAAAAGGTATTTTACTGGTTTCTTATACAGCCTGGTTCATAACAATCCTGGCATCAGAGCAAGCTTACCACCATCTTAGGTATGTAATCGTATTTAGGAAGGGAGTAAAAAGAAGATAAATTAGATCAGGGAATCGTAGAAGATAAGAAAACTGGAACACAAGACTAAGACTGCGTGCTAGGGTCGCGTATGGGACATATCCATCAACTGACCATCGTGAAATTCCATGTAATGGCAGGTAATAGCCATAAATACTGTTCAGTTTGTGTCAGTATACAAAAACCGGGAGTAGATAACAGTGCACGCCATAAAACTAGTACTGTGTGGCGTTGTATCGCTTATCAGGCTGAGTAGAAAGAGTTTTGTATCACTTAAAGTAAATATGCGTTCGCACTTGTAGAATCCTTAGATATGATAAGAGTATAACGGTTTTTTTTATATAATTAGAGATAGCCTGGTGTTCGATTGTAATTAATTGAGTTTGAACGTTTTGTTTTATTGTCGATGCCCCGTCCGACTGACGTCATGAGTCTATCCGGCGTTCTTCATCCCTAACTTGCGGTATCACGATTAAATTTCCAAAAAGGGTTGACGTCAGGGTGACTGGCCATAGCCGTAACCAGCCAAAAGTCTTTGCAATGTAACATTGCAGCTACTTCAAATACCATAGGATAAAGGGCAGGATGTTGTTTGTTTTGCTTCATGAACTAATATATCTGGATCTGTCATTGTATAGGTATTCTTTATCTTGATACGTCAACATATGAAAGTCCCGCTTCTTCATCGTTTTGGTATAATTTTCAAACGTATAACATATTCGAATTACAAGTTGTAACTCAGTTCTTTTGCACTTCTTCCAAGAACATATTTCACTTTTCTAAGTTTTTTTTACGTATTAATATTAAGTAAGTATATCATCCGTGTGGTGACGGATTAAGAATACAGAGTGTCACCACCCCTATTCATCCCGTACCCAAACCCTAAACCAACCCGTCTGGCCAGCGTGGTATAGTAGGCCAAAACCTTTCTAAGGAGAGGCTTATGTCCAGCATTATGTGATGTGAAGTATATTATCTACAATGTCATCTGCTTGCATTATGGCAGATTTTCTTATAGATACAAATATAATACGGAACAAACTATATTAATATTAATCCGTCTGAAAGTTTGGCGAGCCGCATAAACGAGCTCAAACAAAGAAAAAATAGGTTTCGATGAATAAACACAATGAACAACAAAGTGACGAGAAAAGTAACCGCATATAACTTTTTTCCAGGAAACCAAACAGAACAAAAGTTAGCCACCAACGTAGTGCTAGCTCTCGTCACCATACTCCAAGATCTTAGCGTCACCTTCCGCACAGCACAATCCACGTACCTGAAATCTTTGACGTCGAGAGAAGAGAGGTCTAACGCCTACTTCGAACTCCCCAACTTCGAAGAACTCAGCTTAGACGACAACGATCTCCTGCCAGGTTTGTCGAACAACCAAACAGATTTATTATTTTCTCTACCCAGCACTTCGGGCACCCAGAAATTTGACCAGGACGGAGATGACTATCAAGCCAGGCCAGCGTTTAATCAGAAGCAATTGCTTCTAATACAAGAAGAGAACACGAGGGATGTGGCAGAAAGGGAAGAAGAAGTGAACAAAATCGTTCGTTCAATAGTTGATTTAAATGATATTTTTAAGGATTTAGGTCAGATGGTACACGAGCAGGGGACAATTTTGGACAGGATAGATTATAATATAGAACAAACGCAGGTTCAGGTCCATGAAGGGTACAAGCAGCTGCAAAAAGCAGAACGGTACCAGAGGACGAACAGGAAAATGCACTGTATACTCATGCTGGCGATAACTATCATAGTTTTAGTAATATTATTGATAATTGTGAAGAGTTAGTTGGTTTATAGTGGAGTGAAGGCCTTATTTTTTGTAGATAAATTCGCCATTTTGGCGGAAAATACTAGATTTATCCAAACCTTTGACAAAGATTAAATAACCTAAGTAGTGTTAACATTATAATGTTCTTCTCTAAATATCTTCTCAAGCTTTTTTTGTAACATCAAAAGCGCGGATCTTAAAGATTACCATTGAGTTTTTTTCACATTAGCTCGATTTCGACGGCGGCTGCGTTGGCGCTGAAGTGTTCAGTGAGGACCAATCGCCAATAGACCCCAAGTATAAACATTGAAGGGAAAAACAAAGAATCCTACCTCGCGATTGTTAAATTTACATGTCGGTTTATAATGTCGCTCAACATTAATATATTAAAAAAAGCTGGAGTAGATATTAAGAATACCTGAGGTTATATTCGCATAAAAATAATAAAAATTAATATACTTCCATAGTCTAAATGATTAGTAAAACGCCTTATGGCAGTCAAATGCCCAAACTAGATTCGTGTATGAAACAAGAATATTTAGCTACGTATATTATGTGACCATGCATTTTGCAGCGTCATATCTTCTGCACATTTTAGTCTCAGCTCCAGGATTAAAGTATTTTAGAATAGTTTGTATATTTTGCAAAAGACCATGTTTTAGATGCTAAGATATAGCTTTAAATGTAAGTTTTTTTGGAGCATTTTGACCCCTAAAATCTTAAATTGATTTAAAGTCAAGTATCAAGAATATATCAATATTTTCATGGGCTTGTTGATCTAGTGGTTAGTGATGCTGACAGCTGAGCAATAGGTCGTGGCTTCGATGCCCGCCTAGGTCAAAACCTTGATTTCTGCCTAGTAATTTATCTATAATAATAGGATTATTGTCCAGAAGCCCGTCGATATAATAACGAAGTATCTAAAAGTAATTAAAAATCGAGATAAGCCCGTTGATCCTTCTTAGATCTTCAATCTTAGAATGGACACACCCTTCCCTTCTCCCTTCCATCCCTTGTCCCAGCCTATACCCTCTACCTTTTCCTGTTTTCGTTTTACCGTTTACATTCCAAAAAAAGGTGGCGTCAGCCAGAGAACGGACTATAAAATATACCAGCCAACCCTTCGCAATGTTACACGTTGTGACGACCTCTTAATAAAGTTGAGTGTAAATGTTTATGAGTTTTTTAGTTGAGTTGTTATTTTATGGTATGTAGGCCACGAGTTATGGCAATTAACTACCTTGGACACCTGCAACCAAAGTGTCAAGTGTGTTGCCAAATATCCCCCCTTCCCCCAGAATTTAGGGGGAGGGGGTGAGAGTTTGTTGGGCTCTGGTAACCTTACTCACTCGGTGAAAAGCAACGAATAAACGCTGTGTGTCCTGGTCGAGCCGGCCTATAAATAGCTTATTTGCCACGCATGGCTATGCCACGGTTAATGAGAGACCAATATAAGGTTAATATAGATATCCACCATCATGTCAATCGAAAGACGTCAACTCCTGGACATAGCCCTCCCCCAAGTTTCTCCAAAACAACAGGTCCTGTGTTACCAGCATCCAACCCTTACCGCGATCTTCACAGCTTATAGCTTTTCTGTTACTGTACTGTTATTTTGTTGAATTAGTGTTAAGGGGTCGAAATGTTATGTATTTATTATGATTGTGTAAAAATGCACACATTCTAGTCTCTATTTCTATTATCGTGTAGAATAATAAGATGTATTTATGGCGGTTCTTTAAAGATGTTGTGAGAGTGTTTAGAAATTGTTGGCAGAGCTGAAAATAAATCGGTTTATTATCTAAAAACATATTTTTGTTTCTTTTTTATCTTGTGTTTAGAGAAGCTGTTAGATTCTATCATTCGATTTCTTGTAGCTTGTTATGTGGGAACGTTACGCATGAAAAAGACATTCGTTTGGGTGATAATTTGTTTTAAAAAGACAACTCCCGGTCTAGGAATATATCCTGTCTCGGGGGATTTTACAGACAAACATGAAACTTACACAAAGAACACCTAGACTTAAACAACAATTTATGGATTACACTCTAACCCACAACACTCAGCGCAGGAGGAAGCGGCGAGGTGAATGCTTAAACCACTACGCCATCCGTGCAGTCACTTTTTGTTTTGAGTATGTGGTTGTGTTTATAAAATTCTCCTTGTCACAGGAATATTGCTATGGAGATGTTGTTTAAATACAACAATTGTATGTAAAATAATTGTAAAATGTAATATTTTTTTATTTTTTTTTGTAGTACACGAACAATTTACACATATCAATCAGTATTAAGTTTTTTTAGATTTGATTGCAATAATTATTTATTCTATTCTAAACAGATGCATTCTATAACTTTAATATTCCATTAATTTTGAACAAAAAATATAATCAATTTTCTTCCATTTGAATTTACTTTTCTGCTCTGGCAACAACATTGTTCTTATTGTAAGTGTGAGTGCCAATGTTGCCAACTATTTAATTAAAGTACCCAATCGGCAAATAAATTATTATATTTTCCCGTGTTATTTATGTACCAGTGCAGTATACAATTATTCAGTTAAAATATTATCTAACAGAAGAATTGACTAATTTAGAACTATTTATTTTTAGACGAAAATTACATAGTGTTTTAAATGACAGGTTGATTTTTGTAATTTAAAAAATGCATTTATTAGGAGAAAAAGTTTTACTCTAGTGTGTATTTAGAAGAAGACCGTTAAATTCAACGCCTCACACCCATGTGTGAGGCTGCACCTCTCACGTGCCACTACACTGATCAGCGCTCACCGGTGAAAGCATTTTACAGTGTAGCGGTATTTCGCGCTTTAGGCAGCTTATGGGAGGTTAATCCCTAGACAAAGTTCTCGTCGAGACCAAAAGTAGTCGGACATACCCGAAATACACACTTGAGGAAAAGCGTTTATCCCTTATACTACTACTTGTACCACTTACGAAAATTCGTAGATACACGAGTCTCCAGTCGCTCAGAGATCATGGCTAGTCTAACTTGGTTCAAAGGTCAAGGTAAAAATTGTGAGACTGACTCTTCTGCCTTGCCAATCCAAAACACTGTAACTTTTGAAAACGACTTTTGACCTTGAAAGTTTTTTTACCATGTTAAAACCCTAATTTCAATACAATACAGTATTTTTACACTTTAGAATAACAAAAGTTTTGATCAGGGGTACTAAACCGACGCGGCGACGTAAAGAAACTGATTAAGCGTTGTTAAGGCAAAACACTCTAAATCGAGTCTTTAACTACAAGAATTGGCTTTGTGGTAATTATGTCGAGGTTTTCTTTCTTAACACGTCATTGTTTTCAATACGAAAATCTTCAGATAATTTTCGATTTACATAAAATATTTATATTCTAGTATTACATCTCTCGTATTTTACAAGAATTTAATGGAAACCAATACTGCAGCCAAAAGCATGAATCAAAAGTAAATACATAATATATTAATCTTCTTTAATTTCTAACGATTTCCTGCACATGTTGAAGTCGAAAATTTCAAAATTAATTAATTTATTAGAAATAAACGTCTAATATTAAATTCAATTAGAACAAGGTTTAATGTTTTATACTTTAAGTGAGACTAAATTAATTAATTTATTAGTAATTTTAATGTATTTTTTAAGTTTATAGAAGTAAACAGTTAAATTATTTATTTTTTATGCAAAAAGTTGTATTTTAGATTCAATGTAGTCTCAGTAACTGGCGAAAAATTTAAGGATAACATAAAATATTGGAATGTGTTAATCTAATGTGCTTTTTACGTTTTACATCTCGATTTTTTGTCATAAAATATTTTAAGTCTGAAATATACTTTTTATTAAGTAGTTATAAAAAAATATTTACTAGTTTTCACTATACTTTTGCATCCTAAATAACTTTTTACTCTAGTTTGATACTAAAATTTCGAGGCAATAGTGCTAATTCTGTGGTTCGAAAACTCTCTAAACTAAAAATCACTAAAAATTAGTTTAGTCCTATCATAAAACGTTTCCTATTTTTAGTTTAGTTTAGAAAGTTTTCGAACAACAGTATTAGCACCAGTATCTACGCAATGTCTAACAAACGCCATAGTTTTAATCATGCCTGTTTTTTTTTTATTTATCTGTGCAATAATACCTACAATGCAACATTAAATGTCATTAAATTTAAGATAAGTCAAACTGTTTATTTTAGCGGTTGGGTACTGTACGTATGTATATAAGTTATGTATTTTGTCGAAACTGTTATATTTTAATGTGTAAATATTGTTAACTTATAAAATGACATCAAAGTGATAATAAAATTGAACATTCAACTTTCTATATTGGTCTGTATAATTTTTAACCTGTTTTAAAATAAATATTGTTATATTGAATTGTTTGGACTAATACCAGCCGCAACTTTCCGTCATCGTTCCACACGGTCCCACTACTGTGCGCTTTTTGAGACACTCTTTGCCCCGTACAACCAATCTGTGGAACGGGTAATCGTCTGCGGTATTTCCGGACCGATACGACCTTCAAACCTTCCAAGAAAAGAGCGTACTCCTTCCTAAAAGGCCGGCAACGCGTTTGTGACTCCTGAATTGCAGACGTTCATGGGCGGCGATGGTCACTTTCCATCAGGTGATAGATATTGACCGATTCTCAGACCTACCCGATATGCACACAAAATTTTACGAAAATCGGTTGAGCCGTTTCGGAGGAGTTCAACCACGCACACCGTGACACGAGAATTTTATATATTAGATAATCATTATAACTTAATAACCATCAAACTAGCATCTCGTATATTTTTCTTTTTCATCATTTAAATATGAAGGAATATTATATTACATTTCTTTAGACATTGGCGAAACTAGCCCCCAGTAACATCTATGTACATGACATGACATTGTATAGATCAGAGCTCGGGGTTCGATTCCCAACCAGGACAAGTATTGTCATCAGGAGGCCCAGAAAAAGGTCTAGTTGTAGGTTATACATTTATAACGTCAGTAACGTAACGTAACGGTCAGACTGGTGTCGGGCGGACAGTGTCGTATCAGGCAGTCAGATGTGTTAACTTGGAAAACGGATCAATTAATGGCAATTATTAAATGAGTCATAAAATAGTTGAATGAATTGAAATAGCTTAAAATAAAAACGGTCTAAATGAATTTAGACCGTTTTTTACCCATTTAAGATGTCGTTGGATATTTGTATGAAGACATCAAAATACATACTGAAACCTTTACATATGTAGATATATTTGGTTTAAAATATTTTTCTACATATATACTAGCTGACCCGGCAAACATTGTATTGCAAAACAAAAAAAAATAGGGATGGGTCACCCTTACCATTTAGGGGTATGAAAAATAGATGTTGGCGGATTCTCAGACCTACCCGATGTGCACACAAAATTTCATGAGAATCAGTCAAGCCGTTTCGGAGGTTTAATTTCCATTCATAACAGTTTATAATTATAAATACCACAAGCATTGTTTATTAGTTATATTTAATTGAGTTTAAAGGGTTAAAGTAAACAAAACATTAAATTGCACTAAAGAATTATAATTGTCAGTGATTTTAATTTACACAGACTTGCACCCTCAGGCCACGAGATTTAATAAGACGAGTCAATCAACTATATTTTTAACTCTTTAAAACTTAACATATTTGGTCTATGATTTTATGAGATTATACAATTAAAGTGACTGTGAATTATGTTTTAACTCTCTTGGTTAGATTTAGAACTTATTTTGAGACAAAAAATATATATTTCGACATTAAATTGTACCTTATTAGCTAAAAATATGCATATCTATCTTGATATTATGCTCTCAGGTAGTCTATCACAGTCATATAACATTAATTTACTAACTACATATAGCAAAGTATCAGACAATCAAAATAGACCTTGTATAGAAAGAAATAACTCGCCTCTCAAATCTCGCTACAGTCATGCATACAAACATACAACACAAGATACAACGCAAAAACCAAAAAAATATTTTCTTTAATTTGGACAAACAAAAACACAATTCAACTATGAGTCTCTGTGTTTATTGTAAAATTCATCTAGGTACTTCTTATACGCAGGCTGGTTGGACCACAGGTACGAAGCTTGCTGATTTAATGGACTGTGGGTATTTGGTTCCGCTAACAAACTCTGGATGGACAACAGAATAGTACGCACATCATACAACGCCGTCCATTTATCTTTCAATATATCTAAACATATAAGTCCACATGTGTCTACATTTGGATGGAAGCATGGAGTTATAAATTTAACCATTGGCGGCGCGTAGGGGTAAGAGTTGGGGAACTCTAGGGATAATTTGTATTTATGGCCCGCATACACTGTCTCCTGAGGTCCATTTATAGTGCCGATCCATTTAAATAGGTTCTCACTTTCGGGAAAGGCGGATATACCCTTGTCAGCGCATCTCATCAACTCCATTAGCTCCTTCTGAAGTCTGCCAACAAATTAGATATATGTATTGTATTGTGATTGACAGCCAAAACCTGTTTTCATTTCAAATTAAACTGTAAACGGTTTTTAATGAGTACTTGGCCGTTAACCATTATTGCGAATTTAACAAAGGTAACGAATTTGTAACATTTGAGGTCAAAACACGAACGGAAGGTTAGCATTTGTGTAGATACACGTCACTGAACACAGGACACAGAGATGTAAAACCGACGTCGCCTAGAGATTTGAACGTGGGGAGCGACTCCCATGTGTTTTAAATTTCAGATATGGAGCCCTTCACAGCCTATATTGATTGTTTTCAAACTCGAGGCCACAATGATTTATGTATCAGTGTTTTTTAAGACAAAATTCACTTACCGTTTGCTAACAGCGTGATTATCTTTTAGTTTTATCGTATCTTCATTTTGTTTAGCTGGATTAGACGACGATGCGTAATGTGGATTAATATTTTGAGCCATAATAAGTTGGGAAGAACAATATCGGATGCCTCCAATTCCACCAATTTTCTGTTATAAGGAGACAACTTTCTGTTAATTTGAAAAAGCTCAATTTTTATTGGATATTTTAACACACATTTGACAGCTGTACGTAATGGCGGCAATCTACGTAGGTAACAGCGCCATCTACTTATCATGTTGAGCTTTGACTACAAAATGTTAATCGACTAAAACGTTTAGGATTACTTTTGTCCTTTACCTCTTCAGGCCTAGTTAACTCCTTGTATTTAAGAAATTGGAAACTGGGAAGGGAGAATTAAGTTATTTTTGATCGGTAAAGTAAAATTCTATATATTACCAAATATTGGGTACTAAGCCGTTAGTTATTTTATTAACAACTTCTATTTAAATTCAAACATTACGACTATTTTGAACATTCCTCATTGATTTTGAAAGCCCGAACGTGTTGAAAGATTATGATTACAGTCATTAATATATTATGCAATTGTCAATCCTCTATTACCTTTGTTTTAGTGATGTGCCGGATCGTTAACAAAGTATATCCGCGGATACGGATCCGAATACGGATATTTGGTGTCAAGATCCGCGGATACGGATACGGATCTTAAGTTTCTTACTCAATCGAAGCCCGTGACCTTGATAGTTGTCGCCACTTGACGCTTTGCCGTTGATATTTAAATATTTCATTATTTTAATAAGCTAATACAAAGATGTTTGATTGATCTCATTATAAAGATAGCTCTTTCAGTACCTACGACCTGCCTAGTTGATTTAGTATAGTACGATAAATGATTGCAATACAAAGGTGCCAAATATTTGTTTTAAGAAATAAAAAGTAATCTGAACAGAATTCAATAGTTTTTCATAGCTACCTTATACCATTATTCAGGGTTATTTTAAATTTACTGAAAACCTCTGAAGTGCATATTAGTAACATTATAAACAACAACTTTTCTTCTGGACTAACACCGAAAACGAAAGAAAAAAATTGTTTCTCCATACAAACTAACAACATTTGATTGGTCATTTGAATGGAAGACCAATTTTTTTTTCATTTTGACGTTGGCCAGAAAAAAAGTTGCTGTTTATAGTGTTACAAACACATACCTAAGAGTTTTACAGTGAATACAAAATCACCTATGTAGAATTTCATCTATGTAATATGTATTGAAAGATCCGCCAAAAAAGTCACGGATACGGATACGGTTACGGATCTCTCTTCTCCCTTGGATATCCGCGGATACGGATACGGATACGGATATCCGGCACATCACTACTTTGTTTGGGTGTAAAAAATTGTATGACATCGTCGGCAAATATATTGACTTTATTACAATTATGAGCTCAAATTGATTAAAACGTAAAAAACGGACTTTCTCAATTGCAAGAAAAAAATTATAGAGTTGACCGCTTTACATTAACTTTCACTTTCTTTATCCATTGGAGCGTGAAATTGAAAATAAGTGACGGGATTATTAAATAAAAGGAAAAGTAAAAGCTAGTAATCTATTTAAGATGCTGTAGTAAGTAATTACAATCAGTTTGAATTCGATTTTGTGAAAAAATTGTTAAATTGTGTTGACCAACATGACTTCAAAGGTAAGGTTTAATTTTTAAATTTAATGTAGACAATTCTTAATATAGTATGGAGCTTACATCAAGTAAGTCAAATTCCGAATCATAACTACTTCCACAAACACAACTACCTACTACACAGCTTTTTGCAAATTGTTAATTAATTTAGTATGCAATCGAAATCTTATTCAAATCATTCCTCATTCGTCGTTGTCCTTGGCTGCTTGTATGGTATATTATCTGTGTTCTATTTTGTTCTCGTTTGAAATGTTCTTTGACAGTGTTGCCAGCCTAGTGGACATTACACTAAAACTGTGGGTTCGACTCCCCTGTTATGGGCGAAATATTGTCTTTTTCAGGGCTATTGGATTTTTCTAGTGGTGGTAATAGTAAGAGGTCTGGGGTCCAGACCCAATATTATCAACTTTGAATTATGACCGATATCGCTAGTCTACCCAGACTCTGGGCAGACTCGCGATATCGGTCAGGGTCCTACTCTTCGTTTGATGATCCAGTTGAGTAGTAGAAGATTGAAAATTGATATAATTCAAACCAATGGTTCTTCGAAACTCCGTCCGTTCTTGTCTAACAATACTCATTGTGTTAAGGGACTTCCATATTCTGGAAGCATTGCACTTCAAATATGCAGAAGGGAACTAGAGATAAAAAAAATATATTTATTGAGAGTTGAGAGAGTTATTTAGCACTATAAGAATCTAATAAAAGACAAGCAGAGAAATAGAAAGAACTTAAATCTTTTATCTGCTATGTTAAGAATACGCTGTGGTTTGAGGTTGGAAGGAAATTACTTTCCAACAGGTGACCAGTCTGGATGTTTGGTGCCCTCTTTCATAAAAAAATTATACAATGATACAAATTCCTATTAACGTTGTGAAACAAGTTAGTACCAAAGAATCGTATTAATCTGAAACCGATAGTGCGTACAAAAACCGTTCATGAAGAAGACGAATTATTTTAAAATAACTAACAGTAGTTTTTAATTATTTTTTATATTTCTGATCTTGACTCGTTGATTTACTTTTTGTATGTTGATTGATCGATTGTTGGTGTTAGTGTTAAATAATATAAAGGACACTAATTATTAATATACTTATTGTTTACTTATGTAATATCTAAAAAAAATTGGTGGAACATTTGTTGACTTTTCTGGTGGAGAGTTAATTTAACCGTTTGCAACACTGTTATTTAACAATTTTGACATTCCGCGTCGCAATTGTGGAGTGTAGTAGATAAATGGATGTTATAACTTCGTGAGTTCCCAAACAATTCAACGTATTAATCGTGATTATTGTTTTAACGTGAAAAGAGTCAGTAAAAGTTCAAAATGTCGTGTTTAGTTTACTTTGAAAACTGTCCCATCGTTGGATTAGACTACACAGATGTGTCATCATTGAAACGAAAAATTTCGCTGAACCATGGAGTATCAATGGAAGATTTATTTGCCACGCTTAATGGGAAGCCTGTCTCAGATGATTACAATATCAAAACCACCGACAATGTTATTAGATTGTCGATGAGACTTGTTGGAGGTAAAGGTGGTTTTGGATCCATGTTAAGAGCTATTGGTGCACAAATCGAGAAAACTACGAATCGTGAAGCTTGCAGAGACCTTTCCGGACGTCGTTTGCGTGATATAAACGAAGAGAAAAGGTTAAGAAAGTGGCTTGAGGGCCAGGAAGAGCGGGAAAAAGAAGCAACTGAAAGAAAACGAAGGAAACTTGAGAGACTGGTGGCGGAGCCGAAAATTAAAGTTGACTTAAACCCAGCATATGAGAAAGAACGCAAAGACTTGCCTGAGCGTGTCAGCTCCGCAGTTGAAGCTGGTTGGCAGGCTGCAGGGTCATCAAATTCCACAAAAAGAAAGTCTGATGATGTTCCCAATAAGCCAAAAAGGACTAAAATGTGGATTGACGCAGATTTGTCAGACTGTTCGTCTACGTTAAGTGAAGATGAGGAAGATGTGCCGTCGAGCAGCCCAGGGCCTCCGGTTTCCACTGACAGTGGTAATGAGTCAGATTTGGCAGTCGCTGGCACTTCTAAATAACTGTGATCATATTTATTAATATTTAATGATGACTGTTCCATTTTAACATTTATAGTATTTTGTACTTGTGATATTTGGAAAAATTAACATGAGTAAGGAAAAATTAATGTTATCATTTGTTTGATAATTGGCCAAAATGAACCATATGTTTTTAAAAAAAAGCAGTTTTGCTCCTTTTTAAACGTCCCTGTCAGGTCACAATACAATACAATGACATGAGTAAAACTGTTTGATCTTTATAAATATTAAAACCACTCATGAAAGTTTTAATTTTAATATAAACCCATCTAAAGCCGCAACCAGCCAAGTAGTGATCATGGACACAAATACCTAGTTCTTTCCGATATCAATTTATATTTGTTTCCTTTGAAACACAAACTTATTGACATGAGCAACAAAGTGAGTAATAATAAGTGTTGCAAGGCAAATAACAAGCATATGTCCCCACTGCTTGCTATTCATCAACAGCCTTTACTAGCCCACTGCTGGACATAGGCCTCTCCTTAAAAAAGATGTTTTGGCCTACTATACCACGCTGGCCAGACAGGTTGGTATAGGGTTTGTTTCAAGTATTCCTTCTCTTTGCAGTGCTGTTGTCCTGCATGCTTGCTATTCAGCTACTAATCAGTGGAGCACTCTGTGAGTCCCGCATGTCTGTTCACGGCTGAATATTTGTAGAAATGACTAGGCTTATTTAAATGAATCTAAATATTCATATGTATGTGGCTACTAAAAGCATACTTACATGTGTATTTAAATATATTAATTTATAGAAGGTCCGTGTGACAGATTAAGAATACAGAGTGTCACCACCCCTATTCATCCCGTGGGTGTCGTAAGAGCCGACTAAGGGAGTAAACTATGCAGGACAACAACTCTGCAAGATAAGGAAAACTTGACACAAACTCTATACCAACCTGTCTGGCCAGCGTGGTATAGTAGGCCAAAGCCTCCTTTCTAAGGAGAGGCATATGTCCAGCAGTGGACTATTAAAGGCTGTTGATGATAATGATGATGAATTTATTGAAGTAGTACAAGCTACACTTAGTTTAGCCATATATAGTACTGTGTAGTGTGTTTATTTGAAGAGTACAACTCCATTATAAGGTTTTAATACAGTTTTGCAGTGCAAGCATTAAACTTGACAATATTTTCTGAATCAACTAGTGTTTTCCATTTGTTATCCAATCTAAATTTGAGGTTTTTAAATTGTATATAAAAAAATAAAACTAATGATATATGCTTTGATACTGGATTATGTTATGCAGAAATGGTTCAATTTTGAAACTACCCAAATTGTAGTAACACTGTTAATTTATCATCTATGATGATTGTGAATATAATCTGTATCTATCTAAAAGAAAAATTAGGTAATATGATTATTAGAAATGTTTTCTCACCACAAATGTGTAACTTAGATCATTTATGTGTAAGTGGAATGTTTCATTACAAAACAACTCAAACAAACGGGTTAATTTTATGTGCGTGTATCAAGACGAGTTGATTTATAGTGATAGCGACAACATACCTGACGCAGTGATATGGGAAAGGAACTTAGTGGCCAACTGTTGGCCTTTATTTTTTCAATACTTTCACATCTTTAGCAGTCTATCTAGACATATAAATGATCCAGTGACGTAAATTATTTTACTAACTTTTAAACTTTCGCGTTCCATGATAATTAATATTATTTAACGGGAATTAACGCGATCTCTTATGGTGGCCGGCCGTGGTCACAGGCTGACGTCAGCCTGTGACCACGGCCGGTGCAACCTGGTCGAAACGTCAGGCAAACCAGAGGTATGTAATACTCTAAATAAGAGATCGCGTTAATTCCCGTTAAATAATGTAAATTATTTTGTTTGTTAGATTTTGGATAATTATTCATTGCATTCTGTACCTATTAATTTGTTTGTACAAAACACTTGAATTTAAAACTGGTTTAGTATTTGAAAACTAATTATTTGAACAAAATAGCAAAATAATTAGAATAAACATATGATGGTTAACGATTTCATGATGCAGGTGATTGCTTCCTCATAAAAATAAAATACAGCACTACAAGTAGCGCCATCTAGCCATAGCCTGCCGCACTTTCATAGTATTTAACTTGTCTGTTGGTTCCTCAACAAGAAACTTAATGTAGTTTTTTATGTAGATCATAATAATAAACAATGTAAGCTTTAGTTTTAAAATGTATTTAATAAATATTTTATATAATAAAGATTCTTGAATTATTTGTGTGACATTAAGGAAGAGTGATTACCTACAATGGGAATGGGTATTTAATAGATAATTGGGATTCATGGGCAGTAAATACAATAATCTTTTTGTTTTTTTAAATAAACTCCCGCACTAGGAATACATCCTATGTCGGTCGGACTTTACATAGATATATATGGTCACAAAAACTGGGTGTTTTTGTGACAGACAATTTGTGGATCACACAGTGTTGTCCCGTGATTGGGTCAAACTACAGAGTATATTGATTGTCGAAACTGCTAAACTACTTATCGCAGTAGGAAGCGTCTTAAACCCACAATATTTTACAGTTAATCATATTACCAATCAATATGTAGACAGGTAGAATTTTCATGCATACCCGAATATATACGAAATTTGGCAACAATCCACTTCAAATATGGTAGTATTTGGTGACCTAAATTTCTTAGTTACTAACCCTAAGAATGAAATAGGTATCTACTATTTGCCACCTGCGAGTAAGTACAGGTATATTATCTAAAGAAATATTTCCAGAAGTTTGTCTGGACTGCCATCATGCTTGTGACCCTGCTGGTTCTCGTTGCTGCTAGGCCTCAGGAGTTCGACGAAGAAGATGATGACTATAACAGCAAGGCTGACGATAGAAAAGGTGAGTTACTTGTCGAACGTACTCATATTAGAAATAGACGACTTAAAAAAGACGTCGCGTTCGACATCGTCCCACAATGACGATTATTTAATTTTTACCTTATTATTATATAGTGCACAAATTCAGGGCTACTGTATAAAAAATAATGTAACCAACTTCAACTGTTATTAAATGTCTTTGTGGTATACTGTGACATAATTTGTGTATGTAGCGAACTGTTACATATATTTCAATAATTACTTAATGTCATCATCATCACCAATCAGCTTCTAACAGTCCACAGCTGGACATAGGCCTCTCCTTAGAAAGGAGGTTTTGGTCTACTATACCACGCTGGCCAGACGGGTTGGTATAGGGTTTGTGTCAAGTTTTCCTTCTCTTTGCTGTTTTGTTGTTCTGCAGTTTGCTCCCTTAGTCGGCTCTTACGACACCTACGGGATAAATGAGGGTGGTGACAATTCTTAATCCGTCACCACACGAACATTACTTAATGTATTATGACGTAACCTCTATGCACTTACCTCACAAGATTTCTACACCACCCAAAAGTTTGTTTGGAAGAAAATGCCCTGGGCATTCTCTTCCAGTCCATTAAGTCCGCCGATGTACAAAAGTGCATAAAGTTAAATAAATAAATAAATGATCCAACTACAAAAATATATTATTTTGGCGCGAGTAACGTTTAAGTATTAGATTTTATTAGTTCTCTCTTTGGCAAAAGTATGTACTATTCATAAAAGTGGAAAAATTTTGAGTATCATAAAAAATAGATAAAAATTAAATGTTGCCGTACTTGAAGCGCGCAGAAAATATAATTAGCGACAGTATTTTTTATATTATAGATGCAGATCCTGCTCGAGTTCAAATAAAGGTGTACCGAGGTCCCACGAAGAGTGATGGGTCTGCGCCATGGGGCTTCTGGGTGAAACAACCTTCGGATGAACAGTAGAAATTGGGAATTTAGTGTTATCCGAGAGATATAACAAATGTGCAGTGTACTACTACCTATTAATGTAACAGTTAGCCCGTAATGTTATAGATGGCGTTAGTGATTTCATTTTTCTTGTAAAACCAAAGACTTATAGTATAGTTTTATTTTAATTTTCTATCGGAATAAGGGAAATATAATATTAAATTTTTTCTGTTTATAATAAACTAATATTAACAATGAAGCTACTGCTATTTTATTTTACCAGGGCACGAAAGTATTTATGTAAATAGTATAACTAGCGAAACCCCCCGGATTCGCACGAATGCAATGTATCATCATTTTGGATTCCTAGGGGGGCAATTTTAAAAATTCTTACTTGGTGCACATCTAGGTCAGCTAAAGAACACTTGTGCAAAATGTCATTCTTGTAGGCCCAGTGGTATCAGCTGTGCGTTGATTGATCAGACAGTGAATCAATCTGTCAGTTTCTTATTTCATAGAAATAGATACATCTTTGAGCATACGCAGTTTCCTGCTCGACTAGGAGCCACTTTGCCGATGTTTTTCTATTGGTGAGTTGCTTTTGTTCGTGTCGGGGTGTTTTGTTGCGTCGGGGTTTGTGAAATCAGGCCTCAAAAAATTCTGCTATTTTATCTTAACGCCAAGCCACTGTCATTCCATTGACACGCTATTTGATATGCCATTGACATCGGTCAAAATATCGGTAGTCTACAATATCTCAGTGTCTTTACATTGGCAATGGAATAGCAGTGGCTGTCTAATAGTATTACTGTACTCTGTGGCAGTGGCTCATCAGTGGTAATATCAAAAAGATTGCCATATTTGGAAAATTAAATAATCATTTCCTTATAAATTTAAAATGTATTAAGTTTTTTTAATTTTGGTACATAAAGCTGTTATGGTTATCATATTTATTGATACAGATGAGTAAACTATAACGACATAATACACAAGCGGTAACTACTCGTAATAATAATAATATTCTACCACATTCACACAACGCCATCTAATCCCAAACTAAGCAGAGCTTGTACTATGGGTACTAGACAACTGATATAAATACATTTATACTTCTTTATTTGTAAATACATACATATTTTACATAGAAACACCCAGACCAAATCAAACATTAAAAGTTCATGCACAAAAATGTTTGACTTGAGCGGGAATCGAACCTTCGACCTTTAGAATAGCAATCTACGCAATCCGGTCGTCTATACTAAGTCTTTAGTAGCCATAAGTTTCAGAGAAAAGTTAAAGTCAATCTGTTCACTACTCCACTGCTTTCTTTATTTTAATAATATTCTATTGTTGTTTTTAAGCTATTGCATAGCTTCTATCAAGGGCCTTGAGTGCGGGGACCGAATCCAGAAATTCCGTAACGAAAAAAAACCTCACGCTAAAAACAAAACAAAAAACAGTACCAAAATCAAATGCTGAACGTCAAAGGAAATTTCGTCAACATAATGCAGAAAAATCTTACATGGATATGTAATTTGATTTAATAATAATATTTTTTATTTATTTATTTAAAAACAAATTGTAATATATGCTTCAATATTTTTATTTAATAAAAGAAAAAAAATTGTTTTCTTATCGGTCACCACGCTCAAAAAGTGTAACTTGAATTAATATCAAAGAAAAAGAAATACTGCATAAATAAAATAAATAAATAATTATAATTGCATAAGTTGATACAAAATGCTATGCAATAGCTTTACCGCGGCAGTCCCCGAGTGCCACACGTCTTTTTTTTTTTTAATTATTATTTTCAGTTTTATAAATAGTAGTATAATTTGTAACTAGAATATAAATAAAAAATCAACAAAGATAGAGAAAATAAGAAACAAAAATCAGAGCCGCAGGTACAGGTAATGAACTTTATAAAATTATTGGTATTTAATAAAATAATAACCATGGTAAATATACATAACTTTTATTGTAAAAATAGTTTAATATTTTTATTTTCCTAAGATGAACTACATTGGTTTCAGGAGATGGCCCAGCAACTCTCTTCACCACTACAAGAGCGGTGAACAGAGATGTTGGGGTACCATTTAGAAGGAGTCCGCAGTGTTGTGCATGTTCCCTTGCCATATTTGGAAGTGAAGTGCTTCAGCAAACCTGAAAATAAATATTGTGAATTATATGTGGCAGTTTGAACATCCAAGACCTATAGCTTTACCTCAAATTAAAAAAAAACAATGACTATGTTGTTTTTTTTACTTTTCTATATTTGAAAGCATACAAAATGATTAGTATTTCATTCTTCATAAATCTATTATTATTCTTATTTATATTTTATAATATAAAACATAATTCTTTTGATGGAATTAATTTCATCAATACCTACTTGAAATCAGTGTCTTAATGTTTCAACACCCCAATACAGTGATCAACAGTATTGGGTGCAGTTATATGCAAACTATAATAGTAATGCTCTGCAGTTCTTTCAGTGTTGTTCAAAATTGGAGTCATCATCCACTTGCATAAGATGTATCACAAAGTAATTTTAACATTTTGTAATAAACTCTTTAATATAATAATAATAAATTTAAAAACTACTTGGTTACTAGTTCATCATCATCATCAACAGCCTTTAATAGTTCACTGCTGGACATAAGCCTCTCCTTAGAAGGGAGGTTACTAATTGACTGATACAAAATTGAAACTGAACTTTGTACATTTAATTTCAACAAATAGGGTATTAGGCTAAACTATTATTGAGTTTACCTACCTCAGAAGGAATACTCCTGCTGACAAATAAATAATCTAAGCCTGCTGCTATCTTTTTCACAAGGCTTTTTGTTAGCCTTATCGCTTTTATATATGTGGCCTAGCATATAATGTCTAATATATTACCACTGTCTCGACAAACTACAAGCTTGTAGGCGATTTCAAACCTATTTTATTCGACATCTTTATGGTGAGCTTCTAATATTTCACTCCATATATTGCGAGTTGAAGCATATTTGTTTACGCAGTTTAATTACCGCACGCACATTACACTCACAGAAAAACAGTGACTGCTTGATGGCAGTTCAATGGTAGTTTAATTAACAACAAATAACAATAACTTTAACCATAAAGCCAACGTGACGTCATCGAAACAACTGTCAAATATTTGGTGGACTACCGTTTACCAAACAATTTTTTTTTCAATCAATCTAATTTTTATTGTCAAACATAGGTATACATAAGATGTTTACGGTAGTGGAATGATCAACTATGTTCTGCCAGTTAGGTATACATTAATTTATAATTAACTTAAGACATGCAAAATAAAATAATATTGAATTATCGCAATTAAAGCAATATAATTTCTCATTTTGATGTTTTATATGTTAGAATTTAAAACATGCCAAATCAATAAGTCTCAATCACTAATTAACAAACTTAAGAATGTCAATGCAGCCAATTATGTATAAAATTTTAGAACTAAGAATGTCAAAGAACGTCAATAGAGCAATTACAATGTCAAATAAAAAATAAAAATGGAATTCACAAATAAAAATATCATTAAAATTATGTAAATAATAATAATAAATATGTATATTGATTCATGTCAGTTAATTAATTCATAACTCCTATTTACCATCTAAAAATTCTTTTACATCATAATTTTGCATACATTTTTCTTTTTTTTTAAACATATATTTTTCAATGAGGCATTCCTGTAGAAGTTTTTTAAATAGGATTATGTCTTGATTTCTAAAATCGGGTATCTTATTATAGATGACAGGTGCCATACAAAATATACTTTTGTACACTAATGTTGTATTTGCTTTTCGTGTTTCGATCCTATTACTGGTGTGGGTTTCGAATAGTTCCGGGTTCGACTTTACAAAAACTGCTGTTTCAAAGATGTATAAAGATGGTAATGTCAAATTTTTTATTTTTTTTAAATATGGTACACTACTATCTGTAGATTTTAATTTCAACATTGCTGTAATGCATCGCTTTTAAGATTAAAAACAATATCTTTATTTTTAGAGTTTCCCCAGAATAGTATGCTATATCTAAGATAGGAGGCGGTCATACCAAGATATGCTTTATGTATACCTTCATCATTGACCGTCGTCGTCGGCGGCCCTGCTTGCACCTCAAGCAGGGCCGCCGACGACACGACATGCTTCCCGTGGTATAATTATAGCGAAATGTATCGAAAAGGCGACCGTGTGACCGACATCAGTTAGTGTTGGCTCTAGTTCAGCTAGCTAAGTGCCTGGGTTTTCTGTGGGATGCCACGACGTGACGCCGCATGCTTAGGCATGCTGCTTCATATCGCGCTTGAGCCGTCTACACATTCTTCTGTTAGCGTATAAAGCGTCGTGTACACGCTTTGACCATCGCAGTGGCAGCCGTTGCCATTTTGCGATTTATATACAGGTGATCCCCAAAACATCTTTTGCGTCTGCCGGTATCCTCACGAGCAAATCCTCCATAACACCGCCGCAATAACAGCGTGCCAAGATTAAGTGGCCCCTTTCGCCTGAGATGGGATATTTGAGAATCCCGCACCCGCGTCTTGAGTGATTGAAATTATACATACTTAGGTACGTTTAATAAAGTAATTCGAAGCTTATAAACGTTTGCATTTATTTTCGTACACCGTAGATGTTACATAATATATTAGACATTCAAATTATGAAAATGTTTCGTTTTCGTTTCGAATTCTGTTTTTGCCGCCCCCTGATAAAGCCACCCGTGAGTGGTGCACGTACTGCACCCTGCTCCCGGCGGCCCTGGGTGCAAGTTTAAAAAGTGCATAGGCGGTACTACAATTTTTTTTGCATAACTCTTCAGTATGTATTTTCCAATTAAGCTAATTGTCAATATTTAGTCCTAAGAATTTCGTAGCGCAAATTTTATTTATTTTAATGTTATTATATGTTATATTCATATCTTTAATTACATTATGTATTTGTGAAAATTGTAATAAATTTGTTTTAACTGTAGGTAAAACAAATTATACATAAATATAATAAAACAAATATTTAATTATTAAATTATTTTTATTCCACAGGCATCGATGACGTTTTGTATCAGTGACAAGTCATCGGCCATTGTTTTTTATTTACTTAGTAGAATACGAAAAGTGCCAAAGTATTTCGACGACAATCCATCGACAGTCTATTGATGCAAAATTAAAATATCGGAATTTGGTAGGTTTGGTTTTAAGTCTGGGAAATAATAGTAAAATATTTTCCACATAATATTCTTTCTCCGAGCCTTTTCCCAAATTAGGTTGGGGTCAACGTTACGTCTTCTATGATTAGATTTTTTATGCTGTCATCAGGCGATATCGAAGTTCTGTAGAAAGACTTTTATCGGACTTATTAGCACTTGAATTACCCGTAACGATTGCCACAGATGTTCGTGCGGCAACCGGGACATCCGGGACCAACTGAGGGGTCTCAATTTGTTAAAAATGTTCACCCATCTATAGACTGACCTGGCTGACTGATTTTCTATTTTTTAGTTTGGTTTTCTATAGAAAGCGTGTTTTTTAGTTTTTTAAAACTATAATTTTTTTCATTTTTTTTTAAATTAGTGTATTGTCATCGGTCCTCGATATATCTACAAAGTTTGAACGAATTCTGACCGTTTAAAGTCAGTCAAAATCACGTCCAAAGGAGTCGGTTACAAACATACAAGTGAAGTTAATATAAAGCGTGTAAAAAAGGAGAAGGAGGAGGCCACAAAAGGAAAACAAAAGACAACCTGACGAAAGGGTAAATTAGGGTAAAAATAAAGGAACTAGAGAGGAGCCTTTATATCTCGTAAATTTCAAAATCTTTTCTGTAAATAACTTTTATTTTATTTTCACACTTCCTGCATTACAACTTTCACAAGGCGGAATTAATGCCACATGGTATTATCTACCAGTCAACCTTAAGATGCTACAGTAAGGGGCATGGCAGGTGCATATGTATTATATAAAAAGAAAAATCTATGAAAATATAACATTAATTTGATAATACTATTTAAAATAAATAAATAACTATTAATATATTATACATACGGAATGAAATAAATACAATAATGTCTGAGGTGACGAAATCATGAGGATATTACTGCTTTACTTTTAGGTTAGCATCAAACACTCGTAAATAGAAACAATAGAGTACACACTAGCGAACTAATGTTGTTTTTAGATGAGCTGCTACTCCAATGAACATCGTCATATTAATACTGTTTGTGTTAGCATCTCGTACGCATAGTTGAGTCTATGTTTGTTAAACATACCCGCTGATGAGCGGCGTGATTATAAAACAAATCAAGAATGTGTTGTTATAAATAGATCAATATATAGAGAAGTCTATGATTACATCGAATTAGACTATTTTAACACAATTTCAGTCTGATTATCACTTGTAAGTGGTCCTAACCATAACCATGACTGCACGGATGGCTTAGTGGCTTAAGCGGTCGCCACGTCGCTTACTACTACGCTGAGTGGTTAAAACCCCATATGGGACAACACTTTGTGTGAACCACAAATTGTTGTTCTGAGTCTGAGTGTTCTTTGTGTCCGTTTCATGTATGTTTGTAAAGTCCCCCGCGACACGGGATATATTCCTAATGCGGTGTTGTCTTTTTAAACTAAAACAAAACTAAAATAATCTTTCCAATCTTGTTCCTCCTACGAGTTAGTTAGGGAAAGGAATAGCTATGTAAACAGTGAATGCAGTAGCACCAGGAGAGCTATGGCTAAGCATAAATGGGCCGTCTCCACCAAAGTGATACGAAACCCTCGCTTCACACGAAACTGGTGTTGATTAATCTTTTCCTTGCATTTCACGCAGCGAGTGAAGTTAACGGAAGTCAAAGCTCTTTCTTATAGTAGCGATTTGGTGGCATTTGCCCCGGTTTGCTCCCCCTCCCCCCCTAGATCCGAGTCTGGTTTAAATCACAATACAGATATAAATATAACTTAATATTATATAATTTAATATGAGCTACGTTTTTAATCTGTTATTTTTTTTTCGACGGGCCTGTTGGTCTAGTGGTTAATGACCCTGACTGCTAAACCGGAGGTCGTGGGTTCGATTTCCACACAGAACAAATATTTGTGTGATGAGCACGATCGCTTATTCTGTCTGGGTGTAATTTATCTATAATATGTATTTAGAAATATATAAGTATGTTTATCAGCAGTCTGGTTACCATAGTACAGGCTCGGCCTAGTTTGGGATCAGACGGCTGTGTGTGAGATGTCTGAGGTTATTATTATTTTTATTTTAAACAAGTAGACGGGGCCACCTGATGGTAAGCGACTATCGTTACCTGTAACACAAGACTTGATTGCCGCCCTTTGAATTCTCTCCTCTGGAGACAAAGGGAGGGGGGGGGGGGGGGTTAGGCTTCGGTGATCTCACTCACTCGGTGAAAAATAACGAAACAAGAAAATTCTTCTTAATAATGTTGAACCGACTTTAAATAATACTAAAAAAGAACACTAAAAACCTAGCAGCAATCGCGGCTGATTTGCTGTCGTTTTTAGAAGAGTTCCATTGTCTATCTCCGAGACTCATCATCAGATATATATGACTTTTAAATGGGACCATTTCGGAATAAACCCCTAACGATCAAAAAAGGAATTATGCCAGAGATATGCCACATAAAAAAATAGAAACATTCAAATTGAAAACCAAAGAGGTTATCAATTAGGATATTTATGAAGTGAAAAGTGGGATGTTGGGATGGGAAAGTTGGGATGGGAAGAATCATTAAACTCGCGACACTTACCGTTACCGACACCTCTGTATATAAGTGTCTACAAATATTGGCCACGTTTACACGAGAGTTGAGTTTGGGTTGAAATACATTGATAATATAACTATATATAATATAAGGATATATTGTGTATATACCTACCTACCAACCCGTCTGGCCAGCGTGGTATAGTAGGCCAAAACCTCCTTTCTAAGGAGAGGCCTATGTCCAGCAGTGGACTGTTATTGGCTGTTGGTGGTTGGAACTTTTCGAATCGAAAAAAAATCCTTTTTTTTATGTTTTTTTTAATTTTCAAGTTTTTCACTTTTTTTTTTTTTTGAAGTTGATAAAAAATTGCATAACACCGGTTTTCTGTGAAGCTGCGCTATCACTCCGGTCGTGTCAGCTCTCCCGCGCTTAGATGTTGGATAGATATAGATAGATCATCATCAACAGCCTTTAATAGTCCACTGCTGGACATAAGCCTCTCCTGAGAAAAGAGGTTTGGTTTGAGATATAGATACATAGGTTCATATTAGATCCTTATAAATAGCTTAGAAGTTCCTGTCTTAAAACTGTATCACTCCCATGGAGGGTCAGCCAGGCATCCACTAAAGAAACCACAAAAAACTATAACAATGTGTTATAAATGGTGCCCACGCCAAATGGAATGTGAAAAGGACAGGAACGTGATGACGATCGATACATCTATCTTTATTGGAACATTTTAATTCCTTAACGTGATCTAAACTAAATAATTTGACCTCGTAACACGTCTTCAGTACTGCACAAACATTTTAAAGTGACATAGAAACACGTACAGCTTTTTTTTCCTTATTTGGAAGTACTGTTTTTGTTGTGTAAATAGACTTAAAAGTATTTTTAATAAAATTGTGTCTAAAATATAAATATACACATACACTAGCTGTCCCGGCAAACGTTGTTTTGCCATATACATTATTTCTAGGCAATATTGAAAAAAATAATAATGGTGGATCACTCTTATCATTTAGGGGTATGAAAAATAGATGTTGGCCGATTCTCAGACCTACCCGATGTGCACACAAAATTTCATTAAAATTGGTACAGCCGTTTCGGAGGAGTATAGTAACTAACATTGTGACACGAGAATTTTATATATCTATACAAATAATAAGCGTTTGTAATATTAAAACAACCGCTTTTTACTAAATGCATATATGTATGTTTACACGGTACATATGCCAAAATAACATTCCTTACAATTTTTGTCTGTCTGTCTGTCTATCTGTTTGTTCCGGGTAATCTCTGGAACGGCTGGACCGATTTCAACGGGACTTTCACTGGCAGATAGCTGATGACATAAGGAGTAACTTAGGCTACTTTTTTTAGACTAGCTTCGCCCCGCGGCGTTGCCCGCGGTTATAACAACAAACGCGTGTAACACCGCGGGTCTCACCTAGTAAGATATATAAATATACACATACTTTCAGTCCAAATTTAGGAGTATGACGTGTTACACTACGACAAGGCACTAAACGATCGTTAAAACTGTACGTGTTTGTATGTATCAATTTAAAATGTTTGTAAAAATCTTTATTGATGTGCACACTCAATAAACAGCTGTGTTTTGTCTCTTCAACTCACTCTTACTTTTGTCGGTATATCGGTTAGATTACTGTCCACTTTCGATAGATAAAGCTGATATGCTATCTGGTGTTATGTTCGTTATGAGAAGTCATTAGCGTTACGAGTCTCCGTTATTTCGTACTGTGCAGTGTGATTGTGATTTCAGTGAACTACGGACGTGAAAACGACCCTATGTTTAAACATATAGTGTACTGTTTAATATGTTTAAGTTGGTGGTAAGAGTAGTGGTGAGGAAGGCCAAAATTGGGATACACCTTGGTGAGTACCTAATTCGAAGAAAAACAATTTTATGGATTTTACTAACTTTTAAACTTTCGCGTTCCATGATAATTAATATTATTTTAACGGGAATTAACGCGATCTCTTTTTTAGGGTATTACATAGCTCTGGTTTGCCTGATGTTTCGACCAGGTTGTACCGGCCGTGGTCACAGGCTGACCGTGAATTTATGGATTTTGTAACTTCAAAACATATGTATATTTAAAAAGGTCGATTCTTAAAAAGTACCCTAAAGATACATTGCTTTTTTTACACAATTAAGGTTGGAAATAAGTGTTGGAAAAGCGGTCACCGAAATATAAAAAAAATATATTCAGGGGATGCTGTGTAGGTACTGTTTTATCATTAATTTGTTTGTTTATATTTTTTTAATTAATCGTAGTAGTTATGGGATTCTACGTTTTTATTTCATTCACGATAATAATAATGATATATAAGGACAAATTCCATAGCGTTAATTGGACCCAAACTAAATTCAACTAATTATAATTAATCGTTACAAGTGGTGGTAGCACAAACAGGAAAACATTCCTAAACACATTTTTATTCAATTACATATTAAGTACATTATTATCCATAGAAACAACATGGTCTAGATAAAAGGAATCATACCTGCGACTACCTGCTCTCAAAAACTCATTACAAGTTGTCAGATCTTTAAAATAAATGTAACTTTAAATATTTTAAGGCTTAATTACGGCACTTGGTGCGTACTTCGTATTCTTATTTAAAACTAGCAACCCGCCCTGGCATAACACCGGGAGCTGTTTACATAATCCTCTCGACTCTAAACTTCATTGCGTTTTCTGATTTTCAACATACCTCGTCATATTTCAGAAAACAGACACAAATCTTTAATGAATTACTCACCTGAATCTTCGTAAACATCCACTCTATAAATTGATGAAAACCGTATGGAAATAGCCGTTCGGTGGTTTTGGAGTTAATGCGTTGAAACAGACAGACAGCTAGCAAATACGTGCGATGGTGTACTTTATAAATGTACTGATAATACAATAATCTTTTGCTGATTGCTCACTTCCAATAACGTAAAAATAGGAAACCATAACTAGTCATAAATGATGTAGGTACGTATTAATCTTTTTTATTACATTTACTACCGAAGCTTACAATTATTTATTGAAATTCATAATACATGTATCAAAGTAACTAAGAAAACTTGACGACCGGACGGCGTAGTGGTTTGTGTAACGGACTGCTATTCCAAAGGTTGCGGGTTCGATTCCCGCTCAAGTCAAACATTTGTGTGCATGAACATTTGATGTTTGATTTGGTCTGGGTGTTTCTATGTATAATATGTATGTATTTACAAAAAAAAGAAGTAAATATGTATTTATATCAGTTGTCTAGTACCCATAGTACAAGCTCTGCTTAGTTTGGGACTAGATGGCGTCGTGTGTATGTGGTAGAATATTATTATATTATTATTATTATAAAAGTTTTGACAGGCCTGCTCCTTTAGTGGTTAGTGGTGGTCGTCTCACACACGGCTGTCTGATCCCAAACTAAGCAGAACCTTTACCATGGTAACTAAACCAACTGCTGAGCAACGTGCTTAAATATTTATAAATTCAAACATATTAAATTATACATATTATATTATATCTCATGCGCATCGTCTTAGATGGATGGAACAGAGGGTCAGGGGCTGCGTGATCAATAACTTCCTATACGCTGATGAGACCACTCTTCTTTCTAAATCTAAAAAAAAAAGATCTAGAAGAACTTCTCGGAATCCACATCCGGACCGATACGACCTCCAAACCTTTATGAAAAGAGCGTACTCCTTCCTCAAAGGCCGGCAACGCGCTTGTGGCTCCTGAGCTGTAGACTTTTATGGGCGGCAGTAGTTGCTTTTTATCAGGTGCTCGTATGCCACTTCTTCCATAAAAAATAATAATCTAGAAACAACTAGTCGCCGATTTGGAATTGTTTTAAACAGAGACAAGACCAAGGTTGATAGTGGATTAAGCCGGACAGATGAAGTGCGTATAGCCAATTGCCAAGTAGAACAACACTATATCTACCTTGGTTCCACAATCTCGAACGTCGGAGGATACGAAGACGAGATCAAGCGTAGATGCGCCGTCACTATGTCAACAGTAGAACGGTTGGGGAAGATTTGGAACGACAGGAGAATTACCAAGAACACAAAGGTCCGCTTGATGAAGTGCCCTGTATTTCTAATCTTTCTTTAAGGGGTTGAAACCTGGTCTCCCCGCGCCCCTAACATAAAAAAAAACAAAAAAATCACAGCTGTTCATAACACAAAGATTTATTCCTTAACTTTATAAGTGTACTTTATATTTAAATCAAAGAATGCGTCGCAGTAGGAGATCAATTAAATTGGTAACTTCAATAACTAAAAGTCTTTCGTAGAACTAGAATCCATATGTATAACAGACACAGTAAACTCTTAACAAAAATCAAATTCACAATTTACCACATAACAAATTTATATAAAAATAATTGATTCGTTAATAGCGCTCCGGCGACATACACAGACACGGTTTACCAATCCATTCATCCGTCATATATTAGAACAATTCATTCGATTGTTTTATCGTGTCAACGAATAAATCGACATTCGAATACACGCCTCTTTTTTTTTGTTGACGGAGTGAAAAATCCCTTCGGATCTCCGGCTCTTTGGGGATATAGGAGCCAGGAGTATGTGGTGATTCCACTAAAAACCACTCTGACGGCCCCCCAGATCGACGCCGCACCGAACTAGGCCCCATCTCAGGGAAAGCCAGTGGCTTCTCCTTGCCTATCAGCCTTGCGGCCCTATCTCCTACCGCAGCAGTTAATCTGCCACCAGAGATCCCCACTCTCTGGCGGCCCGCGGTCCCGTCGGCTGCTCATTCCGCCGCCGACGTATTCTTCGCTCGGGATCGGTCCTCTCCCGATCTCGTTTAGCGGTCTCTTTCTGGAGCATTACAGCTTCACAGAAAGAGACCACTGCGCCCCAGCCCTGCTCACCCGCCGGCAATAATGATTGCTGGCGGGGACAAGTCTCGTCCGATTTCATCGACCGGGACGATTATTTAGGAACAATCGCCTGTAAGCAATTTTAATTATTTGTATACCAATGTTTCGATTCAAGTAGACATGATACATTGTATTAATCAAAGTAAAGGCGGCGTTACGTTGTGTTACTAAATACCCCAAACAAAAATGTGTAACAACGATAACATTGTTCTTTATCGATAAAAACAGCAAAATCAACAGCCGCTTACGTCACCTTACACTTACATGACTTATAAGCACTAAATACAAACATACAACACTCATCCATAGCTATACCCTTGTATATATGGGACACACATAATAGGTACGAATTTAGGCATAAACAAGTAGTAATAAAAAGCCATTAAATAATTCTGGGAAGATAAAGGATTTTTAATTCATCATCTATACTAACGGCCTTACCAATAAACTTTTATACAAGACGTATAACAGGATTTTAACAAAAACGTTACCAATAAAACAATATTTGACGTTTCGGTTGTATACATCTGGTGCACAGATGTTTGGAAACAATGAGATTTTAGACAATCGTTATTCAGCCCTCGGCTCTTGTTTAGCGAACGGGTAACTTGTAATAATTAGTTGCTTACGTTATTTTTAGTTTGAAAACCATGGATTATTTACAATATTTCGATATTTTTGATGAAATTGACAATGAAGAACCACCAAGAAAAACAAAATGTTACAAAAATCGATATGATCATTTCTGTTTATCTGAAAATGAGTTTCGGTCAAAATATAGGTTCAGCAAACGATATGTCAGAAAAATTTGTGAATTAATTAGATGCGATATTGAACAGCAAGCTCGAGGTAGTGGACTGTCAATAGAACTTTAAGTTTGTACTGCTCTCAGAACATGGCTATTGATATGATAGAAGATATGAATTTTCCAGAACCTGATACAACTGAGGATACTGTGAGACAGAATGTGCCAAGAAATATACTTGACAGTGTTACTGGTCAAGAATCAAGGCGGATATATATTGAAACACATTTTTAATTATACTTATTTATTTTTATAAATTGTTTGTACTTTTGAAATAAATTTTCTTTAAAGTTCATGAAATTATTTGTATTATCCATTTTTGTCGAATATATTAACCATGCTTAACTTAGTTTTGAGTGTGACCGAGATAAAACAAAAACCTCTGAACTAACGATGTGCAGAGATTGACTTTGACAACTTACATCAGTTGCGTTCTAAAAATGTATGTAGGTATGGAACGAGCGAAACAACGATAATTTAATTTTTTTTATTTGTAAATAGACCGTAAAAACAATATATTTGGAGATAACATGATGTATTGAATAACAAATACATTTTATATAGCCATAAGTATAAAGTTGTGAGCGTATTATCAAATGAAATAAAGTCATTGAATTAACGCCGTACGAGTTTCGGAACGCCCCTTTGAATGTTGCCAGTGGTTTTTGTTATACGTAGGCGGTAACTATCCATTGTTTACACACTGATTATTAGTAAGGGTAATGTGTAACGCCTATTCACAGCCTATACATTGTACAACTAAACATTTGTCAAACAGATGTGTAACTTATTTTTATTAGTAAGGCTGTTATATTATAAAGCTGAAATGTTTGTTCGTGTGGTTACCGAGTAAGAATACGGAGTGTCATCCCGTGGGTGTCGTAAGAGCCGACTAAGGGACCAAACTCTTCAGGACAATAACAGGACTTAATAGGACTTAATAGGACTTGAAACAAACTCTATAGCAACTCCTCTGGTCAGCGTAATATAGTGAACCAAAACCTCCTTTCTGAAACGAGGCCTATATCCAGCAGTGGACTGATAAAGGCTTTAGTGGTTTAGGCGTGAAATCGTTAAAAAAACAAATAAGCCAACTCACTTTCATACTTGTAATATAAACTACTAGCTTGTGTCCGCGGCTCCGCCCGCGTAAATATCGGTTGTCGCGGTAAAAAGTAGCCTACGTCTTAGTAAACCGGTGTTAAGCAATTCTTTTGTTGCCTTTCACTCAGTGAGTGAGGTTACCGGAGCCTAAATCCCTCCTCCCGCTGACTCGAGTTTGAGGGACTCCAAGGGTAGCAACGCACTTGTGACTTTTGAGTTGCAGGTGTCCATGGGCGGCGGTAGTTGCTTACCATCGGGTGACCCGTCTGCTCGTTTGCCCTCTTATACCATAAAAAAAACTGACTGATTTATCAACGTAACCTAAGCCGATAATGCTACAAACTTGAAATTTCTTCAGTTAATGCTTTTTACGTTGTAAGCACAAACTAAGTAATGAATTTTAGAAATTTCCCCTCTAAGGTAGGTAAATAAAAGATGAACGGTTGTTTATTTTCAGTTTGAAAGTTAGAAAACGAAATAACAATCGCCTGAGTGAAGCCACTAGCAATGTAATATAATTAAAAACGTTATGTCAAACTAAGGGCGCAAAACAACGCAGGAGACCAGCACCTCAAAAAGAAGGAAAACTTGACACAAACCCTATACCAACCCGTCTGGCCAGCGTGGTATAATAGGCCTAAACTTCCTTTCTAAGGAGAGGCCTATGTCCAGCAGTGGACTATTAAAACCTGTAGATGATGATATCAAACTATGTTTTAGTTGTAGCAAAAGGGCAAACCAACAAAAGTGTACACATAATTCATTATATATGTTATGTTGGTTTGTGTATGTACCCTTCAAAAAGTCAAAAAGTTCTGTACCGGTTCAGCTTTAATATTGACACGATATACAACAGTCTTCAAAGATGGTTTTCACTGTTTTTTTTCAACCACCGCCAAGCGTCACAGGGTACAACTAGTAGGTATATAAATTTTTTAAGTTGGTTTGTGTCATCATCATTAGCCTATTGCCGTCCACTGCCGAACGAAGGCCTCCCCCAAAGATCGCTAACTATCTAGTGCCTGTTTTTTTTGTTGACGGGGTGGAAAATTCCCTCGGATCTCCGGCTCCTTGTAGATGTAGGAGCCAGGAGTATGTGGTTTTCCATTAAAATCCCGACGGTCGGACTTAGGCGCCCTACTCCGAGGAGGGCCCTGACATATTTCAGGTCCCGGATCGACGCCGCGCCCAGCATAGCCCTATCCCAGGGAATAATCTAGTGCCTAATCGCGATCTCCACTCTAGCACATGTCCAGCTCCAGTGACCTGTCTGCCTAGATATATAAACGGCCCGCTTTCACTTCAGTGCGCTCAAAAACTCAAAAAGTTCCGCAACGATTGAGCTCTTTGACAAGATTTACAAACCGCTTTAAAGATTCTTCGCGTGACAAGTGTGGCAGGGTACAGTCAGTATATCAGAAACTGTAGTGTGAAGGATAGAGTGTAAATAATTGATTGTGTCCTAAGTCCTAAGCCAAACATTTTATCTATTCCAGGACGTCGTAGAAGTATTTGTATCCTAGTTCTAGCTACATTTCTGTTGGTGTGGTACTCGTGTGGGTGGCTGATCACAATCACCAGCAAGGCGCTGCTGCCCCCACCACCACCAGACCAGAACCTGGACCACTTCCGGAGGAACAGGAGTTTGGCACACTATATGGATAATATGTGAGTTTTTTGAGGTGTCTAAAATCTATACTACGTAATCAAATTCTTTGTAAACAGTCTTCTAAATATGGCACATGAAAGCATTTCATAGATCTGAAGAGTGCCTCGGTGGTTAAGTGGTAGTGTATGCGACTGCTGTGCTGAGGTCTCGGGTTCGATTCCCGAGTCGGACTAAATGTTTGTATGATCTGCAAATATTTGTTTCGGAATTTGGTTCTTTTCTATGTTAATATTGTACCACATTCACACAACGCCATCTAGTCTCAAGCTAAGCAGAGCTTGTACTATGGGAACTAGACAACTGATATAAATACATATACCTAATACATTTTTTTTTGTAAATACATACTTATTATACATAGAAACAACCATACCGAACCAAACATTAAATGTTAATGCACACAAATGTTTGACTTGAGCGGGAATCGAACCCGCGACCTTTGGAATAGCAGTCCGTTACACAAACCACTACGCCATCCGGTCGTCATTGTAAAATGAAGTTTTATGAAATAGATAAAAAAGACTTTTCCTCGTAACAATATTTATGGCAAGACGTACCCAGTCGTATATGCCTGTGTCATACTAATCTGATAACGAATAAATAATATCATCGTTTTATAGCATTTATTGATTATATACTTTACAGTAAGCAAATAAAGGTTGAACTTTTATTGTATGTCTGATGAAGTGTTATCATCAACAGCCAGTACTAGTCCACTGCTGGACATAGGCCTCTTCTTAGAAAGAAGGGTTTGGCCTACTATACCACGCTGGACAGACGGGTTGGTAAAGGGTTTGTTTCAAGTTTTCCTTCTCTTTGCAGTGCTGTTGTCCTGCGTAGTTTGTTCCCTTAGTCGCCTCTTACGACACCCACGGGATGAATAGGGGTGATGACATTCCGTATTCTTAATCCGTCACCACACGGACAAAGTGTTATACCATATAATATAAGCCTTGTTTATTTTGTTGTTGGGATGGAAAATCCATTCAGATTATTCAGATTCAGGAGTATGTGGTGATCCATCCTCGGGCGCCCTACTTCCCGAATTGACACTTCACCTAATCAGGCCTTATCCCAGGGGAAATGACTACTCCCCTTCTATCGCGAAGTAGCGGCCCGATTGCATCTTCCTATCCTCCTATCCTATCATCAGGCCGCCATCCTATCCTCTACCTCAGCAATTAATCTGCCACTAGAGGTCCCCACTTTTTGGCGGCCCGCGGCCCCTTCGTGGACTGGTATCGCCCCCGACGTCCTCTACGCTCGGGATCAGCCCTCTCCCATATATAACATCACCCCTAATGTTGGTCGTTACTTAATCATTAATTGCCACGTTTTCTTATAACCATCATCATTTTACTAACTTTTAAGTTATCACTTTCATCACAGCAACTCTTTTAATGCTTTTCACCGAGTAAGTGAAGTTACCGGAACCTTTACCTTATTAGAATTTTGCTCAATTCCAGCCAGGTCCTCATTGAACCATCGACAACACCATGTGCCGGTGCCGAAGAAGTTCCAGTCCTAATTCTGGTGTCGAGTGCACCTCTTAACTACGAGAACCGGCAGGCAGTGAGGACGACTTGGGGCAAACACCAGCCAACATACTTCGTGATGGGCCTGAATAGCAACGACGTGGATGAACAGTTGGTGAGTGGGCACCTCCCATTCTTTGAGGATATAATTAGTAATATATCAATTGTGATGAAATTCAAAAAATGCTTAAATTTTAATCTTTTGGTAATGTAATGAAGTAAGTAAGTTGTTCGGGAGGCTTTAAATAAAGCAATTATTTAATTAAAAGTTTCAATGTAGAACTGCTAACACTAAGCGCAATAGTGAAATACAGACGGAACTAACACTTGACAGTTAGGCAACTGTCTCAGCAAAATGCTGAGAGCTATTTTTTATGATCATGCCTGGGCGTAGATTCTGTCAACATATTGGGGTACAACAGAAGACATACATAGAGGGCATTGCGGCATACGGGACGCGTCCCTTGAGAGGGACTTCCGTCGGCTGTGGACACCTGTAACTTAGATACACCAGTGTGTTTCCGCTTCCGCAAGAAAGAATTACTTCGAATAATAAAGCTTAACATCGGTTTTCTGTAAATATGTGGTATACCGTGGTAGCCGTGGTCGTGCCTAAGCGCATGGTTCTTGATGAATTCACCTTATTAGATACCTATTTGTATAAGTAATTGAAGTTATAGAATCTTAAGCTTAAATTTGAAAATCAGCTTCAGTTATACAAATATTCTAGTAGAATGCTTTTACCTTCTAAGACTGTTTTTAAATAACTCTTTATCCTAGGTAGACAACTACGTAGAATCCAAACAGTATGGAGATCTGGTGCTCTTCGAGCTCCACGATCACTACCAGAACCTGACCCTGAAGAGTGCCCTCATGATACAATGGGCTTTGAGGAACTGTCCTCAGGCAGAATTTATGTTTAAGACTGATGATGATGTACTAGTTAATCCTTGGACTTTGAAACTGGTGTTAAAGGAGAATCCTGATGCGGCGCTTTTGGGTAAGCCTTACAGTTTTTTTTAGTTTCCAAATAGTGATGTCCGTGTGGTGATGGATTAAGAATATGATGTGTCACCATCCCTATACATCCCGCTGGTGTCGTAAGAGAGCCGAATAAGGGAACAAACTACACAAGACAGCACTGTAATGAGACGGAAAACTTGGCCAAAACCGTGCAGCAACCCGTCTGGCCAGCGTGATATCTTACATCCAACACACAACACACAATGCCATCTAGTTTCAAACTAAGCAGAGCTTGTACTATGAAAGCTAGACTGACAGATAGAATGGTTATATATTTCTTGTTGTTATTGTGATGATGTGACTAAATATTTGTATTCAAGTTGCAGTATTTATTCTCTACGCTTACTTCTGTAGCTTGTATATTGTATGTTTTGAAGCACGGCTGCTCGTGATGTTTCAATGAGGATATTATAACAACAGCTGTTCCACCATGAGCAATACCGTCGGGATGGTTAGTGTTGTAGATGTTGAAGTTTGGTATTGTTATCAAACTTTTTCTGCTGAGTAATTTTCAGATATAAGCAGAACATCAAGCTTATGCAGCTTCAGGATTATTTTAGCTTCTTCTTTATTTTGGAGCAAGTCTATTTGTGTTCCATGGGCCAATTCAGATGGCAGTCATTTTATATGTTTGTCAATCAGTTAAGTCATCAGACCCAGAAGTGTACTGATTTGTTGGATGAGCTAATCTATCGTTTCAGATTGTTTGATGAGTAGGTTTTGCACAACCTGGGTGGGCTCAACATGTGAATGTTGTTCATTGGTTTTGAGAGCATCAGCTTAAGTCCTTATGGTATGTGTTGGTTTATTGCCATTATCTGGTTATTGTGGTTTTTCTAAGGTCATAATTGTACTTATGTCTTTGGTTTGTTTTAGATTATTTTTTTTTCTTCTATTCTTTAGTCATGACTTTTATTTCTTCTTGCAGTTATTTCTTGGTTGACTCACTCACAGTCTTTGTAATTCACCGGGTCGCAGAGAGCACATTTCGCTGGGAAATTGCGATCTTTTTTAATCTCTATAACAAATTGAGCGTTTTCTGTTGAATAATTAATTTAATTTGGTATGATCTTATCAAAAAGATTTTTTTAGATCACGGGGCAAACAAGCGGTTAGTTCTTAAGGTCGTAAGGTACCTAAGTGACTACTGCCGGCTGCTAGTTTACCCCCTGTGCCATAAAAAATAGTATAAATAATACACAGTCTTATATTATGTATTTATAATTTCAGGTTATAAAATAGAGGACACATTAGTCCATCGCGACGAGTATACCAAGTGGTTTATGCCGCGCTGGTTGTTTAATACGGACGTGGTTCCTCAATACCTTTCTGGGACTGGATATCTAATAAATGGTAAATTAAACATTAAGTATCTACAGGGTGTAAGGGACGTCGTAACGAATATTGAAATATTGTATTCAGACTATTCTGAGTCGAAAATCATTTTAAGCAAACCCCCCAGCCGCCAACTTTTGTTAGTGTGCGTAGACTGTTTGCGTGGAATACAAAATATAGTTATTACTTTTATGCTTTTTAGTCTAAAACAACGAGGTTCCCAAAGACGCTTACGACCCTTTTAATCAGTGCTATTTCTCTTCTCTTAAAAGTAAATAAGAGTATTTCAAGGAACAATACGAGGCCCCTTACTTTTTGTACTTTTTAAATTTCTATTTAATAACCTCTTAACGTTAAACTTTGCATTATTTCAGGTGTGAACTTAGAAAACATCTTAAAAAAAGCTTATAAAGTGCCATTAGTTAATTTAGAAGATGTTTACTTCACATATCTAGTCGCTCATAGAACTTTAAGCCTACCTCTTACCCATGACCGAAGACTCAGCCCACACAAGCCGTGGCTTCCTCTAGCCTGTGCCTATTGGACTCTAGCCTCAATGCACAGTTTGAGCCCTGACGAAATGGCAACAGCGTGGTCAAAGATAGAAAATATAGCTGATCTAGATGCATCATGTAGCTTTTTTAAATCATATTTAGAAAGTGATTTTTTATTGTATTGAAAGAAATAGAAGAGAATAGTTGAATAAGATGTTTTCTCGAAGAAGTTCTTTAATGAGTTTGCCTTTTTGGTGAATGATTGATGAACGGGGTCTGAGGATGTATATGCATATCTTTGATCAAAATGTTCGAAGACTGCAGTGGTTCAAGAGTCTACAAGTTCAGGAGACTTCGAATCTGTTAAGAATTGGATTTTTATGGAATTGAAAATTTGTGTAACATTAGCTGTTTTGAGATTGGATAATTCTTTGATTCTGTAATTTGCATGTTGAGAATATCATCCGTAATGGAATAATGGGTCCTAGGAACATAGAGTGATTTTCCTTTTTTTGTCGAGTGAGTGGTGAAGAAATTAAAAGTACGTACGGCTAGAAAAAAAAAACTATTTGTAATGTTTTTGGCATAAAAATTATTAATAACAATTTGTTCATTAATTATTTTTTCATTAATATTTTCCAAGAATATTCATCATCATCAACAGCCTTTAATAGTCTACTGCTGGACATAGGCTTCTCATTAGAAAAGAGGTTTTGGCCCACTATACAAGAATATTAGAAAAGTTTTAATAAAGTGAGCGTTTTTGTAACAAACTGTAATAGAATAAGCCTGAATCGTCAGATCGACATTATTTTCAGTAATAGACAACTTTGCATTTTTTTTTTTATTTCTGTGAACAGTGTGACTATTAGTGAATTTTATTAATTTACTACCTCCTTTCTAAGGAGAGGCCTATGTCCAGCAGTAGATTACTACAGGCTCTTGATGAAGATGATTCATTTAAAGACAAATTACAGCTTGTTCAATTGTGTTGTTTTTGATACCACAACCTCACAAAGAACCGATGTTAAACCGATGTTTGTTGAGTGAATGAGGTTAAGGCCATATCAAACTGCCAAATCTGACAGGGGAACAAAGCACTTGTGATTCTTGAGGAACAGGTAAAAACAGCAATATTTGTTTGTTCATCTGAGTCATGTTGTTTAGTTACTGCACAGAGTTTCAGAAATGTACATACTGAATGAACTCCAGAATGCCAAAGTACAAAAACTCAGAAAATTATTATTATTATTACGCCTTTATCTTATATATAAAATTCTCGTGTCACAATGTTCGTTCCCGTACTCCTCCGAAACGGCTTGACCGATTCTCATGAAATTTTGTGTGCACATCGGGTAGGTCTGAGAATTGGCCAACATCTATTTTTCATACCCCTAAATGGTAAGGGTGACCCATCCCTAATTTTTTTTTGTTTTGCAATACAACGTTTGCCGGGTCAGCTAGTTATTTATAAAATATTTGAGCCATCGTGAGAATTTAATCTCTTCATTTGCAATATAACTATTTTGTAGTGACGTCAGGAGGTGACAAGAGAGACGCTGATATAGTGATATTCTCATATAAAGTGAAGTCAACATCCATGCGTACTTTATCGTTTACGTAATTTGAATAAAGTTTCTGGAGAAACGAACGCTAAAATCCATCATATTTTGTTGGTGCAAGAAGGATTTCAGGACCAACCTAGTTAATCATACTTGGGAGACCGTAGCCTTATTATTGATGTTGAATGTTTTAGTTAAATGACTTAATTGGCTAAAACATTAATTACTTAGCTCGTAAATTTTGATTCAATGCAGGATTGGTAGCTACTATTTAGTTTGAATAATTTATGGGTTCGAATGTATCTCGATGTCAGCATTGATTTAAGAATATTTCTTTTAAATTAAACTACACCTTATTTAAATACAAAGCTTTATTTAAAAATATAAAAAGTACAAAAGGGCAATGTTTTTAAACGCCCATGTTTTTTATGTTAAGTAGTTGCTTGATCAAATGGTCTTGGCTCATGTACTTCGTTTCATTTTCCAAGATTTTTGGTTCCTCAAACGGTACTGGATGCTGTGGATGTTGTGCCTGCTGGTATACTGGGTTTTCAGCAGGTTTCAATGTTGGAACTAAAAATAGTATAAGGGATTAAAAACAAACACTGTCACGGTGACTGCGATCGGCGTTGCTTTTGGCCTGCACTGAAATTTTTACCAACAGCAACGACAAACGCACTCGCAATTGAGAGCGGGTTAGTGTGAATTGTACTCCTACTAGGCCCTCTGAATAAGGTATTTAAGATGGGCTGAAAGTAAGGTGGACTGAGTAACCATTAGACTTTTTAAATCCATAACAGTAGACAGTACTAAATACTTGTTTATAAAATATAAATTCTAGCTGTTCTTACTAATACTATAAATGCGAAAGTTATTTTGTATGATTATTAACTTATTTGTTGATTATCATTATTGATATTGATTTATTATTATTATTGTCTTAGATCGAACCGATCATCATGTAATTCTGAGTACCTACACATTGTCAAAGGAACCAAGAGAGCGATGCCAGAGTTGATTATCAATGCATACATTAACGCAAGCGAAATAAAATAAAAAAAATACTCACTAGCAAAGTTGCTTGTCCTGCTATTACTGGTCGGAGTACTGTCACCATCTTTCTGCATTACAAGCATTTTAAATAGTTCATGTGCAAGGTTATAATTACCGATATTAAGATAAAACAAAATTCTTTTCGCTATATTATAGTTCATGTTGTTTTCCACATTAAATTCTCTTGCTTCTTTCAATTTCAAATATGTTTCTACCCGTTTTTTTATCAAATGATTTATAATTTCTTGTCGAGAAATTGTCATATCATTTTTGTAGTCATTTGCGTTTAGCTTGCCAACATCTGGTAGTGTAGTTCTTTGTACATGATAATTAGGATTCATTACATAACCAGAATGTTTTCTTTGACTTAATTTTTCCACTTTTGCCACAACTTTTTGGTCTAAGCTAATATTTGAGGCTGAACTCGAAATAAAAGTATCAAGCTCTGAGAATTGGTCGGCAGTTATTTTACTTAGATTATTATATTCTTGTTTAATTCCCTCTAAAGCAGTTACATAGTTCTTCGTTTCCTCGTGTAAAGTCTTTAGTAATACTAATCTTTCTACTGCTGGCACTTCTTTATACAGAGCTTCGTTTTTGTAACCAGAGCTTATATTTGTCAGTTTGTAAATTACATGTTTAACTTTTTCAAACGGTTTGATGTCTTTAACATTTAAAAGTCTACGAGTTTTGGACTTAGGTTTTTGGCTTAAATTTTTTATCACCCTCTCTAAGACAACTGCTGATTTAGGTCTCACTTTCATTATAGAATCACTCCTGCGCGTTTGCATCCTCCTCATGTCAATTCTCAATTCATTGAACATATCAACAATGTTATCGGCTTTCGTTTTATCATCATTATTTTTGTTTAAAATATCTTGGCCAGCATTCATGATGTTATAGATACAAGGTAACGCATCTGCTATTCTTATATTGCCTCTTGTATGAATGCCTTTAGCGTCTTGTAATTCTATTAAATCTTCTATGATAGTTCTAAGATGGGCTTTGAGTTTTTCTTTGGTTGATGCAAATTGTATAGAACTGTCTGGTTTATACACCTTTGTATTATTTTTTTCTACCGTAACAGTAGTAGGGTCTAGAGGTTGCGCTGTTGTCATTGTAGAAGTGGGCTCATTTATTTTGGTTGTCGCTTTTACAGGTTCTACCAAATTGATTAATTCAGTCATAGATTTTATTTTAAAAAACTCAGACAAGTTGAGTAAAATATTTCCTTCTATTGTAGGCAGAGCTTTCATATTGGAGTTTTGATTGACTTTATTCAGTATACAGTCTGGTTTACTGTTTATGTGCGTTAAATAATCCAAAATTATTTTATCTTTAGCAGTTACCGTCATGTTACTTATATCAATTTTAAACATTTTCATGTAATTATTTTTAAAATTCTCGTCATCGTTAAGCATACTTTTTTGGCGTAATACATTTGTTATTTTTCCACTATCTTGTTTGGGTAATAAGACTTTTACAATTTTATCTAAAAGATTACCATAGATGTTTAACGAATTTGTCTCAGGTTTTGTTAATACAGCATCTAAAATGAGCTTTTTGCTTATGGGATCCGTAAAATTAATCGATTCAGAAGCATTTTTGATATTGCTCAAATTACTGTGAATATTTTCAAAGGTTTTTAGTAACTGCAGCACTGTATTTATCTTTGATACTGCTTTTGCTGTAGCATATTGATCGATCTTATTATTTACTTCCTTATTTGTCTTTTTACAAGGTTTGGTTTCTTGGACATTAACCTTTTGCATTTCTTTATCGTTAGCATTGTCATAGTTATGTATTAGTTTTGTCGCTTCTTCAATAGTCTGGCAAATAGTGACATTTTTAACATCTTTATCTGTATCGATTGCACTTGAAAGACGTTCCAACACATTTTTCAAAAATTTCTCCTGTTTCAAGTTTAATGGTTCTTTAAATAAGTCAAGTAAGTCAGAAATTTTCTCATGTTTCATATCTTCCGTTTCTAGAGTAGATCCTGTTGAATCTTTTTCCATAGTCCATAACTTGTTTAGAAGATTACCCGCAATATATGCCATAGCAGTCAACGTATCATTTTCCAATGTAAAAGTGATATTCGAAGTTACTGGAGCATTATTATCTCCTACAATTTCACTCCCTGGTTTTAACTCATTCACCACAAGCTTTGACAGTTCTTTGTCTTTGATTTGTTGGCTATGGTTGCCCAGTATCATGTTTAATTTTTCATGGCTTAAGTTGAACTTACTATCGTGATCAGGTGAATCTATTTTATTGTCTGTAATGTGATTGTGGTCATTAAAATCAATATGCAGTGATTTGTTACTTTTCTCTATAATATTTGAGCGTCTAGATATATCTGGTAGGATTTTCAAATCCATCTTCTTGGCTGGCATTGTTCCAGAAATATTAAAATTCTGCAAAGTATCTGAAAAAAAAAACAATTTTAGAAGTTTCATTTAATTTGAGTTTACCTATTTTTTTACTATATTTATGCATATAAAGTTTAGGCAGCTCCAGTTATGGTAATTTTATTTATTCCCAAGTTCTGGTGTTTAAGTTTAATGTTACATTCATAATGTATATTCGATCAGAAAATATTTTAGTTGCAGCAATTTAAATTAGTGTTTATACTGTAGTCTTTTTTCTTTTTATGACAAATAACCGTGCGATCATTCATAATGTCGGTGACAAAATGCAGACTGTGAATTTGTTCAATGATATACTCTTATATATGTATAATATGATTTTAGGTAATGATATCTGTATTGAGATAAACATGTATTATTTTTAGATGTCAGTAATATTGTAATACACACCTTCATTCAATTCGTCAACCGTTGAATAAAATTTAATGGTATCGTTGCTTTTGTTAATGTTTCTAGTATGTCTCTTGTTGCTTGTCTTCTCTGCAGATCTCTTATTATGCTTGTTGCCAGTACTCTTCTTATTAGATGATCTCTTCTGTCTCTTAACTATCCTTTTCAGATCACTAAAAGGATCTTCAAATCTCTTTTCGTCTGCAAAATAATAATATCAGTAACTATGATGAAAGATATTGATTTATTAAACCAATTGCATGTACTTACTTGAATTTGTATTTATTACGATATATTTAAGAGAGAAAAATAAAACAAAAGGTTATTAGAATGTGCATATAGTGCTTATATTACAAGAAAGAGGTGCAAATCAGTGCTGTTGTTGCCGAGGTATAGCGAACACATAACCTGAAAATATATAGGATTAAATATATTACCCGGTTGTGTGGCGAGCTAAGATGATGATGATTGTGATGAAATATTAAAAAACCCATTCATAAGTTGTCATAGGAAAGCTTAAAAAATTTCGTTTACTTTCCCTTAAGTAGCCATTTCTGGTTATGGAGTTCACTGAGCCTTCATCTTGACTCAGAAGGTCGTGACGTTATAACATGCCTAAGAAATGCCTGACAAATTTATCATCATCATCTCTTAGATAAAAGGCATTTTTCTAAACCGTATTTGGGATTAGTGCTATGTTCTTTAGATTAATTTTGCTTTCTTTATTTCACTTTACAAGCACAACTGTCCCAAACGCCCTAAACTGTAACTAAATTATTTTTTCTATCTATCGAAGAGAGTGTTACGAGGCAGATAACTGGTTCTGTTAAATATAAAGCATTGCGCCGACCTCGAATAAAATCAGGAGCATTGTAGGATGAAGGTGAGTAGTAACAAATTAAAGTATTTTAGTGCATCAGAGAGTTAGTGCAAATAAATTAGAAACTGTTTTAGTATACCTAGGAAATCTTCAGTTTCTTGTCTTTCAGGGCCTGGTGGTGGCGGGACGAGTCTTGTGTTTACAGGGGCAGGCTTAAACTGCTCCTCTCTTTGTCTTTCTATAGTTATTAGTAACATATAAAGTTTATTTATTATAGACACTATTAGATTTAAATTTAAAATATGTTGCGTTAGAGGTCTGGAATTTCTGGGCAACCGTGAGTTTGAGTTTGAGGATTGTGTTAGGTACACAATTCCTAATTATATTGGCCTCTCTTTTTACCTATCTTTCTCTCAAACACTCACACACTTCCTATCTTTAATTAATAAAGTGACCGGTTGACCAAATTATAGCTGCCAAAGTTCAGGTATTTAATGTGCATTTAATGCCTTTTTGGGGTTATATGTTTGTAAATATGTATGTGTAAGATGTGGGTTAACGTCGGTATTATCCGCTGTACACAGGTTCTGGGTTTAATCTGTCACCATTGAATGATCAAATAAAGTCCCTAGGCCATTACGCTACAATCTCTTCCACTTTTTCTGAAATATCTCTAAATTAAGGGAGAACTCCTTAAATTTTGTATGGCCACATCATGCTTTTAGCTATTTTTAATTACACTTATGGTGACCTTGAGTAGAGCTAGAGGAGAGGTTGCACTTAGGTAAAGGTAAACTAATAAAAAAAATTAAAAATTCATTATCATTCCCCAGGAAACAACCATGTTTCCAAGAGATATCTGAATTGATTGAAAAAATTACAGTAAGCACGCAAAGCCACTTGTCAAAATTGGTAGGTAGGATTAAAGTAAGGGAGAGATTAAGTTAGGGAAGATTAGAATAAAACCAAAATACAAATTAAGGAAAGTGCAGGCTTCGACCAAAAAACGCTGAACTAGGGCCAGTTCTCCAGATCTTTGAGTAGTCCTGACGTTGAGGATGCCCGACCTTGGACATAATGGACATACTTTACCAAGTGAAAAGTGAAGTGACTCACACTAACGTGGAACGTCACGAAATTCACAATTGAGTTAAACCGTATGTCGTTAAGAAATGTGGATACCACTCACTAAAGTATCTGTGAGTTTGTAAAATTCACCATTTTGCTAGACACTAACCATTTTATTTGATTCTTGCCAAGTTTACTAATCTATCGTTATTAGATAATATTTTTTTGGTTTACCTGCCTTGTCAATATGTCCAAAGTTATCTAAAGATTTTTCAAATTGATTGCTCATCTTCTTAGAAAATAAAACATTCAAACTGGGTGCATATTTCGGTTGTTTTTTCTTCAACATTTTCATGTCTAAATAATATTATATGAATTACTTTTATTAATATTAATGAATATATAGAAAATGTTTGTACTATTCTACGAAATAGTAACAAATATTATAAAAATTAACTAATTTCTCTAAAATTAGGAGTTTTCATATTTGCATTGTTACGTTAAAATTTTCTAAGCAAACGTTATTTCCATAAGTAATGCCATTTACACTTGCCATTAAATCTTACGAAATCATCGATAAACCCTAAAAGATTTTCATGAAGAATGGATAAAAAAAGGAAACAAGAAAAAGAGAAAATTAAAAGATGAAGGAACCTGTTTTTTTTTTGCATTTAGAAGTAGTTATGACATAAATAATACTTCATGAGCCAGAAATAGTTATGGGCGCAGCTTTGAGCTCATTCGCGCAAAGCAGTGATGGTACAACTGTATTATAAGCTATGCTATAACTAAAACAGATGATAAAAAGCCCACATACCATATTCCAATTTATCAATAGCTGCCTCGAACATTTCGTCATCAATCGATACTTCGTCATATTCATTACATATTTGAACAGAACGACAATCCCAGATGCTTTCGGCAGAGCATAAGCATTTTGTGCAGCCTTCACATTGGTTAACTAAAACAGGGGGTAAAACAAGAGGTAGGGGAAATATACATTTTACATATGTTAAGAACAATACTAGATTTAGAAAAGTTTTATCATGATATAATAACGGCCAAGAAGCAGACTGGTCGACCCGATGGTAAGTAACTTTAAAAACTAAATCATCATCATCATCATCATCAACAGCCTTTACAAGTCCACTGCTGGACATAGGCCTCTCCTTAGAAAGGAGGTTTTGGCCTACTACACCACGCTGGCCAGACGGGTTGGTATAGGGTTTGTGTCAAGTTTTCCTTCTCTTTGCAGTGCTGTTGTCCAGCGTAGTTTGCTCCCTTAGTCGCCTCTTACTACAACCACGGGATGACTAGGGGTGGTGACTAAATGAGGGTTTTAAAAACTTGTAATATTTAATTTAGTGTTACTACAACAAATATTACATACAATCAAGAATAAAAGTACCTCAATGCCAAATTTAATTAAAATCGGTTCAACTATTTAGCCGTGAAAGCGTCACAGACGAACAGAGTTGTTTTCTCATTACAGATAGCGCTTGCTATAGTTGTTAATTATTTAACTTAATACACAATTACTTACATTCATTACAATCACTGTATTGAGATACATAGGGCACACATTTTTTTTGTAACATCAGCTGTCTTCGACTTCCTTGTTCAACCTGACCACCGGTTACTGAAAGCGTTTAAATTCTTCTGTAAAAATTGTATTATTCCTATTTCTATATTTCAATCATATCAAACCGGCTTACCTTTAGTCATAGTTTTGTCCACTATTATTCCCTATTTAGAATTTAAGCATATGCTAATCATGGCATTTACATTTAACATTTTGATACACATGTAACGATGGCGAGTAATTGTTCAAATTTTTAAAGATCAAAAAAATTCTCAAATTTATTTTTGATCGATCACATCACACATCAACAGCCTTTAATAGTCCACTGCTGGACAAAGGCCTCTCCTTAGAAAGGAGGTTTTGGCCTACTATACCACACTGGCCAGACGGGTTGGTATAGGGTTTGTGTCAAGTTTTCCTTCTTTATGCAGTGCTGGTGTCCTGCGTTGTTCTGTACCCTTAGTCGGCTCTTATGACACCCACGGGATGAATTGGGGTAGTGACATTCCGTATTCTTAATCCGTCACTACACGGATAGAACTGCCAAAATAATTATTTTATACAAAATCGAATATGTTGATATACTTACGGTAATTTCTTACAACTAAGTGCTGATTTGTGCTTTTGAAAGTGAAATAGGTGAATAGTGCTTTATTATATTATTAAAAGTTAAAAAGTGAGAAAAGTGTGAATAAAAATATAAAACCGTGCAGCAGACGCAGGAAATGGATTGAACTGCCAAGATATAACTCGTAAATTATTTAATGCGCAATTTACAAAAATAAAAAATCACACTACACTTTATACACACAAACACTCGTTTTTTTTTTTCATTTCTGTCGTAAAACTATTGTGAACTTGTATTCAATTTGTCTTCACTAAATAGATCTCTCTTTACATTTAATGGTTCTTGTTCTATTTCCAATTTCTTGTCTTAAATAAATACTGTACAATCTTTTAGATTTTCTTTGTTTCCTTGTTTATCAACTTTTTATCATTCTCTTTCATTCACACTAATAAAAATGAATTTATACTCTAAACTACTAGTCGCTAGTATTAATCATTATTGACCACGAAGTCAACATAATCTCCTCTCATGGCTCCTCCCAGCAGGTTCTCCTTCGGGATTCGTCTCTTCAAGGTCCGCAGTTTGTTGTGTACCCCGTTGTGTAGTTGTCTCCGGTGGCCATCAGGATGGCTGCAGCACAACGTGTCGCCTCCTGCAAGCACCAATCTTTATTTTATCAGACGGTAGCAACAAGATTGATCGCGTGTTCGAGAATAACTTAGAATTAATTGTTTTACATTTTAGCAAGATTGGCTTGCAAAAGGCGGTACGTAATGTGATACAACAATAATGGATGTGAAAAAATAATGCAGTACAGTCGTCGTCATCTTGATGGTATTTACGTAGGAATAACACGACGTTATCATACCCAGGTCTTGCAAAAAAATCAATTGAAATAGAACCACCTTATGTTCTTTTTTTATGTTAGAGGGGCAGACGAGCAGACGGGTCACCTGATGGAAAGTGACCATCGCCGCCCATGAACGTCTGCAACTCAGGAGTCACAAACGCGTTGAGGTCCTTTTAGGAAGGGGTACGCTCTTTTCTTGAAGGTTTGAAGGTCGTATCGGTCCGGAAATACCGCAGATGATAACCCGTTCCACAGATTGGTTGTGCGGGGCAAAAATTGTCTCGAAAAGCGCACAGTAGTGGAGCGCCAACTATCCAGGTAATAAGGATGAAAATTTTGCGGTGTGGAACGATGGCGGAAATTTGCAGCTGGTATTAGTCCGAACAATTCCTCGGAGCACTCTCCATGATATATGCGATAGACAATGCAGAGTGAAGCTACATCTCTACGTAACGCCAACGAATCGAGCCGGTCGCAAATCTTAATAGAAATTAGCACTTGCTGAGTTTCTCTACAAATCATACATTTATAAACAATGGTTGTACATTAAATTCACAAACAACATAATATAATTTGCAGTATCACTAATATTCACTAGTCACTAATCTTAAACTTAACGATCACACTCAAGCAGTAGACTACCCAGAACCAAAGGAAGGCCAAACTAACAGTGCTGATACAAACGCCTACCATGTTCAATTAAGTTAAATAGACTGTTGTCCATGGTTCTCCTCATTCTCCAGGACAGTTGCCTGAAGTAAGTTGGTCGATCTTGTTGAAACAAATGGCCGTACATGTCTCTCGATGCTTTATCAGACCTCAAGTATCTGAGATAGTTGCAGAACCAGAGGCTTCTGCTTATGCACCCTGCTTCGTCCCCGCTGACAGAGCACACGCAGTAATAGCAATTGGTATTGGATTTATAGTCGAGCAGTGACGTCATGTCTTCTTCTTGATAGTTTATGTCCGTTTCGTTTGGAGTGTCGTGGTTGGTGTAATATGAGTGTCCTCGGTAGCACTTCGATGCAGGATCATAGGGGATCTCGTCGTTGTGCCAAATTAGATCTGTAGTAAACATTGTTAGTAATACAGTTTGGCGTGCAATAGGAATTCGTAATAAATTCTGAAACTTGTTGTTTTTTTTTACCTATTGAAACATTAAAAATAACTAATTTAAATATTCACGTAGTTACACGTTAAGGGCTATTCACATGCGTGTGTGATAGCACTTAAAAAAATTGAATAATCTTTATTGTACAGTACACCAATTAAGGATATTATACATACAATAGTATTCCAAGTTAATAACCATGTACAAATGGCGGCCTTATCGCTAAAAAGCAATCTCTTAGAGGCAACCTTTGGATGGACAAATAGGACTGTAAATAGGCATTTCTTCGCTTATAAAGTGGTATTCCTGTGGTACTGGACAGACTTAAGGTTACTCAACCCTGCTCCTCGAGCTACTGCGGTCTGAGACCATTGCCTAGTCTAGACTTGTGGTATCGTTTACTCTAGCTCCCTCTTTCTATTAGTTTTCCTTTAACCAATTTTAGCAGACGGTTGACAATAACAGAATCTAGCTAAAACTTTTGCCGAACTTTTAACGAACTTGGACCGACCCCAAATCTAAGCTTAAACAAAATAAATGGATATAACATTATTTACGTAGATGAGTAATAATCTTAAATAAAAGACGAAAGCTTGTTATAACCTCTAAAGGATCAACACAACAACTGAGCAAAATAAATATATTTTTCATCTAACACCTAAACATATCGTGTATCCAGTATCAAATTATAGCTTTTTCACCTATTTCACTTTCACTAGCTTCGCTCTCGACATACCTCTCCTAATTCTGTACGCAAGATTTTTCTCTAGTTCGAATGGTTCCCCTGTCTGACGCTTCTGCATAGCGGCGCTGATTACCATACATTCATTGACGCTCCCTGTAGAACTTTTACTACAGTATTCGCCTTTACCATCGGTTGAGCATACACATATAGAACAGCCTTCCTCTGCATCCGCATCAGAGAACCTTCTTTTAACGAACTCCTCAGAGTCACTCGTCACTTTATCAATTTGTATAACTTTTTCTTCAACTTTCATAACCGTCCGCCCTGGGACACATTTCAGGTCCAACGTTCCAATGTCTTCTTGTTTAGGTGTTTGACGATTGTAGAAGTCTACAATGGTGTGGATAGTTGATTACTTATTCCTTATGTCACCTATTTTATTAGACGATGTGACGAAATCAAGTTCGAAATCTAGATGAATTCTGATTATATTTATTATACCTATATTGTCTGATCATCAAAAAGAAAACAATTCACCAGTCCGTGATATTCATAGTATCACCTCGTTAACAAGAAAAGTATTAAATGGAGGAGGGTAAGGTAGACTACCCTTTAAGGTAACGATTTTGTAATATCTAGATTTTTTTCTGTCTTTGTATAATATATTTAGCAATTAGATTTTACTTTAATGCGAACATATAGTTTACAGGGTTGATGGTCTGTAAGGCAGGCCAAGGGTAATCACACGAACATTTCGACGACGATATATGGCTCGGCCTTTCTGACAGCAACAAGTTCGTGCGTCGGGCTATCGCATACACTGCCTCATGCATCCTTACTTACCTCGTAAAGGTACTAGGGAAACCTCTTTATTTACTTCCAAGTTTTCCATTTGTTTTCCAAAATGCCCGGTGGGCGACGATATATTTGCTGCGTATTACGTAAGTAAGACTAATTTTATAAAGTAAGACAGAAATGAGTTGAATAAAATATTGGAATTAAATTTTTAATTATTTATGATTAAGGTAAGAATTATTGTCGCTTGACATCGACATAACTGTTTTATTCATTTATGATAAATCTCTATAATTCCAATTTTGTTATTTACTCATCTAGATTTCAGACAATAAAGTTCATTTTGATTTATCATAAATTATTTGCATAGATCAACAGAAGAATGTAATATGGTAAAGAAAAAAATAAGGGGTCAAAAAGAAATGATTGAAGCAAAAATTTAAAATAAACATTATAAATTAACATCAAATGAACTTTCTAGGAAACAATTTCGAAGGTAGACTTGGATGAATGAAAGTCAAAATGGATCCCAAAAGAAAGCATCCACATTCCTCCTAGGGATTGGTATTAGACGGAAATACCAAGGCGTCACTTTTACCAAGAGAGGCTGACAGCAACCACAATTTGAGCAATCTTTCGCGGTATACAAAGGTCGAGAGTTCTCAGGACTTTTATTTGTACTTTAATGTAAATTTAAACTAAGGATACTATTATCGGCACCCATTTATGAGGTTGCTCATCCTTTTCTACGACAATGCTACTGTGTTTTGTGGTATTCTCCTTATTTCCCCTTTATTGTAGTTGTACCTGTATTTTTAAATAATTCAAATACCTAATGTTTAACATAATTTAAGATCATTTCGCAGTTGATAAATATGTGGTTTTTATATTGTAGTTTGTAACATATTGCAGTTAGTCCTGTCTCGTCCTCGATTATCTGCAAATGGACTTGAAAGGTGCTCTATGCTTAATGTGCGGGTGTAGAAATACTGAGCCTTTTTGTCTAGCAGTGTATGATCCTGACTGCTAAGCTGTCGGGGGTTTTGGTTTCTAACCAGGACAAAGATTGTGCGATGAGCACGATCATTTATTTTGTGTGTGGGGTCTAATTTATATTAGTTTGGTTTCCAAAGCACAGACCTTGCTTATTTTGTGACGGGACGGCCGTGTGTGAGATGTGTGAAGTTGTCCTATTATTATTATAGTGTATGGTATTCTTTGCATGAAGTCCATCAAGATGTACATGTATTCCTTCTTAATTATTATCTGTTGTTGCGACTGCAAGTTAACTAAACGCACTATAACGGGCAACAGCGCGGCGTGCGGGGGGACTACCCGGACGTGTGCGACGAGTGGGGGACCGAGCCGGGAGGAGCAGAGGACATATAAAACAGCCGTTGCTCGCCTTGGGACATAACCGTTGACGGTCCGACTTCAACCTCACACTTGATAACATGTAAAGACCTGGCGATTAAAATACCAATAATACAGTCCACTGCCATTTTATTTACGTCCCCTGGACCCTTAACATCTGTAGTAATATGAAGATCAATTGATCTAACCAATAATTTTTCCTCTGAGTATTCAGCGTCGTCTTCTTTCAAGTGTAACCAAGATTACACTAGGTAAACTGTTATATCGTAAACCGCTCTCAAGTAATTTGATAAGGCAAATTTTGTTTCTAATATGTAAGACCGAATTTAAGAGTTTCATGGCATTTTCGCTAGTGTTTAAATTATCATTAAGGTTAATTAGTTATTAACATTGGACTTTACAATAGATTATTATTTATTTTGGAAATTGACTAGGTTCTGTGTTTATTTCTTTGGTGGCAGTTTTGATTACATAATTTTAACAATCTGTTGAAGAATTAAAAATGTTTGTGTTTGTTTTCTTTTTATTATTTAAATGTCAGTTACCCATTTTAAAACATCAAAGTTTTTGATCTTTACTATAAACTTGTTGATGTAAGTTCCGATGCTTTTTTGTGTCATGAACTTTTTATCGAATATTCATACAACTTCTATATAAGTTTGTATGTATAGACAGCAGTTTTTTTTTCTTTATAAGACTGGTCGTGTCTCGCAGTTTTATCCGCGTTTATGGTTACTACCTTACTCGTATTGATTCATTTGCTTTTAATTAATCTTCTGTAATGAACGCCATAATTATTAAATACAAGTTTTTTTCTCATCCAGAGATCAGTTCTTTTGAACAAATACACAATGACACAAAAAAATCTTCAACTTAACTAAACTAATATATAGTTTAGATTTATAATTTTTGAACTACTACAGAACTACTGAAAACTGGGGATTAACATCCGTATATATCCATTAACATTTCAATGACGACACTTCCGAATTCTTTCTAGGAGTTCCTTAATATATTGTTGATTAAACTTATCACAGATATCCTTACCTGCCGAGGAGTAGTCGATGAGCAAGCCCAGGGCGACGAGCACTATGAACACTGTTAATTTCACGTCCATGGTTTCTAATGTGACGATGTTCATTCTTTGTGGTTTATATGGCTTTCCGATTCAATGATATCTTTGATTCTTCGTTTTGTTAATACAGAGACGAATTGGAAATTGGAAGGTGCTAGATTTCAATTGTTGTATCAATATTTTATCGACAGATATTTGTAAAAGTAAAGTTATTTTATTGTAAAATATGTTAAAAAGCATCCCATGCTTTTTTATGATAAAATCATTTTTCTTTTTGAACGTAAGTACGTAACAAAAGACACTACCGTATTTTTAGGTATGGAAAAAGCCGTTAATCCTGAAGATCCTGATCCGGATAATCGGCCAAGTTTTTAAAATTATTGTATTATCATTGGTCCTTGATAAGTGTGCGAAGTTTCAATTTAATTCGAAGTATTGGGACAAAACACGTTCGAATATTCCGTTACATACATACAGCACATCTCACCTTGGTAGCCTTCTCATCTCAAATTGCCCGTCAGATGATTCTGACGGCCAATTCTAGTAATGACCACATTCATTGGTGAAATCTAATAGCAAGCGCTTTTCCCCTTTTCACGAATTAAAAAAAGTTGGTCATTATGTCGCCAAGGGTAATATTGTAAAGACAAATCTAGGTTCAAGCTGAATATTGTTACAAGTACTGCAGTCTTGTAGACCTTATAAAAGTCCGACAGTATACAGTAGCATCTGTATGTTTACCGAAATTCTTAATCATCAATCATCATCATCAACAGCCTATAACAGTCCACTGCTGGACATAGGCCTCTCCTTAGAAAGGAGGTTTTGGCCTACTATACCACGCTGGCCAGACGGGTTGGTATAGGGTTTGTTTCAAGTTTTCCTTCTCTTTGCAGTGCTGTTGTCCTATGTAGTTTGGTCCCTTAGTCGGCTCTTACGACACCCACGGGAAGAATAGGGGTGGTGACATTACGTATTCTTATTTCGTCACCACACGGACAAATCTTAATAGTAATAGTAATAATCTTAATAGTTTTAAGAAATTTGAAAAGACACAAAATATTGTAACCCAGCTTTTCATGATCTTAATATCTCACTTTTATATGACTATTTTTTTCTGAGTCCTTTGGTAGAAACCATACCATATTTACTTAAGACAGTTGTCGCTTTGTGTTCATTAGTGATTCTGCCTGTTCAGTTAGTCATCGTGGAGTTGTTTTTTTTTCTTTTAATAACCTCACACATATCCCAATCCCTGATCCCAAACTAGGCAGAGCCTGTACTGCGGTAACCAGACTGCTGATAACGATACTTATATATTTCTAAATACATACATATTATAGATAAATTACACCCAGACACAGACAAACGATCGTGCTCATTACACAAATATTTGTCCTGGGTGGGAATCGAACCGGCTCCGGCTTAGTAGCCAGGGTCACTAACCACTAGACCAACAGGTCTGTCAAGTTTTTGTCCCTGCCTCCCGACGCACGTAGTGACCACGAACATATGTTCTGTTTCTCGGTATTTCTTATTTAATATGTATGAATTTTGTAATGTATATTTATAAGCATTCTAGTTACCATAGCACATATATCAGACTGTGTTAAGTGTTTGAAATTGTAATTATTATCATTATATTAAGTAATAGTTATTTAGGGTCATTCTAGTATTTTCCACCGATGATAATATTGCTGCAAAATACGTCCCTGTTTGATGTGAATGCTGTAAAAAACGCAAACGAGGAAAGGACGAAGCGCAATAAATCCTTATCGTAGTCACACCTGCGCCGGCGCGCGTTGTCATACCACATCTGGTTAACTTCCAAAATGTTTCTTTTTGCGAATTCATTCACAGATCTACTTACTTTAACGTTCGTTTTACATTGTACTATATAAGTAGCTTACGTAATTTTGGAATACAGTAGTCAACAGTCAAATCAAAGCTTTCCTTACGATATGTTCTGTTGCACGGCAGACGTGTTGTGACGTCAAAGATGAAATGTTTGGGTTTATAATTAAAACGTAAAGCGGGTGAAAATAATAACGAATCTGTGTTATCAGACTTATATAACATTTCAATATGGTATGTTAACGGTGCAATGGGAGAGGGGTATGTCCAGCAGTGGACTGAGATAGGCTGATAATGATGTTAGTGCACACATGGGGCTAAGTAATATCACAGCCTCTTGGCTTTTCACCGAGTGAGTGAGGCCCTCAAACCTGGGGCGGAGAATTTGGGGCTGATGGAGTTGATATTATATGTCGGTTTTTCCTAATATTTTTTTAAATTATTGAATACTAGCTTTTGCCTGCGGCTCCGCCTGCCTGTTGGTTATAGTGGTAAAAGTAGTCTACAGCACTCAAGAATAACATACCTTTCTAATAGCGATAGAATTTACAAACTCTAATCAGTGCATATAATTTATTTGACACGTCTAACGCACGGCCATTTGATTCCAAAGTAGACAGAGCATGTGCTATGGTAACCAAACTGCTGATAAACATAGAACAAATGATCGTGCTCATCACACAGTATTTGTTCTAGGTGGGAATTGAACCCACGACCTTAGCAGTCAGGATTACTAGCCAGGCCAGTCAAGTAGTAGGAGATTATCCCGAACATCACAAACATATCTCTTTATAATATTTCTAGATTATGTTAAAAGTACCCGCTGTCTTGGGAGGATTAATGTTGAGAAAATGCTTCATAGAGAGAGTTGGGGAACTGGGACATGGAGCAATCTTTTAACTCTCTCATATCATCATCAACAGCCTAGAATAGTCCACTGCTGGACATAGGCCTCTCCTTAGAAAGGAAAAAAACAAATAACAAAAAAAAGCCGTGTGGTGTCGTGGGACACCCGATAGGAACGAAGTTGTGACGATCGAGTAAAACTGATTCCACACGATTTTAATTACAACGCCATCTATGAAAGCGGCTATTACCTACATATTAAAAATAATTAAAACAATTTATACATTGGTAAAATCTCCTTGCGAAATGATTTCCTATCTATTCGATAGATGGCGCTGAATGTCTGACAAGTGACAATTCAAAATAAATACTTTCCATAAGAGAGACAGAGACAGACAGAGAAACATGCGACGTCGCACAGCTTACAATAGCTTACTATAGCAAAAAGTGTCGTGACCAATTTTCGTGAGATTTTTTTCCGTCTAGCCCCCTTTCACAACGCGCGATAAGGAAGAGAAAGAGAAAACCGACTTTAAACAATAGCTAAAACAATAACAATAGCAAAAAACCTAGCAGCTATCGCGGTTCACTTGGTGTCATTTTTTTAAAGAGTTCTCTCCGAATCTCGTCATCAGATCTATAGATATGAAATTGTCTGAATTGTTATCTTGAAAACATATTTTAATTTATGTACATATTTATTTTATTTATGTATTATTATGTAAATATATTTTTATTTGGTACAGGGGAAGCAAACGATGGTAAGTCGATACCGTAGCCCAGGTAAGGGAGGTTTAGGCTCTGGGACCTTCCGGTAACAGTGTAATGACGGATTAAAAATACAGAGTGTCACCACCCCAATTCATTCCGTGGATGTCGTAAGAGGCGGCTAAGGGAGCAAACTACGCAAGACAACAGCACTGCAGAGAGAAGGAAAACTTGACACAAACCCTATACCAACCCGTCTGGCCAGCGTGGTATAGTAGGCTAAAACCTCCTTTTTAAGGAGAGGCCTATGACCAGCAGTGGACTGTTAAAGGCTGTTGATGATGATGATGATGATGATGAACTTCACTAAGTCGAAACAAACAAACAAGTTTATTGAACCATCAAAGTTACATTTTGATGAGTACTCTGTCTCTTAAACTAGGTTGTGCCTTCCTTAATTAGAGGTACAACGTTAATAGCAGAGTTTGCAATGAAAGAACTGCTTAACACCTGGGCCTCAATTCTGCTATTTTATCTTCACGCCAAGCCACTGTCATACCACTGACACGCTATTGAGATGCCATCGAGTGGCCATTGGCATCGGTATAAATATCGGTAGTCTACACTAACTCAGTGTCTTTACAGTGGCGATGGAATGGCAGTGGCTCATCAGTGGTGATATCAAAAAGATTGCCATATTTGGCAAAATAAATAAATCATTTCCTTATAATTTGAAAATGTATTACGTTTTTTTAATTTTGGTCCATAAAGTTGTTATTGATTTATCATATGTATAGTTTCCCAAAAACGTCCCGAGGAGTCGCCAGGTACTTAAGGAACTTCCTAAGAAAACACCAGGCTCAGGACGATATTCATTTATTATTCAAATATTCAGGGGAGGTAATGTAGCAGTTAAAAATCTTAATAGCGAGGTTTACATTAAGAGAACAACGCCATCTATCGGTACTAATGCAAAACAAGGCATGTTTAGAGTATTAATTTACTCTCTGATGTATACTATGTGGACACTGTACATTCCGCCCACCATGGACATAGTCCAGATATTATAATATTATAATGCTACATATGAAATCCGCCCACCTTGACAACAGTAATGCATTAATAAAGACTATTCAATAAACAATACATCTAAACTTAAATACTAATCTTACTCAAATAAACCCTTTCAAAATTTAACAACTCGTGTTGAAATTGGTTTAACATGATTATAAATCTTAAATTTAATTTAACACCGGTAAAATAATAAGTTTAGAAATTGGTCTTTTAATCACAGAACCCTTACATTTTAGGGACACAACGCGCGTAAGGTTGTCCAAACCAGTATGTTTGTGTGTTATTATTCCATACAACCATTTGGCAGGCGGAAGGCCATCTTCCTTCACCAGTACTATATCTCCCACCCTAGGTTCTGGAGTGATATGCGACCATCTATAACGGTGTTGGAGACTAGTCAGATACTCATGGGACCATCTCCGCCAAAAATCTTGAACGAGTCGCTGAGTAAAATGCCAGCGCTTGAGTGTACTCATGGTTACCTTTTCGTAATTTGCATCAGGTACAAGTATAAGTGGTTCGCTCACGAGAAAATGCCCCGGAGTCAGTGGATACGGATCTTCTGAACAGGTACTCACTTTTGACATTGGCCGCGAGTTTAGACAGGCCTCGATTTGGCACAAAAGAGTTGCCATTTCCTCAAATGTGAGAGTACTGTTGCCGATCACTCTCTTTAGATGGTGTTTCATGGACTTTATTCCAGCTTCCCAAAGTCCTCCAAAGTTTGGAGAATGGGGTGAAATAAAGTGCCAGTTTGTACCATTTGTCTCTAGCCAGCTGGCTATATCATTTGCTACTACCGATCTTTCCTGATGAAATAGTTTTAGATCTATTGAGTTTTTGGATAATAAAAACAATAAGTCTTTATTGTTTTTATTATCCAAAAACTCAATAGATCTATAAAATTGACACTCTGATTTTTCTAAGTGTTTGGCGCGACTTTAACTGGGGGTGAAATCCGGCATGGATTCCCCGTCTGTTCACTTTTTGAGCAACTATTCTAAGTCCATGCAACACTTGTAAAATTTGATGTTCTTCATGCACATTGAATTTTATAAGTCTTAATTTCACTTGTATCTTGTTAAATTTTAAATCACTTGAAAATAATCTAAGTCAATAATCATCAAAATATACTCACAGTTTGTCACTGCCTAGTTATGTCCAAACACTGAATTCTTCCAACATTGATTAAATCTGCAAACCTTTGAACCTCTGTTTCACACTTGTTTTTGTTCTTCTTGTGGCAACCCAGTGCAGCAACCTTGTAACGTCACACTAGACTTGATCTTGAATACTATTCGCCTCCACAAGTAGTTGTGATTAGAGCGTCGAAAACAGATTGTAATAATAATGTCGTTACTTTAATATAACCAATTGTCCATCCGACTCGATAGGACCATGTATAGTTTCCCAAAAACGTCCCGAAGAGTCGCCAGGTACTTAAGGAACTTCCTAAGAAAACACCAGGCTCAGGACGATATTCATTTATTATTCAAATATTCAGGGGAGGTAATGTAGCAGTTAAAAATCTTAATAGCGAGGTTTACATTAAGAGAACAACGCCATCTATCGGTACTAATGCAAAACAAGGCATGTTTAGAGTATTAATTTACTCTCTGATGTATACTATGTGGACACTGTACATCATATTTATTGATACAAATGTATAAACTACAACGACATAATACACCGTAATTAATAGAATTATCGTTACTGTTTTTGTTGTTGTTTAGTTAGTGTAGACTTTATCCTGGCCAGTCCTTTGACAGATACAACTAATGATATTAATACTTTGTATTTTCAATATTTAAGTTAAGTTTAAAACCAAAAATGGCTATGATGGAGCGACGTAGTCATCATTGTGGCTAAGCTCCGTAAAAAAAGAAAAAAAAAACCATTATATATTTTTCTCCTAATCTATATAAATCTCAAATGGTTAGTCTTAAGAATTCTACAATTTTTATCAGGCGTTTTACACTACAGTATTTATCTCTGCCCTGCCTGAACTCGTGGTTAATCCAGCTCTAATAGTACTCAAACTCAAACTTTCTTTATTTCATAAAATATCCAAAATTGTTTTAAATCGTCTTCCATGTAGACTCTAAAGTCATAGATCAACACACACAAAAGCAACAATCTCTGTTTTGTCAAATAGTAACCAAATAAATTTAACAAAAATCAAACCCATACAAAATCTATGATATGCCTGTGCCCGTTTCCAAGGGGTTGAGCCTTATGAGAAGAAAGGGCAAACAAACTCATGGCCACTCTTTTGCAATTCACAGGTAGATACAATGGCACTATTAAATATATCACAACATTGTTTTGATGTGTGCTAGTGTGTCTGTTATTAAGGACTAAAGGGTGAAAAGACAATGAAGAGAAAACAAGATTAAGAAGAAAAAACGAATACAAGAGAAAATGAAGTAAAACATAAAAAATAGAAAAAATAATAATAATAAAAAACATACTAGCCACACCACAGTTTTACTTAAGAAAGAAAGAAATCCCAAGCATTCTTGTCCTCCATGTAATCCACAATCGAGTAGTAGGCCCTCTGGCACAAGCCACGCGGCTTTATTGCGGATTTAAATTTGTTAATCAACTCCTGAATATTATTTGGGATTTTATTATAAAATCGGACACATTGACCTCGAAAAGACTTGTTTATCTTTTGGAGCCTAGAGGCGGGTACTAGGGTTGAGCTCTGCTAATTGCTGTTGAATTTCTGCTGATATGCAAGTTAGAAGGTATGTGTTCCAGACCAGCTCGAGTTACGTACCCAGGCCCCTCTTTCCCACTGGGCACTCTGGGCACGTGCCCAGGGCCCCTCGATAGATAGGGGTCCGATTCCTGCCAGATAATCAATCGAAAATCAATATTTATCACCGAAAAACATAATTATTTCGAAAAATCCATTTGTAATGACTGAATACAATACTTTTTTTGTCTATTCTAACAAAATAGTGCTCAGCTAAGTTTGTAAGGGCCCCATTATGCTAATTTTCCCAGGGCCTCCAATAGATTAGAGACGGGCCGGCCCTCTAGCTATTGTCGTTGCATAAACTCCCCAATTCGTCCGTATAAGATTTATCTTTTTCTTAGATTACAATTCGTTTATTCCTTCTTTTGTCTTTCAAAATACTTCTTATTTTCTTACACAGTGCTCAATTGGTGGTAATGGGCTTACCTTGCGTCATACGCAAAAAGAACTAAGTTGGAAAAGATGAGTGTTTAATATGCCATTGCTAGAAGAGGTACTCTTTATTGCACACCATGATTAGGACACATTCAATGTAGAATACAAACACAAAAAACAGTTATACAATGGGCGGCCTTATCGCAGTCTACGATATCTTCCAGGCAACCTTTAGATGGACTATACTATATAGTAAAATACATTTTACTAAAAATGTAAAATTGTGTAAAGCGTGTGGTGCGCATTTACAATTTCTGTATATTAACAAATATTACAGATACTGTTAAATCCCTGATCTACGGGTATATAATTTAAAGGCAATGGACTGTAAATTTGTACATATATTAATAAAAACAATTAAAGTATGGTGCGCGTGCGATGCTTGCGGACTTCAGAGGTAATGGACTCGGGAACAGCTAACGGTTGGCACCTCCGCGCCGCGCCCCGCGGCCCCCCGTAGTTGCTTTGCACAGCTGCCTTCTCCGAAGACAGCCGAGAGTAGCCGAAACACGCGGACGGCGCACGAACAGATACATATACACGAATAAGTATTCATACACTTACATACATTTATAAATATGAATACATACATACACATACCCATACAGCACATAGTTATTACAGAGATAAATAGTGATCCTTGACGAGTTTCCTAAAAGTACCCATTGACTTTGCCCGCCTTCCGGTAACGAATTCCATAGGCGTGTTGCTTGAATCGTAAAAGACGTATCAGTAAAAGTTGTGGAATGTGTCAGAATTTCTAAGGTCACATTTGCCGATGATCTTAATCATCGAGTATGTGTCATGAATAAAAGTGAATCGTTTCTTTAAGTAGATGATGATGGAGATGTAGTATTAAATGAGGTAGTATACATATCAAAACCAACTGATAATGAGTTTAACAGTATTAAAAATATCACACATCTCACATATGGCTGTGATGTCAAACTAGGCAGAACCTGTGTTATGGGAACCAGACTGCTCATACACTTATGTATTTTTAAATACATTCATATGATAGATAAGTTTTACCCAGACAGGGACCAAATGATCGTGCTCATTTAACGATTACTTGTTCTGGGTGGGAAGCAAATCCTCTGGGTAGGGTCTGGGTAGGGTAGGGTCTAACAACTGGACCAACAGGCCAGTGGAGTAATATGTATGTAAAGTCCGTGTGGTGACGGATTAAGAATACGGACTGTCACCAACCCTATTCATCCCGTGGGTGTCGTAAGAGCCAACTAAGGAAGCAACCCACGCAGGACAACAGCACTGCAGAGAGAAGGAAAATTTGACACAAACCCTATACCAACCCGTCTGGCCAGCGTGGTGTAGTAGGCCAAAACCTCCTTTCTAAGAGAGGCCTATGTTCAGCAGTGGACTAGTAAAGGCTGTTGATGAAGGTCAAATGCTTTTGGAAGAGTTGCTGTTAAATGAAACAACAGTAAAAAAAAATGTTGCTTGTACTTTTCCCATCAACAGTGCAATCACTTTGCTTTATTTAATTTTTGTTTACAGATCTGTTGTTTTTAACATTCGCTGTTGTGCCCGTCGTTTTGTAAGCTCTTCTCGTAGTTATACTTCTTCTAGTAGTCTTCGTGTTTGGAGTGGTGGCCGTGGTCAGAGTCGTTTTCTTGAGTTTCTTATGATTCTCTGTAAATTATTAATTACTATCAAAAATTTACTTAGCAGTAAGAACAATAGGTCTAACGATTCCGATACAATGAAGGGGTTTCATTGTATCGTAATCAAAACCAAATTTATGAAAGGTCAATTATTCAATATTAGGTCTGTCTTCGTAAAGTGCTGGACAGGGAACTGCTCTACTATCTCATATTGGAGAGGGAGTCACTACATTAAAAGAACACAGTGACAAAATGCACAATTTACCTAAACTTTTGTAAGTGCTTTGAAGGCCCGTATTTCAAGAGTTTTTTGAAAAATCAGTGCTATATCTATTTTCTTTTGTTTTGTATTATTTTTTACCAAGTTTGTTCATTACTAGAAAGTCATAAAAAAATGTAACACTGATTCAAATTATGAGACTTTAATATACCATGCGGTACACCCTATACAAAGTGGGGGGCAGATGGGTTACTTGATGGCAAGTAACTACCAAGCTTTGTAAAAGTTAGTCAGCTCTTATCACACCCACAGGATGAATAGGGGTGATGACACTCCTGGGTATTCTTAATCCGTCACCACACGGGATTGTACGATATACGATTGATAATTGTACGTCTATGATTGGACTTCAGGAATTAATACAATATTTTACGAAATAGAAAATAAAAATCAGTTCAGTAAATTCAGAGAAAGTTGTTATAACACACGCATTGATTGATAGATGTGCAAGCGATTTATGACGGCTTTATTTTTCATTCAGACGTACGGAACCCTAAATATATAATATCAGATAATTACAGGTCTTACCACGTTTTTTCTTGTGCTTGTTCTTCTTCTTTGTTGAATTCCTATTATTTTTAATTTTAGGATGAACTTTGTGTCTCAAGTAATTTGGAATGATATTTTTTATGCGACCCCATATTTGGTCAGGACGAAGATCCCTTTTGTATCGTATCGGCAAAAGACCTAAATTTTTCTGCCACGTCTTCATCGTCTTTTCGTAGTCATCGTACCTCTTCTGAGCTATCTCATTCAGTTTTTGTTTAGCTAGTTGCTTCACAATTTCAGATTTTGGCACTTGTCTATGCAGAAGCTCAGAAATATCTTTTTTGGAAGACTTCAACAGGTTGCGTATATGTTTTATAAAAGACATTTTTTTGTGTTTGTGTTTGCCTGAAATGTCTGGCGTTGTTGTTAAATCCAAAACATCTTCAGCATGGAGTCTATGGCCAATGACATGCTTTAGTTCGTTCGTGAGGGTTCTTGGATTTTTTGCGTGGTATTGTACTATTACTTCTACATTGTTATGTACCGATTTCAGTCCTTTGTTTATCTGCTGAAATACGTCGTTACTGACACTTTTAAAAAATGGTATCATTCTCCTGCTACGAGCAAAATCTATCACCGCTAGGGCATCATTTATTTTACTTATGTCTTTCTCCATAAGGTAGTGTAAAAGTTTCATTTTATACATTGTTTCGTGAGGCGAGCTACCAATAGCATTGTTAGCTATTTCCTGCCAATTACTCCCAATGTCTTTTAAATCGTTTGTCATGCTGTAGTTAGGATCGTGTACTTTATGCCCTATTGTGTCATACACACCGTTATTGTAAGCTTCTATTACATGTCGTAATATTCGTCTCATGGTTGGAGACAACGAGCCCAAGGCATTAGTTTTTGGCATATCCTTATCAACGGCTTGAAGGATTTCTACAATACATTGTCTAAATGTTGACTCCGTGCATTTGTTGTTACTTGGATTCAAACTACGTCGGTTATTTACGGTCGGTTTATTGTTGTTTTTAGAAGTTTTTTGGTGTTTTTTATGAGATTTGGATTTAGAAGCATAACGTTTTAAGCTATGGATTAAAAGACTCAAGTCGTCAGGTAAATTGCCTTCTCTATATCTCTCCAATCCTATAATATCTTTTATTACCTCATAAATATCTGCCTTGAGCTTATATAAGAATTTCTGCATGACATGAGGATTAGTTCTCCGCAAATCATATCCCATGTCTGGAAACATTTCTACGTCATGAAGTATATTTGAATCACTTATATTGGGATAATCTATTATTTCGACAATCGGAGATTCATTATAATAATTCATAAAGCTGATTAAATTTACTTTGATCTTTATAAGGTCATCTAATTCATTTCTTCTACTATTAATTAATTTGGTCAAAGGTAACAGAACGCTGTTTTTTAAACTATTTTTATTCTTTTGGTTCGCTGGTGGTGTTTGATTTTCAGTATAGTTAATAGTGATAACTCTTATGTCTGTAGCATAGGTATCATTACTTCTAGTGGCTTCTGTTATGCCAGATACTTCTCTTTTCATTATATTCATTTGATTATATTCAAATATATCATTGGTGTTGTCAAAACCAACTCCAACTAAATTATCTTTATTGGGACTCATATCAACATAATCTGTAACATAGATAATAATGAAATGTTTGACTTACATAACGGGACAAAAATAACATTTAATATGCCTTTATTTGTGTTGTAGATTTTGTAAGAAATACCTGAATTTCATTACCTGTATCATTAAAAAGCTGTGCTTTCTTAGCAGAATCTAGCAAATCGATAACGACTTTTGTAGCTTCATCTATCGTGGGTTCAGTAGCATCACTTTGCTTTGCAAAGTCGACTACGTAAGGCATTTCCGACGCTATGTCTATATTAACTGTATCTGTTGTTTTATCATCATCCAATAACATATAATCGAATTCTGTAGTCTTGTTGAAGAGCACAGAACTGTAATTAGGAAGAAAGTCTAACAGAGACTTCCTTCGGGAATAGTTTTTTGAATCAATACCTATGTTGCTTAGTACCTCATCGAATGCTATGTATTCGGAATCTGTGGTAACAGCAAAAGTAGGTACTGTTGGAATAGCTGTGTGTTCTGATTGTGGTGTTATGGCTGGAAATAAAGAATAGTATTGTAATAATTTGTCTCTCTCTTCATTTGTCGCTTTCTTAACTGAGTATTTAAATAAAAATCTATACTAATATAAGAAAGCTGAAGAGTTTAATTGTTTGGTTGAACGCGCTTATCTCAAAAACTACTGGTTCGAATTGAAAAATTGTTTTAGTATTAGATAGCCCATTTTTTAGAGAAAGGCTATATAAAATCACGCTACGACTAATAGGAGCCGAGCAGCAATGAAAATGATACAAAAAAGGAACAGATTTATTGCTTTTAAGAGACTGACGAATAACGTGGGTCAGTTAGCGTTATGTATAAACTGTAGCCTTTAGCCCTTCAAGATAGGACCTGAAATAACATGGTCCGGGTCCTCCCCAGAGTAGGACACCTAAGGCTGGCCATCGGGGTGGTTTTTAGTGGAATCACTCGTTGACTCAGGAGCCAGGAGTATGTAACTCCTGGCTCCTGAGTCAACGAGGAGCAGGAGATCCGAAGGGATTTTCCACCCCGTCAACAACAAAAAAAGCCCTTCAAGATATTTGGAGACAAAACCCGTTCCTTGCACGTATCCGTAAATAGCTAACGAGTTTCCTTCACAGACATTAAACCATTCGCGCCGCAGATTTAGTTATTGACGTAAGTAGTGAGTATTTCTTTCTTAAAATATTTTTTTTTTATTAAAGACAACGCCCGCATTAGGAATAAATCCTGTGTCGCGGGGGACTTTACAAACATACATGAAACGGACACAAAGAACACCCAGACTCAGAACAACAATCTGTGGATCACACAAAGTGTCGTCCCATACCTGCTTCAGTAGTAGTACTTGTAATATCATTTTTAGGTGTTGCGTTAGTATTTGACTTGAGCAGGTTTTGTTGTTCAACACTGAGCGGTTCTATGTTAGTGTCTATAATGCCCAGTTCTTCATTGTTTGGTGACTTAGTGTTGCCTTCATTGGGCGTGACTCCATAGATCCACTCCGTTAACTGTTCTAGAGTGCTCCCATTTATGTTTTCAAATGGATTGTCTGTTGCTGAACGTTTTTCTCTGCTGAGCTTTATATCTGAAATGTGTTATATAATTATTACTATTTGATTTTATTCGTTAAGTGCAATAGACTCAGACAAGTTAGTTTGTAATCATCTTTAAACAAAAAACGTAATAGTTACGTACCGCCATCATTAAGAAAGCTACGCACGTAAAAATAATGGCTAAGAAAAAAAAGAAATTAAATATAATTATGTAGTAGATTAGGTGTTTTCCTGGAAGTGCGACAGTTCTTCTGATATTTCTCGGACTTGGGAAAATTTATAAATACCAAAAATAGATTGAATAGTTTAGGTTTTAGTAAATAGACAAGAGGTTAAAACAAATAATCTTTATCTGGATATTAAAATCGTTTATTGGCTGGGAAATGGAAGTTCACTGTGTTTAGAGTCTAGTTTATCTTTAGTTACTTTCAACAATAAGTTAAAGTAAATAGAAAATGTTAGAAAATTATCTTATCGATTTTAGAAAAAGAATTATATATAAATTACAAAGAGAAAATGGAAGAAATTTCTATATTTAACTTCATTAGCTATCTTAAATACTTACTTTTCTGGAAATAAATACATACCGCCTGTCTTCACGCAAACCGTTGTACCAATTTAGATGAAATTTGGTATAGAGATAGTTCGAGTCCCGGGAAAGGACATAGGATAGTTTTTATTCCAGAAATTATCCTTTAAAGAGGCGAAAAGGATGTTTGTATTGGAACTCAATAAGCGCTGAACCAATTAAGATGAAGTTTGGTATGGAAATAGTTTGATTCTTGAGGAAGGCTACTTTTTACGATAAGCGACATATACACTGGCGGAACGCGGGCTCGTAAAAAATAAATTAAAATACTCACTCGCATTCAAATTCTCTATGGTCATTATAAGGACCCGGTGGTCAACATCGATAGCTGAAGCCTGCATGTGACAATGGGATGTTTTACAATGCCAGTAACCGTCTTTATCACAGGAGCACGTCTTGCAACCGAGGCATACATTTTCTGCGGAGGAAGTTAAAATCATTAATGGTGATGAGTAAACTGATTTGTAGAAATAAAATTTGAGGTTAAGCTTAAAACCGCTATAATGTACTAATAAACTGTGGCGATTTCCATATACGATGAAGGTTATACTTCAATACCGTCTAACGAAGATACACCGAGCTGCGGAGGTAACTCTAATCCAGCATCGAGCAATAAAAGTTCTCGTACCCATTATTAATATAGTATACATCTAAACATCAATAGTTTGACTGTGGCCTGCCAGGCATGGTCACCTCGCCTAGGCGAAACGGCAGGTAATTTCGTTCTGACAACAAAATTAAAGATAGTATGCGAAAACTTTGACTGACTTGTTGGTCTAGTGGTTAGTGACCCTATTTGCTAAGTCAGAGGTCGTGGGTTAGATTTCTAGACGGGACAAATAATTTGGGTGTAAAATATCTCGCGTCAGCAGAGACTTTCTGCCGAGCTTCAAAGCGTGGGTAGGGAGGAACAACTGTGTCACCTACCGATTGACTCAGATGCTCACCGGGCACGGTTGCTTCGGTGAGTATCTGAATCGAATTGGACGGGAGGCCACAGTACAATGCCACCATTCGACCGAGACTCCGCCCAGCACATGTAGGAGGACTGCCCCGCGTGGGACGTCGAGACTTGGTAAGACAGATCGGACAAAACCTGTCACCGCCAGCATTGATCGCGGCAATACTGGCGAGTAGCGAGGGATTGTCAGCCACGGTCTCTATCGTCGTTATGCTCCAGAAGAAGGCCACAGAGAGGTAAAAAAGGTAGTATGTTTATCAGTAATCTGGTTACCATAGTACAGGCTCTGCCTAGCTTGGGATTAGACTAGCGTATGTGAGATGTGTAAAGTATCATTTATATTATTAGCATCCCTTAAAACAAAGTTAGTTAATAATGGTATTAATCAATTAACTAGGCAAACAAACACACAATCCTATTATTTTATCTCTCACATCAATTATGTTATTCAGAAGTTGTCAACTTTATTCACATTCCCCGCAATGAACTTTGGCAATCCTGCCAATAAAAACATTGTTCGGTGTAGAGGTAGAAATACTATCCCAGATTGTGTTCTGGGTAGAACTTTCCTTGAACAAATAATAATCTAAGTTCTTATCTATTAAAACTTAAAAATCAAGCAGTTCCCTCGTATTTAGATGCAGAATTTTTTGGTATTTCCTCTGTCTGTGATGACAACTGTATCATTCGAAATTGTTCAAAACATCCGCGGGTGTACTGTTGTGTTTTCAAACATGATCTGTTATGTACATTATTTATGTCGCTAGTTCTGTTAAAACCAATAACATCTTGAAATCGGCATTTACAACAACGGAATTTGCAAACAAAAAATTAAATAACATCAATTTAGTTACAATCGGAAAAAAACGATTAACTTTCGGGAAAGCGAGTATGACTGGTAACTCTAATTACGTTTCTTTAATTCTTTTCTTTCTTACCATTTCATTAGATTCCTAAAGTGCTATATTGACTGGGCTTGGCCCCTATAACGCAAGCAGGATTAAGTTGGCTAAATGTGGGCGTTTAATACTCTTTACCCATACAAAATTTATTAAAAATAAGAACTCTCAACGAACAGCAAACTTAAAAAAGTTTACTGTTCGTTGAGTGTTTGTTTTTAAACTTAATTTTTGCTGGCTAGTCATGAAGTACAAGAAATTTATTGTGATACAGCCCAAATATGGAGTCTCCACTATCCTCATGAAGTAGCCCACTCTCTACTCTCCTCATGTAGTCTCCTTTTTCTTCTTTTTTATGTTAGAGGGGGCAGACGAGCAGACGGGTCACCTGATGGAAAGTGACTATCGCCGCTCATTAACGTCTGAAAATCAGGAGTGACAAACGCGTTGCCGGCCTTTGAGGAACGAGTACGCTCTTTTCTTGAAGGTTTGAAGGTCGTATCGGTCCGGAAATACCGCAGACGATAACCCGTTCCACAGATTGGTTGTGAGTGGTTGTGGTTCTCTCAAAGTTTATATTATTTCTTATTACGTTCTCGGTTAAATGATTAGAATTAGACTGCACGGATGGCGTAGTGGTTTAAGCGGTCGCCACGCCGCTTCCTACTGCGCCGAGTGTTGTGGGTTCAAACCCCACATGGAACGACACTTTGTGTGATCCACAATTTGTTGTTCTGAGTCTGGGTGTTCTTTGTGTCCGTTTCATATATGTTTGTAAAGTCCCCCGCGACACAGGAATGTATTCCTACTGAGGGAGTTGTCTGTTTAAAAAAATATATTTAAATGTTCGGCTAAAAATATCTCAATACAGCTTGTGTTTTTATCTGAAATGGCCTTTGTCTCGCTTTTTTAAGAATAGTAAGACTGATTTTGTGATAAGGGACACAAGTTTGTAACAGAAAGGCGGGAAAGCGGACGCTATTTGATTGACCAATGAACGCTCGTGGTGCTGGACAACTCCAGAAGTGACTGACAGATGTTAGGTGAGATTTCAGATGTTGCAACTCATATACGACTACTGTAAGGTTCTACTGTTACTAACTGCTAAATATTTGACAAAACAGAGATTGTTTCTACGAGTATTGTACGTGTTGATCTATGACTTTAGAGTCTACATAATATTTTAAACAATAAACAAAAAAATATATATTTTCAGTTTGAGTTGAGTTTGCTCGCTCGGTATTTATTTATTATAAATTTAAAAAAGTATGCTTTTAGTCCCTTGCCTACTATGTTAGGCCTATGTTCAGCAGTGGACTACTAAAGGCTGTTGATGATAACTAAACTCGAGCCAAACCTTCTTCTTTTTATATTAGCGTTTTTAAAGTAGATCTTCTAAGTATATGAAACTTACCTTTTGTGCAGTCGGTGTACTGCGAAATGTGCGGAATACATTTAAGATCCTGGGACTGGTTCACTGAAAATTAAAAACACATTAAAATATTTAAATTTAAATATTACCGTGGGAGAGCCATGCTTCGGTACGAATGCGCCGGCTCGACCGGAGTGATACTACGGCCTCACAGAAAACCGGTGTTAAGCGATTCTTTCGTTGCCTTTCACTGAGTGAGTGAGGTTACCGGAGCCCAAATCCCCCCTCCCGCTGACTCGAGCGGGAGGGACTCCAAGGGCAGCAACGCACTTGTGACTTTTGGTTGCAGGTGTCCGTGGGCGGCGGTAGTTGCTTACCATCGGGTGACCTGTATGCTCGTTTGAACCTTCATACCATTAAAAAAATATTATAACATTACTTTTAAAAATATCTGTCAATAAAATATACCGATACGATTTAATATATTATTAGCTTGGACAACATTTTATGAAAAAGATTTAGCATTGTGGCATTTTGGAATTCAAGCATTAAAACTACGTGTTTGCCATTAATTCTACTCCAGCAGAAGAGCATTCCAGAAGACTGCCTTAAATCTACACAGCCATGTATTTTAACTGGAGAAATTAAGAATATAAAACTTTTAAAGGTTCAAGGTTAGGTCTCAAATATCACATCAAAAGCCTTTACTAGTCCTGTTGGACATAGGCCTCTACTTAGAAAGGAGGTTTTGGCCTACTATACCACGCTGGCCAGACGGGTTGGTATAGAGTTTATTTCAAGTTTTCCTTCTCTCTGCAGTGCTGTTGTCCTGCGTAGTTTGCTTCCTCAGTCGCCTCTTACGACACCCACGGGATGAATAAGGGCGGTGACAATCTGTATTCTTAATCCGTCACCACACGGACTCAAATATTGGTAACGTGAATATACCGCTCTAAGCCCCTTCTGATTTAAGGATTCTGTGACATTTTCTGATTTACTTACATCAGATACTTTATTGAAGTTTCGAAACCTACATGATGCCATATCATATATTAAACGAACATTACTACATCAGTAACAAGAAGTTAACAGTTAAAATTTACGAAGAGAAAAATTCAACAGTGATCGGTAAAGCTACGTTTTTTTGGAACGAAGTTCCTTATCGCGCGTTGTGAAAGGGGGCTAGACGGAAAAATCTCACGAAAAGTTGTAACGACACTTTTTATTTTAAATTGTCACTTGTCAGTCATTCAGCGCCATCTATCGAATAGATAGGAAATCATTACTTTTCATCTTAGTAAAATTAAAATTTATGTTCTTAGGTTGAGCAAAAAATATTGTATTCGACATAATTTGTCAAGGAGATTTTACCAAAGTATAAATTGTTTTAATTAGAAACCAACTGAAAAATATTTAGGTAATAGCCGCTTTCATAGATGGCGTTGTTGTTAAAATCGTGTCGAATTAGTTTTACTCGATCGTCACAACTTCGTTCCTATCGGGTGTCCCACGACACCACACGGCTTTTTTTTTAAAGTTATCTCTTTATATTAGATATTAATAATAAAAAAGCCAATAGAAGTTTAGAAAATAAGTATACTGTTAATATAATAATAGTTCAAGAAGAAGATTCAAAGAATATTGTTTTATTGTATACTCGTATTGAGTATGGGAATTTTTAAAACAATAAGGAAATAACACACATACGTATAGTACATAGCTGAATAGAAGAATAGGATTAAATACATGTTTATTATTGTATAAATGTGTTTTATATATTTTTTTACATCATTGTTACATCTCATTTTCTATGCCTTTTATAAGCTGCACGGCCCGGCTTCGCGCGGTTAGGTACCCATTAAAAAAAAAAAACAAATTTGGTGCAATCGTTCTGAATATGCGCGTACAGTACATATATTACGGCGATTCATTTTTATTTATATGTATAGAAAGATAGATTAGGTAGGCATAATACATTCGTGTCTGTAAAACCATGGAACTACACATATAAAATTTCAATGGAATCGGTTCAACCATTTAGAAGTTATGTGAAAAAGATAAGTACGAAAGGACAATTCTTACTATCCGTTGTCCTAATATCCGTTTTCCCGTAGGAATGAAGCATTTTCCCGCGGTAAAAAGTAGCCTATGTACATCAGAGATAATGCCGGCTTCTAATCTTGAAGAATTTTTCAAATCGGTCCTGTAGTTTTGGAGGCTATTCAATACAAACAAACAAACAATCAAATCTTTCCTCTTTATAATATTAGTGTAGATTGGGACCCAGATTGCATCCTTGTGGGACTCCATGGAATTTCATTGATAAATAATGTGATATCCCAATAAATTATTTCTTTAATTGAAATCTTGTTTATTTATAGTTAAGTTAGTAAGTTACTAACTTTCACTTGCGGCCTCACTTTTTTGTCATTCAATTGTTTTATGTACTATTCTATGCTATAATTTAACTTCGTGACAAAGGTAATCTAGATTCGTTTAGCCGTTCTGGCGTTTCGCATCTATAATATCAATAGAACTTTGGTGTCATCACCCCTATTCACCCCCTGTCGTAAGAGTCGACTAAGGGAGAAAACTACGCAGATCAACAACACTGTCGAGAAAAAGAAAACTTGACACAAACCCTATACTAACCCGTCTGGCCAGCGTGGTATAGTAGGCCCAAAACCTCCTTTCCAAGGAGCGGCCTATGTCCAGCAGTGGACTATTAAAGGCTGTTGATGATGATAATGATGATGAATAGGAATTTGTAATACGTAACAGAAATAATGTAACGTATAATAATAACAGCTTCTTATGTTTTTCCTAACGATTTTTATGTCAGAAGTACTTTCAAACCAAACTAATTTTGAAATCTTATCAGAAATTGCCGTATTTGTAAATACTTGGTTCAAATTTAATAGACTCAACGCATTTGAAGCAACTTATTTAAACATAGTCCAATGCTAAAACTTTTTTACAAAATTTTGTCCAAGCTAGTAATGTATTGAATCGTAACGGGTACCCACAGGACAGCTCAATTGTACTAAAAATATTGTATTGACAGATACTTTTAAAAGTAATATTATTATATATTTTTTTATGGTGTAAGGGGGCAAACGAGGAGACGGGTCACCTGATGGTAAGCAACTACCGCCGCCTGTGGACACCTGCAACTTAAAAGTCACAAGTGCGTTGCTGCCCTTGCAGTCCCTCACACTCGAGTCAGCGGGAGGTGGAATTTGGGCTCCGGATAGATTGCATTATTATATTGCGGGATAAATTGCATATTGTATAGATACATACATAAAAAGCTAATAAAAGCGTGTTAAAAATCTGTATCTACTACATCAAAAATTACCTTTCTCTGCTATATCATACATGAGGCTATCAACTTCATTCCGAAGCTGTAGATCCATAAATCCTTCAGGTTCTTCCCCCTTCGGTAGAAGAGTATCAGCCTCGGAATAGTAATCGCACCTGGCCTGGTCGAAAGGTAGGCAGTCTTCTCCGTAACAAAGGTTGCAGTCATCAGATCGTCGGTATAATGAATGGACATACTTAAATTGATTCTTCAATGAATTTGGAACCGCTAATGCTAGAACAGAATATATTGAAAGATCAGAATGACTAAAAATGTAGGTGGTAACTTAATTTTAAGCCTAAGGTACAAAGTTTAACAGTACACATGACAGTTTAAAGGTATTTTTCTTTATATTATACGAGGGCAAATGAACAGACGGTGAAGAGTGGCCACCGCTGCCCATGTACCTTTGCAACTTAGTGCTTTACTGGCCGCAACATTTAAGCTGAGAGGCAGGGAGAAGCCACTGGCTATCCCTGAGATGGGGCCTAGTTAGGTGCGGCGTCGATCTGGAGGACCTGAAATCACATGGCCCGGGTTTTCCCCAGAGCAGGGCGCCTAAGGCTGGCCGTCGGAGTGGTTTTTAGTGGAATCACCACATACTCCTGGCTCCTATCCAAGGAGCCGGAGATCCGGAGGGATTTTCCACTCCGTCAACAAAAAAAAGGGGGCCAGCCCACGCTCTGTCTTTCGGTACGTGGTCGCCTCTCCGAAAATTTTTGGCTTGTTGCCAGAACAATTGTTGGTATTTAGGTATATAATATATAATTGGATGTTTTTACTATACACACTTAAAAAGAAGGCCTCCCAGGTACAAAAAACCCTTTTTTCTTGATAAAATGATAAAGGTAGTTTTTATACTGTTTAACCTCTCTGATTCAATATGGATTTTTCAATAACAATAGATTCTTGATATATTATTGAAGTCACTTTAAAATAATAGTATTATTTAGAGTAAAAAACAGAAGAAAATAAACAAGAATTAGTTTATTTTTGTTACCTCCGAATCTAACAGCCAGTTTTTAAATCCTCTTTAAATTTGATAGCCAATTGTACAGGCAAGCTAATAAAACATTATGCTACAATACTTAGGAGTTAAGCAGTGAATTACCATACATATATATAATATATAAAGGTGAAACTGGTGGGACTTGTCGGTGTATAGATACAATGTATATAAAACAACTAGAAAGTCTCATGATGCAAGTAAACGAGGCCGACATTCGAGCTGGATTGTATTCGACACTAATTTAAACCTAGGTACCTAGAAACTAAACAATTACATTAGAACTGATTCGTCTATCAACATGGCGATATAACTGAATATTAGGATGGAATATCCTAGGAATATTAGGATTATGTAGGATGTTAGGTGACTAAAAAATATAGAGTCACTACCAGTTACGGTAACTGACAAACTCATTTGTTCTATTACCATTTTCATATCTTATGGATTTATATAATCCATAAGATCTGAAAATCCATCTTCCATCCATCTTTCGTGTGTATGTCATCCTTTTTTTTTGTTTTCCTACCTTCCTACCTTTTACCTATCGGTGGCATGTCGGACTCGAACCGACTAAATCCGCACGCCGTCTCGGGTACTAATAGCCGGGGAACCAGGTATACCCTAGAAAGGAAGTCTCTGGTGCCCCGACATACCTCGGGCCATCAACAACCAGTAGTACACCCCCCCCCCCCCCCGTGTGGGAACCCTAAACCTCTCCCGGTCCCGCTCCGCCGTCTTCGCGAGCATAACTTGCTCGCAGAAGGAGACGGCAGAGTTCCACGCACTCTCGCTCCGCACGATAGCCGCAATCAGGCTATGGGTATGTCATCCTACACTAAAGGCTTGCAAAACAATAATAATAACCAAATAATCACTTAAATAGTAGACATGAATGATAATCCAGCAATCTCACTAAGAATACGGAGTGTCACAACCCCTATTCATCCCGTGGGTGTCGTAAGAGCTGACTAAGGGAGAAATGGAACTGCAAAGAGAAGGAAAATTTGAAATAAACCCTATGAAAACCCGTCTGGCTAGCGTGGTATAGAAGCCAAACTCTCCTTTCCAAGGAGAGGCTTATGTCCAGCAGTGGACTGTTAAAGGCTGTTCATGAATCTCACTCAATCGGTGAAAAACAACGAAAGGATGGCTTCACATCGGTTTTCTGTGAGACCGTGTGATTATTCAGGTCGAGCCGACTCTCCTGCGATGAATGTTTAACTAGAATATATTTCTTTCATTTAATTTTAAATGATTTTAGCAAGATTATCGACTACTGTGAATTCGTGGTAGAAACTTATTGAGAGATTTCTTAGCTCGAATTCAGCTTTAGTTCGTTGTAACAAAAGTATTGCTGTAAAATTATGGAAGGAACTTATTCATATTCAATGTTTAGTTTTACGGTGTTTCAACATAGGACTGGGGGGTTAAAAAAGGGTCTATAGGATAGGATTTCAAGCAGTAGCTAGTCCAAACTAAGGATTGATTTAATAATAAGATGCTATTTTTATGGTATGAATAGAGGGATAAGTGACTACCATCCCTCATGGATACTCAAGAGATACCAGTGCGTTGTCGACCTTTTAATCACCCTCTCTTAGAACTCGAAACCCTTCCTTGCACTCTGTTTGGGTTGAAAAAATCTGGGGGCCGGGACAGATTTTTCTCCAGTAACCTCATTAACTAGGTAAAGAACTACAAAAAATTGTTTAATATTAGTTTTCTTTGAGACCGTGGTGCTCAAATGTGCCAAAACAAGGCTCTTCAACCAAGAAGATAACAAAAAGGCTTATTTAAAAGGTGCAGGAAATATTTTTTGCTAAAAAATCGGCAAAAGAACTTGAGATTATTATGAAACGGGAACGAAAACCAGAATCAATACAAAGTAACAAGTTTGACTTACAGTTCAATTTTTTTTAAACGATACCGCAATATTGTGTTTACGCAACAGCTATTGTGTTCACAATTGATATGAAACGTGATATGAACGCCTTTGTTCGCTTTTAATGCGGTCACATTAATATTATCGGTATTCAAATAATTATACTGTTAAGATACTCGTAGCTTTTGGTTAAGATTTTTCGTACTCTCACATGTGTATCTCTGTCATCTAAATTCCAAAGCCAAAGTATGTCTGGTGGTTATTGATCCTGACTGTTAAGCAGTGGTTGTTGGTTCGATTCACACCTAGGACAAATATCGTGTGATGAGCACGATCATTTGTTCTGTGTCTGAGTGTTTGGTTACCATATTATTGGTCCTATCTAGTACCATAGTATTATTATTTTCTACGATGACATGTGGGTGTCGTAAGAGCCGACTAAGGGAATAAACTACGGAGGACAACAGAATTGCAAAGAAAAAGAAAACTTGAAACAAATCCTATATCAACCCGTCTGGCCAGCGAGACCAAAACCTCCTTTCTAAGGAGAGGCCTATGTCCAGCGGTGGATTAGTGAAGGCTGTTGATGAAGATGACAGACCTTAATTAATGGTGCAGTAAAATCTTTTGTAGTTGAGGTCTATTACGAATATGCATGTTTTGAGCTAAAATTTCAATAGCTAAAATTAGGAATGATATAAAAACGAATAAAAAAAAACACAAGCTTCAAAAAGCAAGTTCAAAAATACCTAATCTCAGAAAACATTTTTTTTAAATGATCAGATAACAAAACTGAGTCAAAGTCTTTGATCTTCTTATTTCAAAGCATAAATTGCAAAGCAAAGGAAGGTAGAAAGAAAATAACGGAACAGATGCTATTAAGGACAGAACTTTTGTTAGTATTTATAAGCTGGTATAATAAACCTAGAGTCCAAACTATAGGCACCTGTCACAGCAGATGACGTGACAACAATTCCAAGAATGATGATCATTGAAATGACGTATGACAATAACAACACGGACTTACCGGATACAGAGAAGATGCCAAACACAAACACGCCTAGGTACATCGCCGTCAGCAATGATTGCCTCAAATTTGTAATATTACTAACTGTTTACCGAAACGGGAGGTTTTCTGATGCAGGGGCGGATTCATTATTACTTCTTTATACAGCAAAAAAGACCAACAAAGCATTAAATATGAAACTTAGACTTTACTAACTATTGGTGTGAGTTTTGCTTGATTTTCAGTTGTTTCCATTACACATCACGAAATTTGTATGGGTCAGGAACGTCTAGGTGAAATAATCGATATGGTCCATTTTTTTACTTTTGTTCGGATAAAATATCATATCTTATGTTTATACATATAATTGTATATACGTGGCTTACATTTTTTTGCTTCTAGATAGTATTGATACCTAAATTTTGATCTGAACTCTCAACTGATTGTCTCAAACGAACAGGTGCTTAAACGTGACATGTCACGTCTTACGTTTTTTGACTTCTTGATTCTTTTTGGATTCATTGTTCATTTAAAAAGCTATACTGATTTGAAAATGAGTCGAATATCTGAAAATATTCGTAACGTAAAGCTATTTTACCGTAAAAGGGTTTAGGCTACAAAAACTTATTACTTTTTTTTAAAAGGGTACAGTGACAACGTGGTCACTGGAGGATTGCTTATTTACGTGGAAAAATTTCAATTTCAAAGATACACCTTGCTCTTACAGGCCAGTCACTCTAAAAGTCGATGAAATTTCATAACTGGTAGAGTAAAACCAGCATTTATGCTGTCATGAGGTAGAAGAGGCACTAAACATCAATCACTGGTTAGGGATTATTTGGGAAGAGCAGACTACACAAAGAAGCACTATGTTCGGGTGGCATATGAAATACTGCAAATAAAGATGGACCGGACTACTATCGATTAATTATTACTTGAAGCGAGTTATAATTATTGCGATTTAACTTTATGTTTACAAGAATAATTGTGGTGAAAGTTTAAATACCCTTCACACTTCTTTAAAGCCTAGTTTTTCGACAAACAAAGTTTTGTTTAGTATTTGGTACTATTGGAAGAGAATTGTCCATTATAAGCTGTGGAGAGTATTTAAAAGATATACAGCTCCATTCAAATCCCTCTCTGTGTTTGACTTGTGCAGTTTTCCCCATGTTTACAAACATTCGCCGTGCGCTTCAGTGGCTCGGTGCCCGCTACTTGCGCACACTCTCAGTGGCGGCGATGATGCTCTTGCACCTATTGCTGCACGTCCTTATCTTCCACCTTCTAACTGCTAAAGGTAAATAGCAAACATGTCATCATCAACATGTGATCACCCAGTGTTTGAATATTAACAAGTGATAGATATATGTAGATGAGATCAACGAGTGCTTTTAAGAATCAAGTGTCACAGTTTTGTTATTGGACTAGTCTCGTCATCGTCATCTTGCTAAGTATTTTGGTTTGATTTAATTTTCGTCTAACACATATTTGATTTCCTTGTCTTTCATGACATAATTTTACATTTCAATGTACTTAATTGTTATTATTTCAGCTTCAAGACTTTTATCTATGTTGTCATTTGATCCAAAGGCATAAAAGTCCAAAAAAAATAAATTAGACTTGTTTATGATTAGATTAGCTTATCTCGTACCAGGGATGCTACGAAATTTATTCTGGTGTCTGTAGTTTTGATTGAAACATTTTCTCAGTTGTAAATACTTTAACATTTTTTTTATATATAAGTTCATAGTATTTAACAGGAATTAATCAACCACTATCAACTGTTTAATTGTCAAACATTAGTGATAGTCAACTGTGCATTGTTCTAGGGGGCTCTATTGCCGCATTTAGACTCATAAACGATGCATGAGCTTGAGACTGGTGACGTGAGTCAGTTTAGTTGTTTTCGGAATTTCCACCCAGAACAGCAGCCTCCCGATGTGTTAGCAGGCTTCTAGAAGCAATCTTGTATCTCAGTTATGGACTCTGCGTTAAAATATCCTCTAGATAAAAGGTTGCAGGTCGCAGTGATGTTTAGACTCCAGACAGTACCACTTTGGACCGCCTACAACCGGGTAGGTTGGTTCAAAGTCGGTTGTGAGCTTCATGTGAAAAGTAGTGGAAGTACCGTTGTTCAGCCAGCTGCCGGTGTGAAACCCTTCTTTGTCAGTTCATGCTATGCTTGTGACTTGGTTCCTATAGGAATTGCCCTTTAATTCAATGGAGTAGTACCCTATTTGTTGTTTCAAGTAATTCCAATATTTGATGACATGTTGTAAACAAGTCTGGTCGTGTTAGATCGAGAGCCACGTGGAGAGCAGCTGTTGATGTATTGAACCAATGACAGCATGGGATTTCCAGAATTGCTGCAAAATTTTAATGACTGTGCTTAGCTCTGTTCTCTTCCCCCACGTCTGGCTTTGTTCTCTGCATAGTACCATACGTTGTAATTCACTATATGATATGATCTTTGGTGATATCTCTAGTTTTCGTCGAATAGCCGTTTGCATTCGTTGTAAACGATGCACGGTTCCTTCATTTTCATGGCTGGCAGGAGCTGGATGCGAGAAGCCCAAAATCGATCTTAGTGGCGTGCAATGGGAGAGGCCTATGTCCAGCAGTGGACTGCGATAGGCTAATGATGATGATGATGATGAAACTCTTCTAGGCAACCTTTATTTGTGATTTTAATTGTCTCCGTTTTTGACGGTTCACTGTCAAATTGTGTTGTTTGTTTGTTTCTGTCAGTGCTGATCTTATTTGATCCAATGTTCTTTCAAAGACTGAAAGAAATATATTAGGTTTAATGTTTATTGGATTTGAATTTTCATTTGCATTTCCTTTAAATATGTCACTTTTAAAAGATATAAGAATTTGTTATTGCAGATTTAGCATACAAATGAAACAATCTCAGTACAATGCAAGTTTGAATCGGTGTTCTCCCTAGTTTGTTACGTTTTACAATGTTTACGTTACTAATTACTATTTTTGCGTATACACAGGAGGGCAGAAGGATGCATCTAAGACGAGTGTACAGCAAGCTTTGCGTAAGTAAGCTTTCATCGCACTGTTAAAATATCTAAACAATAATCATACGTTCATTTAAATCAAAAAAAAATTTTTTCTTTTGTCAAATGGCCAAACCTCATAAACGGTTTGTTAGTGAGACAAAGGGTGGCTATTTATTTCATAGCATGCGGATGTTTGTTCTGTAATGTTGATCATATTCAATTATTATCGTATGTAACCCATTGTTATAGAGATGTACAATATGTACGTAACTACATTGTCAGTGATTAATGCAATCACATCCGATAATTTTGTGTTTTCGTCCGTGTGGTGACGGATTAAGAATACAGAGTGTCACCACCCCTATTAAAAAAAAAAAAAACGGAGAAAACTACGCAGAACAACATCACATATCAACCCGTCTGGCCAGCGTGTTATAGCAGGCCAAGACCTCCTTTCTAAAGAGAGTCGTGGACTACTAAAGGCTGTTGATGATGATGAATTTTAGTCACACCTTTGTGATCGGCCTAAATTAATAGCCGAATAAGAAAGTCCAGTCATTCTTAAGATTCTTGAAGAGAGAAGGAAAACTTGTCACAAACCCTATACTAACCCGTCTGGCCAGCGTAGTATAGTAGGCCAAAATCTCCTTTCTAAGGACAGGTCTACGTCCAGCAGTGGATTACTAAAGGCTGTTAATGATGATGATAATGAAGTGAGTGAGGTATTTTTGATGCTGGCCCTCGCTGAGTCGGGTAGAGCTAGAGGAAGATTCAAAGCGCGGTAACGTAATTATGACTTTTGAGTTTGAGAGGCTTATGGCCAGTAGTGGATTATTAAAGACTGTTGATGATGTCCAACATAATAAGTAGAGTAACTATGTTATGTTCCTAGATTTACATAACACTGTTATGTTTTAATTTTGTAAATGATGACTACCTAAACAACTAGCTTAGATGAGAGTACTCTTTTATATTAAAGGGTTTTTGATAAGTTTTGTAACATTAACGGCCCTACTACGTTACCTTGAGGTACTCCAAATTAAACTGTAAATTTTTCACAGGAATCCAAAGAAATACAGGGAAAAGTAATGATAAACGGCATTTACGTAAGTATTTTGATTTATTTCTTTACTACGAATAGATACTACTAACTACAATAATTGTTACTGAACATTTAAGTAGCTTCAAAAATAAAAGGGATTTTATTCTTGTACGTACTTTTGTGATAGAGAGAAGATTAAAATTGTGATTGTGTTCCATTTTGTTTGTATTGTATCTAATTTCAGTCTAGTTACTTGATATCAAAAAAACCTTTTTAAAGTCATCAGAGTCAGCTCATACGCCGGATCGACTGAAGTGACACCACGGCCTCACAGAAAACCGGTGTTAAACAATTCTTTCAACATTGGAAAAACCGGAGCTAAAATTAGTCCTCAATTTAGTGTTTTTTTTCTTTTTTTTTACGTTAGAGGGGGCAGACGAGCAGACGGGTCACCTGATGGAAAGTGACTATCGCCCCCAAGAACTTCTGCAACTCAGGAGTCACAAACGCGTTACCGGCCTTTTAGGAAGGAGTACGCTCTTTTCTTAAAGGTTTGAAGGTCGTATGCGTCCGGAAATACCGCAGACGATAACCCGTTCCACAGATTGTTTATGCGGGGTAAAAAGTGTCTCGAAAAGCGCACAGTAGTGGAGCGCCAACTATCCAGGTGATGAGGATGAAAATTTCGACGTATGGAACGATGGCGGAAATTTGCGGCTGGTATTATTTCGAACAATTCCTCGGAGCACTCTCCATGATATATGCGATAGAGAATGCAGTTACAACATAAAATTCCTTTACTTCTCTTGCAGTTACTCCAAAGGACAATAATTATGTTCTGAAGTACATAGAAAAATGCCCAGAGAAAGGTCATTACTTCATCCGTGATTATGCTACGAACAAAATAGAACCTGCTACCTGCTACCTCTGCTTCTGCCAAGGCGACAAAACTGCTGTATGCTGGAGAAGGGACAACAAACGATGTAATGATGACAGTTTTAGATCCCAGGGTGATGGGAACAGGTGTGAATATTTTATTTTAATATATTAGAAGAATTTTGACTGGCCTGTTGGTCTGGTGGTTAGTGACCCTGACTGCTACGCCAGAGATCGTGGGTTCGATTCAAAACCCAGGATAAATAATTGTGTGATGAGCACGGTCATTTGTTCTGTGTCTGGGTAGACTTTATCTATAATATGTATGTTTTTAGAAATATATAAGTATGTTTATCAGCAGTCTGGTTACCATTGTATAGTAGGGTGTCCCGATTTTTTTTTATTCTTATTTTAGCTACTTAAGACCTCTCAAAAGTTGCGCTGTTAGACGTAGATTAGCGTAAAAATAATTCAAAAAATATTTTAAAATATCCTTAGGGCTCTACCAGCATTTTTATTTACTGAAAATTCGCAAAAACAACCTTGTAGTCAATGTCGTATATTCTATGTTTTATGAATAAATCCTGTTTTGTCTTGTAATTTTATCAATAAGAAAAGCCTCGGCTTTGATTTGCAAGTATCGACAGGTTGTTTTAGCGATCAATCGGTTTGGATCGGACTTGCAAAATTCCTACAAAATTCATGTTTTGACTTGATTTTCGTACGTGCGCTACTTCTACAACAAGACAGTTCGTCTCATTTCTATTTCGATTTTACTCTTGTAAGGAGTTGTTCTATTCTTCTTTGAAAGAAAAACGTAATTTGCGTTACTTAATCATAAAAATGTGTTCAAGGCGAAGTGAGACTACTTGTACTATATTGGGACCTTATAAAGAACTTGACGATCGCCAATTACCTGTTATAAAAGACGTTATTAAGTGCATTTTATTTACTAAAAGTGAATTAAAACTACAGAAAAACGGAAAAGATCCATCGAACACAGAAGTCTTTTCAATAGTTTCTGGAAAACTTAACACAATTTGGACCAAAGCTTCAATTCCCATCGTTTCTAACGTACGGGTTACTCAACTGCTAACCGCATATTTTAACAAATATTTATCACTAATAAGATATCCTAAAAGTAAGAGAAACGATAGCTATGACAACAAAGTTAAGTGCTTTTTGGAATCGTCAAATAAGCTTTTTGACATCGCTGCTTATAAGTGCACTTCGTTTGAAAATTGTTCCTGCACTAAACCCAAGAAAGTTCCCATTTCTGAAAGAGATTTTTTACTGGACCAAAGAAATGATAGGAAAATGGCAATAAGCGGCGTAGACGCAAAAGAAACTGCAAGGCTTTTAAAGAAACATCAAAGACAAGAAAATTTGAAGCGGACAGAGCAAGCATGTTTTCCGAGTACTTCACAAACCGATACTGTACCGGTACGCGTGTTGCCGCCTCGTTCACAGTCGCTTTCAATAGAACCTTCTACTAAAAGTGACTTAAAGGAGTCTCCATCTAATTCATTTAGTCGGAACACTCTGACGCTGCCAACAGTAGCTAAGGTATGTGATCGATACGGACTATCAACGCGTTCGGCAGCTGCAGTCGCTTCAGCAGTCTTAGTTGACGTAGGAATGGTATCTTCCGAAGATCTAAACCTTGTGATTGATAAAAATAAGATTCACAGAGCTGTTTCAAAGTCACGTACCCAAGCCAGCAAAGACATCGATAAAATTATTATAAAGAGTATCTACTTCGATGGGCGAAAAGATATAACTCTCAAGATCAATAAAATAGACAGCCGGTACCACCGAAAAGAAGTCTTAGAAGAACACATTTCAGTTCTTACAGAGCCGGGATCTATTTACTTGGGACATAGGACGCCGAGTCGAGGTACTGCGAAAGGGATTGTCACTTCTATTATAGAATTGTTAGAAAATCAAGGATGGAACTTAGAAGAAGTAAGTTGTGTGGGTTGCGATGGCACTCCTACAAATACAGGTAGGAAAAGAGGAAAAGAGGTATTAAATACCTGGAAGACTATTTGAAGAGACCGTTACAATGGTGTGTTTGTATGCTTCACACAAATGAATTACCGCTTCGCCATTTGTTTATGTCTCTAGATGGTAGCACATCTGGGCCGAAAGAATACTCAGGACCTATTGGAAAACAGCTAAATGTTTGTGAAAGTAAACCACTAGTGTCTATTTGTGCAGTGGCTGGCAATTTGCTCGAATTACCTGATGACATTGTGAAGGAACTAAGTACGGATCAAAAGTATCTGTATGAAATGTGTCATGCTGTGACGACTGGTTCTTGTTCCCCTGAGTTAGCGAGCCGCCAACCTGGAAAAATGGCGCATTCAAGATGGCTAACTACTGCCAATCGCATACTCAGACTTTATGTAAGTACTGTTTCGCCATCAAATAATTTAAAGCTGCTTGTCAATTATGTGGTCAAAGTTTATGCTCCAGTTTGGTTCCTCATAAAGAAAAACTCATCATTCAAAGATGGAGCCAATCATATTTTTCAAATGGTTACATACTCCCGATTTTTGCCTGATAAGCAAAGATCTATTGTGAATTCAGTGATCGAGAGAAACGCTTTTTTTGCTCACCCTGAAAACTTACTTGTTACCATGCTATTCGACGACAGAGAGCATATTCGAGAGCTTGCACCTCGCAAAATATTAAAGGCAAGAGAAGCAGAAATAAGCAATACTCGCAGGGTATTTAAAGTACCAAAACTTAACTTCGATGCGCGATATTACATCGATTTGATATTTTGGCAAGAGTGTGAGATATCCGCTCCACCGATTTTGCGACAGATGTCAGACGACGAATTGAGAATTAAGGGTAAAGAACAAAGCTTCGATGTTATTGATTTCCCCTGTCATACACAATCAGTGGAAAATGTGTAAAGCTAGTGACGGAGGCTTCTCTAAGTGTCACGGACGCTACAGCTCGGGATGGTTTAATCAGAAACAGATTAAAATCTCGCGCGGAAATGCCTAATTTCGGCCACAAGAACCAATTATAAGTATTTAAACTTTACTGAACATTACCTTATGTCTTTGTAGTACCTATAAATTTGATTAAAACCTTTAAAACATAATTTTTGTATCATTTATAGTTTATGTTCGAAACCTCTAAAAATGGCAAATTTGAAAAACTTCTAGGATCAGTAGAGGCCTAAAGATGACAAATATTTAATCAAATTTTGTTATATTTGTAATCTATTCACAAAAACGCCACTTTTGATACCTCTTGCGTAGCCGTCGCTGTAAAAAAAAATCCCATACATTGACGGGACACCCTATTGTATAGGCTCTGCCTAGTTTGGGAACAGACGGCCGTGTGTCAGATTGAAAATATTATCATATTATTTACAATGTTTATTTTTGAATATTCGCAATTGCAGATTGCATTGAATAATGTTTAAAAGAATGTATTGGTTATTCAAATTATTGCTTTGGAAGTACTTAAGAGTTTGAAAAATTTATTAAGCACTTGACTACAATTATAAATTTGTGTAATTTTATAGGAACACAAAAACTCTTCAGAAGAAAACGAACGATACTAGAATCCGTCGAAGCCCTGGATTTACCGATATATTCTTTCGTGACGCTTCTCGGGATAGTACGTATTATTTATTCCTTAATTCTACTCCCACTTTATTAGAAAGTCAAGCATATTTTAATCCAAACTAATGACGACTAATCACTCACTGCACGGATGGCCTAGCGGTTTAAGCGGTCGCCACGCCACTACTACGCTGAGTGTTGTGGGTTCGATCCCCATATGGAACGACACTTTGTGTGATCAACAAATTGTTGTTCTGAGTCTGGGTGTTCATTGTGTCCGTTTCATGTACGTTTTTAAAGTCCCTTGAGATATAGGATATATTCCTAATGCGGGAGTATAATTCTTATGAAGATATAAAGAAAGTGACGATTGAGCAAAACGAGAGAATGGTGCTCACTCACTCAAAATCACTAAATTTGTGTAGTCCTGTCAAACAATGTTTCGTATTTTGAAAGCGTGGTACTTGACAAGACTAAACTATTTTTTTGTGATTTTTAGTTTAGTTTAGAAAGTTTCAAACAATAGAATTAGCAAGTAAATTATGTTACAGTGTTTAATAAGAATACGGAAGGTAAGCAGTGCAAGCCCTATGAGTCCAGCTTCAGCGATGACTGTCCTCCAGGTATGTATTTTTTCTTGCCGTTTTGTCCAAAAATTGGTGTAAAATATATTATTTTGACTGATCTCTTGGTCTAGTAGTTAGTGACCCTGACAGCTTAACACAGACACTAAGGACATATAATTGTGTGATGAGCAAGATCATTTTTTCCATGTCTAGGCGTAATGTATCTATAATTGTAATTGGAAATATTAATGCAATAGTCTAGTTACCATAGCACAGACTCTGCCAAGCTTGAGATCAGACTATCCTCAATGAATAGTTATTATTATAAGGTACATAGTATTATATTGGTTGTTTAAGTAAAGCCATCCCTGAAAACCCAAAAACATCTTCTGTTAGTAAAGTTTCTTGAAATTAAAGTTTGGTTTAAATTTTAGCTGACTGGTGTACTGGTTGTACGGTGTGTGACTGTGATGCCAATGGTCGCTGGGACTGCCATATATTGAGTTTCTGTTCTGATCGTAAGTACTTCTCATTAAAAAGGCGAGGTAATGGAATAAGTGCACGCTCTTATTACACTATCGTTTGACATTAGTCTATTTAAAATTACTTCTTTGAGTAGTAACATCGTTAGCTTTAGAAGTTTTGGTATCTTACAATACCATGCCATCGGAATATAACATTATAGATAGACTTACAACAATAAGTGACCGTGATATTGCTTAGAAGTTCATTAAATCTTAGGAACTAGTGTTTTCTTATTCGCAAACTGACGCCTCTTTTTGTTCTGTGATAAAAAATTGCGACTAAGTTGGGGAGTAAACCTGCTGTTCTGGTTCTGGTTTGGTCTCCAAATAGGGTAAATTGTAATTAGGCTTTTTTAGCAAAAAAAAAATACAGTTGTTCAACAATATTTAATTGTTTAATTATATATTACTATAAATCTATATAAAATATTAATCAGTCATTTTTCATACTAGCCAAAAAAAGCAAAACTGCTGGCAGAAAAATGGTAAAAAAGAAACGGGTGATAGATGATTTACCGATAGGTGCGCGACCCCGAACACCCATGCCAATTATGGGTGGAAGAAAAAGTAGAAAACATCGAACGACCACCACAAAGAAAGTAGTGAAGAAACCAGTTACACAACCTAGAAAGCCTAAACAAAAGCAGCAAAAGATAAAGCAACCACTAAGATATAAAAGAATTGCTCCAAAGGCCAATGCATCTAAGGCAATGTTTAAAAAAAGAAATATAGCTACGCATAAAAGGGTTCACTTACACAAGAAAAAAGAAAAAGAACCGAATGTAGTACCGGATGATTTGGCCAAAGAGATCCTTAAAAAAATGATGACCATTGTAAATAAGTTAGTCCAGAAAGAAATTCAAAATATGACAAAACTTGTGGCAAAGAGGCAACAGTGGTTTGAACAACAGCAAAGAAAGATGTATCTAACTACATTAACACCTAGAATTATCGGGGGGACAAGAAAAAAATGGCAGAAAAGGAGCACAGAGATCGAACAAGACAATAAAAAAACAAAATTAAATTTGTGGCAAAACAGATATAAACGAGATTTATCTTCCTTGGAGACTAATACACATAATTCTATAGTGAGTTCTACAGTTGCTGTACAAAAAGGTATGTAATTTATTTTAGAAGATTCCGTTTTTTTATCAAGGGTCTAATTGCAACGTTTTCTGTTTCAGAGAGACCCACTGACTCTACAGTACTACCGATACAATCAGACATTGATGACAATTCAATAGATAAAAATACAAAATCTATAACTGTTATGCCCTTGCAAACTAACACAGAAAATGACTATTACAAATACATTTTAGCAACAAATATAATACCATTAATTAGAAATGAAATCAAAAATAAGGATTCGGTAAAGCCAACTGTAGTAATTAAAATGAATAAAATTAGTACGACAGACAAAACCAAGACAGACAGAACAGAACTTATTACGGAACATAAAACGCTAACGGTTACAGAAAGAGAAAAAAATATACAAGCAATTGAAAATTGTGCAGAAAAAATAGAAACTACTAGTGTGTATAAGAAAACAACGGAATTACCTGTCACTACAGAAACAGGTTCTACTTTAGTAAATACGCTACAGAATACTACAAATGCAAGTACAACGGGTAATAAATTAGTTGATGATATTGTACTAAATTATGTTTCAAATCCTTATAAATATTTGCCTGAAGTTGATCCTTCAGAAAACGATATCCAGGTCAAGAAATGGCCTCCAGTAAAAATTGTGAAACAGAAGTTCACAACAACTGAATCACTGACTGAAGGTCCGCAAAAACATATTGCTAACTCAACCATAATTACTAATAATAACATGAATAAAGTACGTAGAAAAGATGTTAAACGTATTACAGTGTCAAGGAAATACAATTTATTGAAAGCACTCAATTTCCACAAATGCCCGTTTCTGAATAAGTTAACTGCAAGCGAAAATGAAACATATACATTAGGACAACCTACAAAAACACCTGATGTGAAAAATGATCCGACAAAACTATTACACAAGTATAATGCTACGAAAAAAATACATAAAAAAATTAAGAAGTTCAGCCTTATAAAGTATTTAAGAAAACTATTTAATTATGTGTTTAGAAGAAAAAATAGATCGGACCGTTTTAGTAGATATCACATTTTAGAGACTCTCTGCGAACACTTTGGACCTTGCAATATTAAGTCACGAGATAAGCGTCTTTTGAGATCTAAGCTTACAGATTTAAACCAAGAAACTATGACGATCCTAAAGACGGTCAAAATTATAAAGGGATTGTTAATACTGTTGGAAGATTCACCTGACAATAATAAAACTTTATCAAAAAAAGGTAATTTTGGTAGTTCTATACAGAGATTAAATAGTATTTTGAAAGGTAACTATGGTGATTCCTCTAAAAAACCATTAACAATCACCAAATTGGTCCAGATAGAATACATTAAGAAGAACACCCAAGCTTTCGTTAAATCTGTAGGTAAATTTGCAACGTTGCTAAACGAAATCATTGGTATTATAACCAAAGATGCTGATAAACCTATGCAAAATAATTTTCGTACACATGAAATGGGAAAAGATCCTTTCAAAAACTTAAAAGATCTTTTAATAAAGTATAATTTGGTTCAAAATAATTTTATGAAAAAGATGTATGATTTAGTAAATAGCTTTGAGAACAGAAATTATGAGAAGCCAAAGGTGAGTGATACTCGGGGTTTGAATAGTAGTGTAGCAATAGAAAATTTCTCAAGGAACATACTTAAAAATCTTAGGAAGCTGAAGCATTTGGCCCAAACTCTGAATTATAACAGAAGAGCTAAGAGGGAAACAAGAGACGATGATGCTATTGAGTACCTGTTAATGTTAATGGAGTATTTATTAAAACAAAATCATCCATTGGACGCAGCCCCAGGTAAGTTTACTTTTAAGTAAATTATATATGAGTAAAATATTTATTATATCTCTCCAAATAAGGAATAAACAATGTTAATAATATAATATAAAATAATAAGAAATTATTAATCCTAAGAAACTATTTATTTACTTATGAAAGTAGTAAATAATTATATTATTTATTGATAACCTAACAAATTATCGATTCGGTTTGAAAATTATGCTCAATTTTATTTAAAAGAAAGTATTTTCCAATCCTCAGTTTTTTTGGTCGAAAGGTACTCTTTATCATTCTTTGTATCCTTAGCAGCGCTTAAAACACAAATCGATAGGCAATCTAAACATTTTTCTTAGTAACCACTTAATATATATTAAAAGCTAAGGTCCTAAAGAGCTAAAGGAGGAAAACAAGTCAATGGTGACTACAAAAAATTTTTTTGGAACCTCAAAGCAAATTAATGCAATTTATAGTAATAATAGTAATTTAAAACATGGTACCATATAATTAAAGTAATTATTATATAAATACTGAACTTTAATAATGGTAATATTCTGTTCAAATTACAATGGCATAAGTGATCAAGACATGTATTTTTTTTTATAGCAAATGATGGTATTGACTTACTCTTAGAAGCTATAAAAAATGCACCTGACATAAAGACAGTACGAAAAAAAGTCCTTGTAAACACACCGTCTGGCTCTGATACTACGATGATAACTATTCCACGGAATTTATTATATCGATCTACTACTGATACTTCAGTAGCGGACACTGAATCTGATAGTGAGACAACGTCTAATGAAGACTCTGAAACACCTAAAACAAACACCAACGAAGAGACTTTGAAGAAAAAAATTGATGAAAACAAAGATTTATTCGATTTAATTGATGAAGAGAAAGAGGTCATTGACAAATATCAGTTTGATAGACGAGCGGGAGCTATTCCGACCATAACATATTTCACCACCAACGTAGCTCTTTATGATGACGAAGAGAATAAAACATTCGGAAACTCTTTAGGTGCATCGGAGACGACACCGTTACCCGAATTAGCCAATGAAGAAGAAAATTTCGACAAAAGTACCGATCACGGTAATAAGAATGAAAACGGTATTAGTGATAATCCCAGCAACGCCAATAATAATGTCTATGAAAATACTGAAAATGTTAATGTGTATAGTAACACAGTAAATAATAATTATGATATGAATACAGGCTATGGTAATAATGATGATACTAATGCAGCAGATGGTAATGTTTATATAGGTAACATGGCCGAAGGTAATATTCATAGTGCACCAGATAATGACCATTATAATGCTAATATACCTAAAGATCTAAAGACCTATGATATGAAGGCGTCGTATGACTTCAGCAAAGCAGTTACAGAAGAAACTGTTCTCGAAAAAGGTGTTGCCGAAGAAAGGATTAAGGCGACAGAAGATAGAGACAAGAAAATTGAAACAGTATATACCGGAGAGATTGATGAAGAAGATACGACACATGGAACTGTTTCAGGGGTAGACAGCGAACAGACTACTTTTATACCACAAGAGGTAGAAATTCCAAAAAACAAATACATATCTAAAGAAATAAAAACATTAGATTCATATGACACTGAAAAGTTAGATAAGAAGTCTAAATTAGAATGGATTGAAGAAAATTTTCGAAGAGAATACTCACATTACGATGAGGAAAAAGGAAAGGCTCACGAAGAGAAAAGAGAGAATATTAAAACCAATACACCAGTTACATTAGCTCCTAGTAGAACGAGTGCTCCTGAGTATAACAAGAAGAAACCTAGTGTAGATGTCAGTATGATAAGTAATGAAGTGTCTGATACTGCTGGCAAGAAGAAGAAATCCAAAATAAATACTGAAGAAGTAATGTTTAAAAAACAGATGGATCTCATGCATTCTCTTGATTATGTAACTGAAAAGAGTGAATTTGATGAGACTGAGTCGAAAGATGGTAATGCAGACGAAAAAGATTCAGAAAACTTCCCTACATACTTTGTATAATCCTTTTTTTATCGCCATTCATTTGAAAATGTTTCTGGGATTCTCGGTTTCCTACGTAGGCATATAACTTTATTCATAATCCAATGTATCAATTAACGTGTAAGGGAAGGTTTTGCCGACCACAGTCAGTAAAAAAATCAGTGTCAAAACTAGACATGTATTTGGTTCTTAGGAAGTTAGTCAAAACATTTCATCAAGTCTTGAAACATTTTTAAGTATATTTCGTTAATATTGTATAGTTTATTCACCAAAGATATTGTCATTAAGTTTTTCAATACTCTAATTTGTCTCTCTTTCCACATTTTGACCATCAAATTGAGTTCTGTCTTGTTGTTACCATTATTTCAAATATTAGTGATGTGCTGAATCGTTAAAAATGTTTATTCGCAGATATGAATACGTAAACAGATTATTATTAATGCATATATTGGGGGAATACGGACACCGATCTCTAGCTTTTTTTTGCAGGTGATGCCTAATAACACGGTGCCTAATAATTTCTGCTTGCACTATGGTTTTTTTTCATGATAATGTTTTTATCCACAATTTACAAAGATTTGGGAGTGTGATTGCTTTATAAAATAGTTTAATAGTAACTATTAATTGTTAAAAACATTAGTTACCACGTTATAAACTTTAGTATTTAATTTTAGGGAAATAATTGCGAAATTTCATTTACGTCATAATGTAAGATTAATGTCAAGATTCGATAAAAGTAATGGATATCCTTCAAAAGATTCGGCACACCACTAGTAGACGCAAGTTTAAGATATCTGTAATAAAAGACTTAGATTTAAAATAGGGAGTTTAAATATAAGCTTATGATTTTGGTAACATTTAATAGTCTTATTAAGTTAGCGTAAATGCAAGCGTAATAATCGAGGGCCAGTTATTTTATTCTAACGAATCATTTATTGTTAATAAAATCATTACTCATGCAGGTAAGAATTAAAGTGGTGATTGAAAAATAATCTTTAGGGTGGTGACGTTATCGATGGTTACTTATGTTTTATATTTAATATTGTAGCTGAACGTTATTGGGAGATTCATGTTTGGTATATGGGTCCAAATCTGGACGAATAATTATGCAATGCAAGTAATTTTAATTAATGTGTTGTGCTAACGTTTATGACAAAATCAGCCTAGTGCAAGAACTACTGTTTTTTAAAGAAAAGAACAGCGAAAAGTAGATAAGAAAACTCTTAACATACCACTGACACATATTATGTTATGTAATCATAATACTGAGTAGTCATGTGATTTATAAATCGTATCATCAGACCTGTAACTGACTTACAAAACCACTGCTACTTCACATCAAAAGCCTTTAATAGTCCACTGCCGGACATAGGCCTCTCCTTAGAAAGGAGGCTGCTACTTAAATATTATTATTGTGCGAGCGCAAGATTCGCGAAAGATCTAAATCTAAAAAAGGTCGTAAACTTTGATAAAATTTAGCTTCTTTCAGAGCTTATTTCAGATGTCATCGCTGTATTCAATCTCCTGTCTACCATGCTATTTTCCACCCAATCCTTTAATCTTTTGCCCAATATCCCCTTTACTTCTTCACATCACATTTTGAGGTTTTCCTACCTTACACCCCTAATATTAAATCATAGAAGATCTTTGTTACAAGATAATCCAGTAAGGCAAAATTGCTATTGGAGTATTTACTTGTAATACAGAGTATAATTAGTTCCGGTTCTTGTTTTAAAAATCGTGCAAACAAAGGATTCATTTTTTACCACAATATGACCGTTTACATCATCATCTGCCCTTATCCCAATTTTATTTTACTCCAATCCCAATTTTTTTAGTACTCGATTCTTTTATTCTACTCTATCATTCGTCATCTCACTATTTACTCATATCCTCACTCACACGGTCCATACACCTTTTCTTTGGTCTTGCTCTTCTCTCGTACCCTCATACCTAATACTTTCTTTGTCACATTTTCCTCATATCGTATGTATTTTATGATAGTACATTTTTTTCTTCTTAAGACACGAAGGACAAAGTTTAGTAACTCCGGGATACGTAATTTAATTTAGAAATTCGCCGCACCTGGTAAAATCATCTGTGTCAAAAGGTGTGATGATGAATACTCTGCCGGCAGCGAGCGGTGCTTCATCCGGAATTAATGTTAAGAGAACTTCTTTTAACTTATTAAAAACAGTTTTCTTTTACTAGTCTGGTTTCAGTGAGCATAATTATAATAAAAATATGGATATAGGTGACAGCTAGATTTAAGTTGTATTAGCATAAATATAAGTTATTAATATTAGGTGTGTATATCGATAGAATTTCCTTATTTTGTTTGTAAATATATTCGGTACTCAATTATGTTTAGCTTAATAAATAATTAACAGGTGTGTGATGTTTTATTTTAGTCCGTGTGGTGACAGACAAAGAATACGGAGTGTCGGCACCCCTATTCATCTCGTGGGTGTCGTAAGAGCCGACTAAGGCAGCCAATTACGCAGGACAAAAGCACTTCAAAGAGAATTCAAATTTGAAGCAAACCTATACAAACCCATCCAAACCATTCTTTCTAAGGATAGTCCAGCAGTGGACTACTAAAGGCTGCTAATGATGATGATGAAGTTAGTGAGGTATTGGTGATGCTGGCTCTCGCTGAGTCGGGTAGGGAGAGAGGAAGATTCAAAGCGTGGTAACATAATTATGAATTTTGTGTTGCAAGTGGCGCAAACGATTATATTCCACCAAATTATATATATTTGAGGTGCCTTGAAGCCACGGACCTGCTGGGGTTCTCCCAGTGGGCGGGGAGGAGTACCCCGACGTGGCGCGTCCCCGGGTGGCGGATAGGGGAACGGCCCCCAGATATGGGGGTTACCGGCATTGGCCGGCGCGGACCAAACCCAAGGGGTCGCTCCTGCCCCGTCGACGCAGTCGACTAGGCGAGGACGCGACCACCCGCTTAGGTGCAGGCGCATCTGGGCGGGGTTCGTTTGTCTCCTCATTATTGAGGAGCAAACCTCTTGGCGGGTCCGCTGATTCGGGCTGGCCGGACAGCGGACGGAGGCATGCTTCAATGCCGCCGTTGGGGGGCTTGGCTTAACCGCCCGGCCCCAGAGGAAGGACACCTCAAAGATAAAAAACCACCCAATCCCAAGTTTCGGGAGCGCGGCGAGGGGATGAATGGCCGTTGGGGGTACGGTCGTTAGCGCTCCCACCTGCTGGTACCTGCCGCCCCCAGCAGTATGTAGGCTTACCCGGGTACTTAAGCCTCTGCCCGGGGTTGACCTGTTTTGCTTTGTACTCGTGGGAACCAAATGGAACATTCTCAAAAAATAAAAAATAAAAATGATGATGGGCCGGTTTCGGCGGAGAAGAAGAAGGAGACGGGAGATCCGTCTGTCACAAGTGGCAGCGAGAGCCGAGGAGGCTTACGCGCTCCCTCCAAATTTTGGAGGAAGCGCTCGCATGGGGAGAGCGTAAATCCCTCCTCAAGCGAAGAGGAGTTGTCGGCCGCAAAAGTGCCAACAGCAGGGAGAGGTGGTCGCGCAGTGGCGAGTGGAGCCTCCACTCGTCTGCCGCAGCAAAGGGGCCGCTTTTTGCGGCCTTCTACGCCGATTCCGGTGGTCCGCCTGAATCAGCTCGAGGTGGAAAGCGACGAGCCTTCGATGGCTGATGTGAGCACAGATTCCGCTGCGTCCCTGCTTGTGCTGGACAACAACAAAGCGGAGGCTAATGCTGCAAAGCGGGCGCAGCGGAGGGCGGTCGCGTCTGACGAGGTGGGCGAGATGGCTCGTCAAGCCCGAGAGCGGCGGGCTGCTCAATCGGCTTCCGGGGAATCACCAACGGCGGTGGCACTCAGTCGCCAGGTTCTGGACGGCGTTGACGTTGTCCTGAAAGTTGCCACTAAGTCGGGCAACTTGAAGTACACGTTCACGCGCGCCCTGAAGGAGGCGGCTGATGGCATAAAGGAGGCGGTTGAGGTCCTCCTTGCCAGAACAAGCTCCGAGGAGACGGCAAAGCTGTGGGAGGAGAACGGCCGTCTCCGAGCTGAGCTGGAGGACCTCAAGAGAGAGGTTGCCGCACAAAAGCTTGCGGCCCCCGCAGTTGCCGGCTCCCCAGCGGTTGCGGCCCCACCGTCGACCCCTGCCCCTGCACCTGCGCAGGATGCGGAGATCGAAAAAATCATCCGCATCTGCATGCAGCAGTGTGGGGGCATGATGAATGCCCGCCTGGAGGCCTTGGAGTCGAGGCTCCTTCCGGCCCAGAACCTCCGGCCTCCGCTAGCGGCGGACAGAAGGAGGAAGGCCGCTGAGGCCAAGGCCGGCGAGAGGGCCGAGAAGCCCGTTAAGGATTCGTCGGCCAAACCTGCCGACTCATCTGCGGCCCCGGCGACCGCGCCCGGCTCCCTCAAAGAGGCTTGGACGACGGTCGTCAAAAGGGCCGTAAGAAGAAGGGCGGCGCAGCCGGCACCCGCACCCGCGCCTGCGAAGAATAAAAAGCGGAGGACTCGGAAGAGTAGGGCCCCACGCTCTGCGGCTGTGGTGATCACACTGCAGCCCGGAGCTATCGAGAGGGGCCTTACCTATAAGGAGGTGCTCTCGGAGGCGAAGGCCAAAGTCGCGTTCCCCGACCTTGGCACACCGACTGGCTTCAGGATGAAGTCGGCGGTTACGGGGGCGCGGCTGTTCGAGGTGGCGGGTCCGGACGGCAAGGAGAAGGCGGACATCCTGGCCGCCAAGTTGAGGGAGGTCCTCAAAGAGGAAGACGTTCGGGTGTCCAGGCCCGTCAAGACCGCAGAACTGCGCGTCGATGGCCTGGACGACTCGACGACTTCAGAGGAGGTCGTGGCGGCCGTTGCTCGAAGCAGTGGCTGTCCGCCGGGTGACGTGCGGGCTGGCGAGATTCGCGTCGGCGCTGCTGGGCTCGGCACCATTTGGCTGAAGTGCCCGGCAGCGGCGGCGAAACAGATAGCCGACAGCGGACGGATTTTGGTGGGATGGGTTGCGGCACGGGTGAAG